TCACATATATATCAAGGCATCCATCCCAATTACTGTTCACAATATTGATTTTCCATTACTGTTCAAAATCGCCATTTACTATGTAAATAATAAATATCTTGATTTTATTCTCTGAACATTTACTGGCTATCTAGAAAGATGATGAAATTTAAGGCTATATGCTACCTACAAGTGACATTTACCTCCATTTATTTCAACTTCACAAAAACTTCAAAATTATTATTTAATTCTTCAAATTCAATTTGATGGGTAAATTGATTCCAATTTTTAAATTAGTAACACACTGCTAAATATGAATCAGATAATACAAGGCATGGAATTTCAAGGGAGATAACTCAAACTCTGGACTACTCTGAAAAAGTGTATTATAACAAATATATCCCTAAGATGTTTTGAAGTTAAATAGGTATAGTGCTTAAAGTCATCTCACTTTTAAAAGATTTTTTAAAATATTTAAGAAAATGGAAGATAATTGTAAGAACAATAAGCACCTCACCATTAAATTCCCAACTAACACCCATCTCAATGAAATCCAAAATTTAACAACATCTAGTCCTGTCAATAACCATAATCATTTAATTTTTTATTTCTTTTATCATTTTAATTATTTGTAAAATATAAGTAGCTGATTTGCTGGGTATCAGTTTTAATCTGAGGCTGTGTCATAATCATTGTGAAATACAAAAATGTGAATTTTACCTCACACCATCATTGAAATGACTGTGACTGACTGAGACCAACGCAGCATCTGGCCACTCCTGTGTCTGATGACACAATACACTAATATCCAGAAATGGTTAGACACTTCCGTATTCCACACACAAACGAGCAGCCATTATACTTAAAAAAAAAAAACCTTCAGCAAAGGACAGATTAAATAGAAACTGTGTCGAGTTTCTTTTGATCCTGTCTTCAATCAAAGCACGTCATTTATTATTATTGCAGCTTTGGTAAATAAATAAAAAACCAAAGGGAAACCATTTCTGTGCGGAATTAAATAAAATATCTCTCTGCTCTTTAAGGCATTACAAATGGTTACATTCAAATGATGCTGTTTTCACTCCGTGTGAAGGATAATTGCAAACTTTCGATTACCGACACACATTTTTCTACCAATAGTATACTACCACTTTCTTGTCAGCAAAGGAGAAACGTATGAAGGTCTTTTAAGTCGAAATTCTTGCTATTAAAAGAGTATTTCAATCTGAAAAATTATCATTGGTAGCTTTGCTCTATAACACTCAATCCCTATCTGTTTTCATTTTATAAACAGCAGATATAGTCTTGTTAAGAAAAATAATCTCACAAAACAATTCCAAAAATTGAAAAAAATTGAAATCAAAGCCTCAAAGAATATTGTAATATGCATTTTGGTAATTTGGGTAATAGTTAAATTCAAATGCAGTATGTTTCAAATCCTCATGTTATATTACAAGTCAATCAAAATCTAATGAACACAATTAAGAGAATTATAACATACTTTGTGTATCTTTGATATCATGGAGAGTAACACCCTTCCAAATCCCCACAGGGCAATTCTGGCTACAAAATTTCATACCTACAGGGCAAGGTACAGATCTCAAACCCCACAGGGCAAGGTACAGATCCCAATCCCCACAGGGCAAGGTACAGATCCCAAACCCCACAGGGCAAAGCACAGATCCCAATCCCCACAAGGCAATTCTGGGTACAAAATTTCATACCCAGAAGGCAAGGTACAGATCCCAAACCCCACATGGCAAGGCACAGATCCCAATCCCCACAGGGCAAGTTACAGATCCCAATCCCCACAGGGCAAGGTACAGATCCCAATCCCCACAGGGCAAGGTACAGATCCCAATTCCCACAGGGCAAGGTACAGATCCCAAACCCCACAGGGCAAGGTACAGATCCCAACCTCCACACGACAAAGAATAGATCCCAATCCCCTCAAGACAAGGAAGAGGTCTAAATCCCCACAGGGCAAGGTACAGATCTCAATCCCCACAGGGCAAGGTACAGATCCCAACCTCCACAGGGCAAGGTACAGATCCCAATCCAAAGAGAGCAAGGTACAGATCCCAATACCCACAAGGGGTTAACAGATCCCAATTCTTACAAGGCCAGACACAGATAACAAACCCTGAAGTGCAAAGCACAAATCCCAATCCCTGTAGGTGGCCACACAAATCCTAATTTCTACAGAGCAAGATACATAGCTGCATTCCAGCAGAATGCAGCACTTATTTTCACCTCACAATCCAAGTATACTGAGCTACAGATTGATATTTTCATCACTTCGATTGATGCCACTTTCCTCCAAGATGGATGAGATTTATAAATACGATTAGAGTGCTGACTCATGACAATTATACCTCAATGTCAGCCGATATGATAGCTGTTGTCTCCATCTAGCGCTTGACAACAGGCAGATTAATCTGCAGGTGCCTACAGACAATAGTTTCCTGTGTAAGTTATATACAAATTTTACATGGAGGACACAAACCCAGGAGTGTAACTTGTCTGTGGATATTTACAATATCAATAACATTAGTGACAACTTTTATGACCGAACTCTCAATGATTAAGTATTCCTTTGAGACTGATGTTGATTATCTGAGTTACATTCACATCCATACCTTTGTAATGTACAATAAACTAGATGAGAAGTTGAATCCTGCTATATTCAATATAGTCTACTGTTTGTAAAGCTGCTGTTTGTCTGTCAGATGACTGATAAGTGCCCTCAAAAACATAGAACATAGTGCCCTCAAAAACATAGAACATAGTGCCCTCAAAAACATAGAACATAGTGCCCTCAAAAACATAGAACATAGTGCCCTCAAAAACATAGAGCATAGTGCCCTCAAAAACATAGAAATTAGTGCCCTCAAAAACATAGAAATTAGTGCCCTCAAAAACATAGAGCATAGTGCCCTCAAAAACATAGAGCATAGTGCCATCAAAAACATAGAACATAGTGCCCTCAAAAACATAGAGCATAGTGCCCTCAAAAACATAGAACATAGTGCCCTCAAAAACATAGAACATAGTGCCCTCAAAAACATAGAGCATAGTGCCCTCAAAAACATAGAGCAGTGATGAGATAAAAGTTTTAATCCATTCTGTCACCATAGTGATCCCATCTTTAAAGATGATTACCTTTTATAGCATGCATAATAATTCATAAAAAAATCCTTTCTAATAAATCAGCTTTTCGGATCAGATCTGATCACATAAAATGAACAAAGTGACGTTTTTAAATGCACATTTCATTTGGACATCGACAAATCAAACAGATTTTTGTGATGTCATGTGATCAGCCTTGCCATCTCATTTTTGTCTGTGCAAACTTGATCCACTTCTTTAAAACAATACAATATGTCATTGACTCAATCCTTCCACTGTTCCTATTCTGAAATCCTGCAAGATACAATTCACCTGAAGAACCTGTTCTATCCCTTTAGATCCAAAACGCTCGCCTACCCCTTCAACGTCAATAAGCCCACTCCATCATTCTCTTGCCGAAGAACATGCATGATCAATCCAGTCCAAGAGATTTTGAACCCATCACTTCTCCGCGCCAAAATCTTTCCCCATCCAATCACTGCCAAAGAACTTTCCACCCATTCCATGTCATATAGGTTCCTAAATCTCTTCATTGTGAAAGAAATGCTACATCCATTTCAGTTCCAAAGGACTTTTCCTGTTCCTTAATTCCGGAGACCTGGCTCTAACTCCCTTCAATACTCATGAACTTGTCAATACCAAAACTTGCCTATTCCTTCGATGACAAAGAACCTCTCCCATCCTGTCAGACCACAAAACCTTCCCAATCCTTTCATTCAAAAGAACTTTACCATCTCTTGATGGCTAATCTCATTCTTTCAATGCACAGAAACTTGTGCATACATTCGACAATAAAAAACTTGTACTATTCCTTTGGTGACTAAACCTTGTATATACTTTCAGTAACAGAGAGTTTGTCCAGTTAATACAGTACCATAGAATTTTGCCCGTCCAGGGCATCATGGCAGTGTGGAAAAAAAAAAAAAAAAAAATAAAAAAAAAATGGTGTTTTACTCAAACACTTTCAGTTGTTTTATTGAAAAAGTTGTATGGCATGTGATCACTTTCAAACCCGTAAGAGACTATTTATCATTGATGTACTTTAAGACAATGCTTTAAAAATTATCTTTACCTCGGGTGACATCCACATTGTAATCTATTAAGCCTTTTAGTGTAGGTTTCAGCACTGATTCATCCATATTTCTCACGATTGACAGTTTTGCATTATCTCAGAGCAAGCCGTGAACCTGTCACAGTTCACTCAGTGGTATTTTCTATTAATATGCAGATTTGTGAGTCGACAATCCATACTGATGACCGAACTTCTAGCCATTTTACATCCGATAGTGTAGATTTATGGATTATCTCCCTGGATACAGGGTGTGACTAATGCCAGGCATATACACAATGGGGAAAATGACATCATTTCGACACAAAATTTACTTTTGAAACATTCAAAAGATGTTTAATACTTTGGACTTTTAAGGCTCTAGAAGGAAATTCATTTACTTTCAAGACCCAAATTCAATTTCCAGTGCTTTTAAGACCCCTTTCCCTCCCTAAGTTCAAGGACTTATCATGGCTGCGTGAACCATGGTGATAGCAACTGATCAGGGTTCCAAAACCTGAACAGGACAAAAAACAATCAGCGGGTGGCACAGTGGTAACGCACTTGCCTTTCACCTAGCCGACCGGGGTTTGATTCCTGGAACGGACGTGAAAAGGTAAGGGGTCACCTGCCCAACCACGTGGGTTTTCCCCAGGCACTCCGATTTCCTCCCACAATAAGACCCCTCGCGCGCTTACATCCGGGCCAACAAGAGTGATTAGTATAAGTTGACATAACTTGTATTACAATTGTTGTAAAATAAATAAAGTTTATATTTTATTAACCATCAGCGAGTTTAAGCAAGAATGGAGAGTCTAGATGTCTTAGATAGGTAAAGACTGACCTCAGCAGAGTTAGTGAGTGGACAAACACTCGCCAGGTATTCCACAACCTCTACATGTTGTCCGGGTTTGAAGTGACGACCTTTGCCCTGACAGTAAATCCACTCAGCCTTCAGTCTGAAAACAATATGATCATATTACTTATTTTTTTCAAATTTTACTTTGATGATGATAAAACACTTCAAACAATACACTACAACATTCTAATACACTGTTGGAATTAGCGTGTATATACATTCTAATACACTGTTGGAATTAAATGTGTATATACATTCTAATACACTGTTGGAATTAAATGTGTATATACATTCTATTTTGCAATCTACTACAAAACCTAGAAACTAATAGAAGTGAATAACAAAATGCCTAATAACCACAAACCAGAACTGGAAAGTGTGAGATTTTCATGAAACTTGTTCCATACTTTGTGATATCAGAAACTTTCTCATACATCTGACGAGGAAATGTCACATACATGATATTTCGCACCAAGTGATGGTGGTCACATCCAAACATCTCCCGATGTATAACCTAACAGAACTGAAGAGTTCAGAAATGACAATAGATAACATATTTTATATGCATTTATTTCGGTATTTACATTCTCAAGATAACATTCTGTAACATTTTATTGTCAGCTTTGCCTCGATTGAGATTTTTCAACAGAATGTCTGCCCTTGACTAAAATAAATCATTCCCATCACCTACAGCTAACAGACTCAATCATCCTCTGAAAACTAACGCTCACTTTAATGTTTAGACAAACCAATGATAACAGAAATTCAAGATTCAAGTACCTGCCTTTCAAAAACAAATACATCAAAACTATCTGTACTGCTCACTGATGTATGCTGTTAAATGAAACAGAACTGTCTGGTGTGAGACGGGCCAAGGAGTTATGTTCTTAGTGCAGGGATACAACTATCTGCATAAGAAATTGATTTTTAGAAATAATGACAGCTGTGCTCTCTCTATTTCATGTAGTTCAATCAAGCTATGTGTTCAATATCTACAAGAAGTTTGCATGCAAAAAAGTGTAAAAAGGCTACATATCTATATGCCTATTGCATATATGTAATATATTCAAGGGAAAACTTTGAAGATGATTCTAGGCAAGATATCGAGTATAATGTTGAATAAGTAAGAATGTAGATTAATCCGTACAGAACAAACTGCAAAATTAACGATTTGTATCTGGTAAGTGATTTAGGAGTGATTGAAGGGAATTGTAAGAGAACTCTGTAATCAGTAAGTGAAATGGACTGATTGTGAGAGCTGGCTAGTCAATACTGAGTATGTCCCCGATTCACTGTCCCCACAGCCCTGATTCTCCTTGGCATGGAGTTCTTGGGTGAGTTTATTATCCTCATTGGGATGTTTGGTCCATTCTTCCAAATGGGCTGCTCTCAGTTGGGCCAGAGTAAGAGAGGGAGACCGGCATCGTTGAACCTGTTTATCCAGCTGGTCCCACAAGTGTTCTTTGAAATACCTCTTTGAAACACCTATGTGGAACACCCATGTGGAATAACTCTTTTTTGGACATAAAACAGGAAATCCCTAAAGCCTCAGATCTGACTCAAATTCTATACAGTTGGGTAGAATATCCATATCCCCTACACTGTCATATGATTGACTTAATACTTCCTACATTGATATTTGTAACACTTGCCTTTCTTTCTCCGTTATGAGGTATCCATCCAGTACCTTGAGGGAGTTTATCCAGTTGAGAATAAAAGGCCGGCTATCAAAGCCATTGGAAACGGTTAAGGAGGGAAATTAAACAGTATTCATCTCAACAAACAGTACTAATTTCAATTCCTGTCTATGTGGTACAATCAATTGTTTTTAAGTACATGTAAGTAACAAAATCTTCATTTGAACACGAGACTTAAAGATCAGATATTCTAACAAAACGATTAAGAGATGCTGTTGTTAAGGAAACACTGGAGGGATTTGGAAAGTTTGAATTATCAAAATTTAAAGAAAAAAAAACCTTATTTCAAATCGTACATGATATTTCATATTGGAATTCTTATGAAAAATAATATCATATATGTATATTTTTTCGTCCAGTAAGCCTAAGGGGGCTAAAAATTTTATGGATTCAAATGTAGAGTGGTGGGCTTATTACAGGACAATGATATTTTAAATATTTCTACTGAAACTAAAATAAATAGGAATGGGCTTATTACCAGACAGGCTTATTGTCAGATAAATAATCAACACAGAAAAGGATATGGAGTTGAGGCAGTCATCAATACACAGGGGTTGTTGGTCAGTGATAGCTGCTCCAGGTATGGCAAACAAGACAGATACATCACCTGTAAATACAAAATCTTACCTGTAATTATCAAAATAAAATATCACTTGTAGGTGTATAAATATTTATTAAAGACATTATCATAAGTAGCTACAAAACATATTTTAATTTCACATACATGAGACAGGAAAAACTCTATACTTGGCCAGTGCTAGACTTTTCTGTCTTGTGCAAATCTGATTGGTACCTTAAACATTCTGTAACAAAATCTCTTTTGCAGTAAAACCAACAATGAAATGTAACAAAATGTCAGCCCAAGACTCAGATAGTTGATCTCAAACATGCATGAATAATAGATTCTATTTCTCGTACATTATTTTGTCAGAATTAAACAAAACCTTCTCTAATATATTTACATTTTCAAATAATTCTTAAATTGAGTTCTCTTCTTTTGTGGTTCTATATCAGGAAAATAATTGAACATGGCGTTATTAAAATCGTGTTGTCACCTGGTCGCAAATATTGCATTAAAATACCAGACAAATCAGATGAGACAGAAGGTACTATGCCCTAGAGATTTCCATGTTTAAGTTGTAAGGAGAAAAATCAATTTCGAACACAGGTAACAGATTCTATCAATCTCATCTATATTTACAACTCATTTGCTTCAACACATGACATAAGCAGAAAAAAAAAAAAATCCCCTGAAAGCACAAGCTAAGGTTGATATCTGGTGTAAACAGAATTATTATCCTTTTTCAGCAAAAGTACATTACCTGGGTACTTTGAAATTCCTGTATTTTTTATTGTAATTTATCTGTTATCGTATTGAGTGTATGATATGGTATATTCCACCCAATGCTAATAAGCCTTAATTGGCTGGGTAACAAGCAATTTTACACACACTACCAAGATTACTGATGACAGAAGGTAGTTTGTATATTAGCAATTGTTTTGTATTCCAGAAACTCATAAAATGTGATTTTTCATATTGGAATTCTTATGAAAAGTAACATCATACATGTGCTCTCATATTTTCCCTCCAGTAAGCCTAAGGGGGTGAACACGTTTTTGGATTCAAATATTGAGTGGTGGGCTTATTACAGGACAATGATATTTTAGATATTTCTACTGATTGATAACCAGCCACAGACATGTCCTATACCCCACATGTTTCACATGATTGTAGCATTAATGTATAAACTTTTTACTTATGTAAATATATGACAGACATACTTGTCATATATATTTCTAAATATTTGCTCTTGAACTTATCCATATATTGTACAATTTTCCATTGTCATTTCTTATTTGTGTAGGGCCATTACATGAGTCACTCAGTATACTAGTATTTTATCAATGTTAAATACCTATGGAATGTTTTAAAGGATATACATTTTACAAGCCCAATAACAGTTCAGTATTTGTTCACATATTTGTGATAATATAAACAACTGACACAACAAGGTCACTACATGACTAACTGTACAGTTTTGATTACCTTAAAAAAATAATTTTCAATGACGTTCTTTATTTACATATTATGAGATTACTACAGTTGTAAATATGATCGCATGCAATATTAATGCCTTAAAATGATGCATTACTTAATACTTTCAAACCTGTCTTTTCAAACCATTTGTAATGTTATATATCATAGCAATGCTATGAAATGGTAAATATGAGATGTCACAATTACGTCATCAACACCAGGGTGGTATTTTACTGTTATCATCAGGTATCTGATGAACCCAAAATTATCATTTTTCGTGTTTCTAGGAAACGTAAAACCTTTAATTAAGTCTCAATGAAAAAGAAAAAACAAAAAAAAAAAAAAAAACCCAAAAAATCAGGTGAAGATGTAAAGACAGAATCTTGCATCTTTCTGAATCATCGTTTTGTAAACCAAAATATAATTTAAAATGAATTCAACTTGTATAATAAAAACTGACTTATCTATTGTCATTAATGTTTAGTTTGAACATAGTACATGTTCAGTTCAGACAGGTGACATTAGTGAAAATAGTCAAAATGACCTGCTTGTGGTCTGAATGTCAGTTTACATCTTCAACAAGACTTCTTTCCATTGAAAACCTAGGTTCTTCTTTTAATTACTATCCCTGAATCTCAGGATTTTGAAAAATTTCCATAACTTTTTTCTATCAAATTGCAACGATGATTTATAAATCATGTTTTTGATTTGATCACCAGACTTAATGGAGGGAAATGTAAACGAGTTCCAGCTCCATACTGATCGTATTCAATACAAATATATTCACTGCCAAGGACATGCCACCTAAAGTCGTTCATATCCGACGGTACTTGGTTCTTTTAACTCCGCAAAATAACATTTGCAAAGGAACATTTGTATCATGCAATTCCTAGACCGATAATTATTTAATCAAACAATTTCTGTTGCCATCAATTCTTAATTATTTATCAAGAAAAAATCCTGGCCGCACAATCTGATATATATGTCTATCGCGAAGCCTGACACAGCGGTCTCCAACTTCCGTTCTAAGTCCTCTTTATCAGATACTCAGTCAATGACTACCGAAGGCACTTTATTTTGTATTTACATATAAATAAGTACAATAGATGGAAATCTCTCCCCTGAGAAATAATTTCTAGGAAAGTGTCATTATCAAAAAGACTATGTGTCCTTAGTGTCATAATCAATCGCACGATACCGACCGTTTTTGTACTCTGTTTACAGGTGACACACATTCATGGCACCTGAGGCAACTAGGGAACTGAATGGTGCCTTGGGGTCAATGATACTGATTGTACAAAGAAACAATCCATAGAATGAATTGATAACACAGTTATGACATCTCCCTGTGTACTGTTAATCTAATTTGTCATTAGGACAGTTAAAAAAAAAATTAATTTCATGACTAATATTTTCAAAATCATAATACATGTATGTAACTTGAACTCAAATTGGAAGTTGAAATGCTTTTACGAACATTAAACCATCATGGCCAAATGGAACTTTAGATATTATATTTCTTACTGACATGACAGGCAACAGCAACAACACTTAGTGTAGAATCAATCAATTACAGTGTGTCTGTGTTACCTGGCAATGAATCAGCTGATAGCAGGCAATCAACCATGACAGCAAATTGATGAGAAATATGACAAATTCCAAACACATTCTTTTTGTATTTGTTTCAAATTTGTCAGAATATACCTCACAGAAATTGCTGGCTTTAAACATTTCCATTGAGCATGCAGAGGTCAATGAAACCATCCTAGATTTCAAATCACTGAAAATATCATAACTGGCCAGGACTTTAAAAATATATTTTCACCATTCTTTTAATCATATCTGCCCATTGAAACTGGAGAGGTGAACAATATTAATGCCCGTATTAAACCTATTTCAGCTGCTGCTACCAGCCAATGTCAGCAGATCTTCCTGAAATCTTTGCCAGGTATGCTCTGCTTCAAAAGGTTCAGACACTTTCATCAGTACTAGAGGAAGAGCTTTTACAATAAATGAAATTTTATTACCCCAACTAGACCAAATCTGACATTGTTTTAAGGACCACAAAAGTTATTTCAACATTTTTGCCACAGTCCAGGAATACAACATACAGAAATATAGAGGATATTTTTTCTGATTAACTTTGAATAATAGAGAGTACCACATTAAAAGCAAAATTGATGACAGAATCTTCAAATCACTTTTTGGACTATACCCTTCCCTTCCTATCACTGGCAATGTGATGGGACCTCCTGTATGCTGTTCAGTGAGGTACCCTGGATGTTCATGGGGCGATAACAAAAAAACAATAACATATCTGGTTCACTTGCTTTTATTGTAGATTAACACTAGTGAAAGTAAGGAGCATCACAATGAAATACTGTAACTAGAGTCCGAAATCGTCCACAATGTTATGTTGACAGATTAGATCGTAAACAAAATCTGGAATCTCCCACAGGACTTTATGGATGAATAGTATACAAAGCATCCTTTTTTATTGGTTTACTTTCAATTTATGCAATGAAATAAAAATCCCTGATATCAATGCAGAAATCAATCCTGAAATTTTTTCTGGACCCCTTGCCGAGATACGGCTTTGTCAGGCAATGCAGCAGTGTTTTTGTCACAGATAAAATATGATTTGTCTGCACAAAATTAATGGAGTGTATAGGTGTTTATGAGTCTGTCGAGAAAGTAACGACTGTTTTAATTGATCGTTTTTCACGTTTATCAGCCTGATATCAGAAACCATATAATTCGTGATTTTCTCCGAGTGGAGCTCATGTTCCTAAAGAGGTCACTTATGTCTATAGTCAGATGGAACTTCAGATTTTACCTGGCTTTTAAGTCCTATACGATCAATATTTAGTTTGCCTACAGAAATGTAATACTTGCAAATGTATTGATCTGACATTTACTGAAATTTTTTTTGCTGATTAAGCAGATCATAAAATTACACTACTAAAGCTATTTAAATATGTATATCACTGAAAATGTGCCAGAAACTAGGTCTTCCCAAGAATTTTGTTATGTTCAGCTTTTAATATGATCCCGGCCCAACTTGTATAAAACATCTCAACTTGAGATTTCCTCAAGTCAAGATTTTCCTCAGCTAATATCTCCTTGAAAATATCTTGTATGAAAATTCCTCAAGGAATTTCAGGACATCCTAGCCGATGACTTCCTCCTGTTCCTTGAGAAATTTTATACAAGCCGTTTTTGAGGAGATATCAGCTGAGGAAAATCTCGACTTGAGGAAATCTCAAGTTGAAATGTTTTATACAAGTGGGGCCTGGTCTCCCTCAAGTTTGATCACACTATTTCAACCAGTCAAATATCAGATGCCTTTCACGTCTTTGAATACACCAGTTTTAAAGTTGGATAATGATCTACTAATCAAAAGCCTCTGTTCAGCTGCTACAGACGCCATCTTGGAGGATGTCAAATATATTCTACTGTGCATTTCAGCACACCCACAGAAATATTTGTGCAAAGTTAAAAGAAAACATGTGAGAAACTCTAATTCTGTGCTTAGTAAGTGATCAACTGCCTGCAGACCAAAGGAAAGCACTTCCATTCAGCTTCTCCTCACAAGCAACCTGTACACCAAATATGGGCATGAATGGTCCAGAGACCAATATACTATATTGATAAAGATTCTCTGACCTTTGACCTACTTCACTGAAAAGTACTACTGTTTGTCACTTCCAAACAAGCCACATGTATATCAAATGTGGGCATGATCAACCATGAAAAAAGTTTTGCATTGAAACTTAATCGTAACTATAATTTTATTTTTAGCACCAGGTCACATGACCATTGAGTTGAAGTGCTATCACTTGCAATGGCTTCACGTAAACAATGCACATACCAAATACTGTGTTATTGTGTAACCTTTTACCAAAAAAGACTAAAAGTCAATGTCACCTTTCCCTTTCACAAAAGTATCATGTGTAAAGTATATAATCATTACAGACCTAGAGGAACAGAAACCAAACTTATAGTTTTATTGTAACAACTTTTGCAAAATATCAGGTGAGATTTTATTTTCCTTCTTGGTATAAATTGATATTTTCCAGGTAAAAATGTCATATTTAAGTGACTTTTGAGAATTAAAGAATTCACAAAATTTTCATTTAATGTTTTACAATACATCATTAATTAGATGTGATAAGCGCTTATCTATTTCTTATATATCCCGATTAAAATCAAATTATAAATTTTTATATTTTTGATGAAAAAAAAAATCATTGTATTTTGTTACTGCTCAAAAATCACCATAGTTTTTAGTTCAAAACCATTTAAGCTTAACATCTTTTGATGCTTGTGTGAAATTTTCAGCAGTTTCATACAAAACTGTGTAAACGTGTTACCCCTATAATAACTGAGCACACAGGAGTATGTACATTGTACTATTGGTGAAGACCTTATTTAGATGGTTGATATGATCTGACAAAGCAATTTTCAATGTATATGACTCTGTTCTAGTACAAGTGTGTGAATGTGTGTCAAAGGAAGGGAGATAATTCACTCAAATTATGATTAATTGCCTACTGCCTTATATTAAGATTGATGACACACTCACTTCATTGATGTCTCCAATTTCATTTTCGGCCAATGACAGAATGACTACAGACTTTGGGAAATGCTGCGGGACTGTTCTCAGTGATGTCAGGATGTTGCCATGGAGAAGAAGTGTCTGTAATATAAAAAACAACATCAATAATAGAACGCTGAGATCAGACTTTATCAGCAAATAAAATATCACAAATGTTAATAGAAGAATTTTAATGTTAGTGTACTTAACCAATAAAACAGTTGTATCATTGCATCAGGATTTTAAGTAAAACAATGTTGTCCATTAGTTATTCAGAAATCAAGTTTGAGCGTTCGGAATAAATCCTTGTAGCAACTTTATTTTGTTTTCCTCTTTCGTGATCGCAGTAAATATATGAACTTACTTGATCTGATACCATAAACAACAAAAGCTTTATAGTTCAAAATTACTTCAGAGGTCTGAGATGATTAATTTCTTAAGACTCAGAAATGAGTTTGGCTTGAGGGATACAATGAGTTGTTTGGCTATGGGAGCAAGGATGGAGAAAGAAGATATTCAGAGCAAAGGGAATAGGTGAGACTTAGAGGTTGACCAAGATGTATTTTTCAGAATTCTAATAGGGCTGGGGAGGGAGGAGATTGTAACAGCCTTACTAGATACTTCTCACGTATGTAACGTCAGACGCAGACGACACTTGGGTGTAGAAGGTGGAGAGGAGGGGTGATGGAAAATCCTAACATAGAAACCACTCACATATGTACTGTCAGACATAGGAGACATTAAGGTGTGTGTGAAGGGGGTGGGGTTGATGATATAACAACCTAACGTGGAGACACCTCAGGTGTATAATGTCAAACACCAAAGACATTGGGATGTGTGTGGAGGGAGTGGGGAGGGGAATGCAACAGCCATACCAGGAGACCCTTCAGGTACAAAATGCAAGTGAAAGAAGACATAAGAGTGTGTGTTGAGGGGGTGGGATGGAGAAATGTAACAGCTTTACTGTGTTGAAGGGGTGGGATGGAGAAATGTAACAGCTTTACTGTGTTGAAGGGGTGGGATGGAGAAATGTAACAGCTTTACTGTGTTGAGGGGGTGGGATGGAGAAATGTAACAGCTTTACTGTGTTGAAGGGGTGGGATGGAGAAATGTAACAGCTTTACTGTGTTAAGGGGGTGGGATGGATAAATGTAACAGCTTTACTGTGTGGAGGGGGTAGGATGAAGAAATGTAACAGCTTTACTGTGTGGAGGGAGTGGGATGGAGAAATGTAACAGCTTTACTGTGTGGAGGGGGTAGGATGAAGAAATGTAACAGCTTTACTGTGTGGAGGGAGTGGGATGGAGAAATGTAACAGCTTTACTGTAAGACTCCTCTGATGTGTTACATCATGAAACAAAAGATACCAAGGTGTGTGTGGAGGGGGTGGGATGGAGAAATGTAACAGCTTTACTGTGTGGAGGGGGTAGGATGGAGAAATGTAACAGCTTTACTGTGTGAAGGGGGTAGGATGGAGGATGTACAGCTTTTAACAGATACTTCCCAGGTGTGTTATGTCATGAAAGAATAGACGTCAGAATGTGTGTGGAGGGGTTGGGGTAGAGAATGTATTAGACTTACCCGAAGACTCCTCAGGTGTGTTATATCCGACAGTGATGATATACTGTTGTCAGACAGATCCAGGTGACCCAGAGTAATATTTGAGTTCAGGTTCTCAATCGCCTGTTAACACCACAAAAAAACACATACAAATCTTTACCAATACCAGACACGTTTTTTTAAATAACATCTTAATCTGAAAATAAACAATTCCTTGTAACACTTTCACTCCTCATTTCTGTAATAAGCTCACCTCCTGACTTTGAATCAGATATGTATTGGTTTTCTGATCATATCAAGAGAAATTCAGTACACGAGAGTAAAATTTGACCTGTGTTGGTGATAGTTGACTCTATTGGTATGTTGCATGATGCCAACATTTATCCTCAATCAAATCTCATCCTCAATTATGAAAATTTCATTGTAACTTCAGAAACATTGTATCTATAATTTGCTTGTGTCTGTTTAAATTTCTTCTGTTAAATGAATCTTCACAAATGAGACATTTGCAGCACAGATATAGTGATCTACAGTACTTGAGGGTAAGAACTATTTTGTTTCTACAGTATTTGAGGGTAAGGACTATTTTGTTTCCACAGTATTTGAGGGTAAGGACTATTTTGTTTCCACAGTATTTGAGGGTAAGAACTATTTTGTTTCTATAGTATTTGAGGGTAAGAACTATTTTGTTTCTACAGTATTTGAGGGTAAGAACTATTTTGTTTCTATAGTATTTGAGGGTAAGAACTATTTTGTTTCTACAGTATTTGAGGGTAAGAACTATTTTGTTTCTACAGTATTTGAGGGTAAGAACTATTTTGTTTCTACAGTATTTGAGGGTAAGAACTATTTTGTTTCTATAGTATTTGAGGGTAAGGACTATTTTGTTTCCACAGTATTTGAGGGTAAGAACTATTTTGTTTCTACAGTATGTGAGGGTAAGAACTATTTTGTTTCTACAGTATTTGAGGGTAAGAACTATTTTGTTTCCACAGTATTTGAGGGTAAGAACTATTTTGTTTCCACAGTATTTGAGGGTAAGAACTTTTTTGTTTCCACAGTATTTGAGGGTAAGAACTATTTTGTTTCTACAGTATGTGAGGTAAGAACTATTTTGTTTCTACAGTATGTGAGGGTAAGAACTATTTTGTTTCTACAGTATTTGAGGGTAAGGACTATTTTGTTTCCACAGTATTTGAGGGTAAGAACTATTTTGTTTCTACAGTATGTGAGGGTAAGGACTATTTTGTTTCCACAGTATTTGAGGGTAAGAACTATTTTGTTTCTTCAGTATTTGAGGGTAAGGACTATTTTGTTTCCACAGTATTTGAGGGTAAGGACTATTTTGTTTCCACAGTATTTGAGGGTAAGAACTATTTTGTTTCATAGTATTTGAGGGTTATTTTGTTTCTACAGTATTTGAGGGTAAGAACTTTTTTGTTTCCACAGTATTTGAGGGTAAGAACTATTTTGTTTCTACAGTATGTGAGGGTAAGAACCATTTTGTTTCCACAGTATTTGAGGGTAAGAACTATTTTGTTTCTACAGTATGTGAGGGTAAGAACTATTTTGTTTCTACAGTATGTGAGGGTAAGAACCATTTTGTTTCCACAGTATTTGTTTTTTTGTTTCAGTATTTGAGGGTAAGAACTATTTTGTTTTCACAGTATTTGAGGGTAACAACTATTTTGTTTCCACAGTATTTGAGGGTAAGGACTATTTAGTGTCAGCCTGGTAATTTCGCCTCACCTTGATGCTATTTCCTGACAAGTTTAACCATTCAAGCTGCACAAGTTCTTTCAGACCTGGAATAAAAAGACAAAACTTACATCAAATTTGCAATGCTATAGCAACATTAATGATGATTATGAACTGATAAGAAAAGAGGGGCCAAAGTCATGTACCTGCCTGCAGTGTACAAGAAATATTTCGCCATATTATAACTCTCACCTGTTTCATTCTCAAATCACCAAGGTAAAAAAAGGAGGTTTAAGGTTTAACATTCCATGTATATTTTATATGTAATTTAAATCTGTTGAAAATGAAATACATGAACATTTTTATGTACTTTAGTGTGAATTTGAATTGAGGCCAAACTTTATAATCCTGATGGAAGGTGAAAGAGCCTTCTATCCAGTTTAATATCACAATAAATCTGTTTACTTACCTTCGACTGCTACAATACTGTTGTTTGGTAGATTGAGAACAGTCAAGTTTGTAAGCTTCCCTACTCCAGTCATTCTCACCAGTCTGTTCCCAGACAGGGACAACTGTAAAGTTATCAAATAAATCGAAAGTCAGAAATTAATCTATCAAATATTATTATTCTACACAGACTGTACCTATGATTTATCTTAACTTTATCAATCACTCTTGTTAAACTGGATGGAAGTATTTATAGAGACGTACAAAAGAATGAGAAGATGATCACATAACATTACTTCTATAAGTAATAACCATATTTCAGCACTTTTTGTGTTAAAAAAGGTTTTTTCACAAAAATGTTTTGTTTCTGTCATTAATATAGCAATTATTGCGAATGTGTGAATACATCATTTTGTTTATTTGTTCAAAGCTGATTACACGCTAAAATATGATTATGCCAAAAGGAGTACATTAACAGCAACTTTTCATGTAAGATTGAAAGAGTGAAAGATAAATGTGTGTGTGTTATTCCTTTGTGCCGCCCATATCAATCTCATTTATCTACTCTACACAGAAAAGTCTATTCATTGGTTTTGAAAACATCAAATGTATACATGGATTTCTACTCTTTTTGTCAAAATTGTGCAACAAAAATACTAGGGTTGCATAACTATGGTATCAGTGCCATTACAGTTGTGTAAACAAATTCATCCTTTGCAAAAAATCTTTGTGACAAAATAAAAGACAGGTAAATATTTGAACTGATTTATAACACACCTGTTTGAGGTTGTGGCATCGTTCCAGATTTTCTATCTTAGATACATTGTTTTTGTCGCATATGATGGTGGCTGGATCTAGTCCTGGTGGCACCTCAATCTTGTGTAACCTTCGACCCGTCAGGTCAAGGACATCCGACTCAGCATCTGTGAAATAAAATGGCAGAGTTAACTGGTTGGTGACTGCAGCTAGTAAATATTTTATGCTGCCAACAAATAAACAAAAATGGACAGCAAACCAAAAGCTATAGGGTACACATATTTTTCATTTACACCTCTACCAATCAACACTTAAATCCTATTCCTACTATGAGGCCCCACAGAAAATGAACCTGGATCTTCAGTGTGATATTCCATTTGTCTCATGTGCAAAGTGACAGAGAACATACCAAACTCATTTTATTTCTCAATATTGGCACTAGTTAAATCAAGATGGCTGTCACTTAAAAAGATATTGTAAGGTTATTTCAGAATTTTTTTAAATAAAGAAAAATATTGAATTAATGATGATAATAATTTAAACCAATTTTTTGTTACATTTTTTTTTTTATTTTATTTTTTATTAACCAAATAGCAATTTAAGTTAAAGTGAATGATAATCCATGTACAGGCACCAAATTCAGAACATCAACGTTCTCCTGCAACATGACACAGTCTATAAGTATCCTGTCATATTTATATACCTCAAATGTCCCCAGTTATTTGGACATATTGACTGTTGGTTTATGAAAACTGACATATCAAGATCAAGAGTTTGTATATGTGAGCGTAATATACATGAATAATCCAGTGATGGGTTATAATCAGAAAATACGCCCGAGGCTGTTTATAAAAAGCAATGGAAAACGGTGTTATTTTAAATGATTTTTTTCTTTTTTTCTAAGTCTGCCAACTTAACACGAAACAACATGTTTTCGGTGACAGAAACCATGATACAATGTATCACTAATTCCCTATTCATTCTTCAATGATATGGAAAATTTTAGAAGGAGAAGAATTCTTTAAAAGCTTTTTAAAAACCAAGCCATTTATTCATTTTAAATGCGTTCAAGCATTGTATGATAGTCAAATATTTATTTTCTTGAAGTCTTATCCACAAAACTTAAATTTGTAAGAAGTCAGAAACGATATTTATCATATAATATATTAAACACAGAACAAAGTACACATGTACTGATATTTAATGCATTGTACAAAAAAAACGAAATATGACTGTGCTAATTGTCACTTCAGTATATGTTAAATATAAATCACTGATTCACTGATTCATCAATGCTCTAACTTACCAAAATGAGATAATGCGCTAAAATTGATGGCGGTAGACTAGTATGTTTACAGTATGTATATCTATTTGATGTCTATATAATGATTTTTTTTTTATTATTATCAAGAATGCTGAAGTACATATATATTGCTGTTTTGACTTTTACATCAGGAATATAATACATCGATATCACACAGATGGAACTGAAATTTATGTGTTACACTTTCAAACCAATTACAAATTTATCCTTATTAAAAATGAGAAGGAAGATTCCATATTACGATCTCTTCGGCTAAATTTGTATACTTAATCTATATATTCCGGTCTAACTGATTTGGTCTCACTGATAACCAAGCTGAGATTATGACACAACAGTACACAAATATTTCTGTTGTATATCTTCTTTACTCATAATATATATATATACAGTAGCCTGAGGGGGGTATTACTTATATTTACACAACAATGGTTGGACTGTTCCTGACAAACAATACCAACTTTATCCATTACACCAATTCTGAACCGTTTTGTTGTTTACTGATGGATAAGTAACATACCTGACCTACATAAGGACTGGTTCAGAATGGATTTTAAACCATCTCTCGATGTCTTTAGGCAACATGTTTGTTGAGAACATTGATTGACACATTCCTGTTAAAGTTATCCCTCCTCCAATTAGGGACCAATTAGAAACAAAATATGTCATCCGAAAATATTCATGTGGTAAATGGACAGGGAAATATAGCATTGAGGGACACAAGAATAATGAACATTGTGTATAGAGAGTCACAAGAATCATGAATACTGTGTATAGAGAGTCACAAGAATCATGAACATTGTGTATAGAGAGTCACAAGAATCATGAATACTGTGTATAGAGAGTCACAAGAATCATGAACATTGTGTATAGAGAGTCACAAGAATCATGAATACTGTGTATAGAGAGTCACAAGAATCATGAACATTGTGTATAGAGAGTCACAAGAATCCTGAATACTGTGTATAGAGAGTCACAAGAATCCTGAACACTGTGTATAGAGGGTCACAAGAATCCTGAATACTGTGTATAGAGAGTCACAAGAATAATGAACACTGTGTATAGAGGGTCACAAGAATAATGAACAGTGTGTATAGAGTCACAAGAATCATGAACACTGTGTATAGAGGGTCACAAGAATCCTGAACACTGTACAGCGTCACAAGAATCCTGAACACTGTACAGCGTCACAAGAATCCTGAACACTGTACAGCGTCATAAGAATAATGAACTCTGTGTATAGAGGGTCACAAGAATAATGAACACTGTGTATAGAGTCACAAGAATCATGAACACTGTATAGAGTCACAAGAATCATGAACACTGTATAGCGTCACAAGAATCCTGAACACTGTACAGCGTCACAAGAATAATGAACACTGTGTATAGAGGGTCACAAGAATAATGAACACTGTGTATAGAGGGTCACAAGAATAATGAACAGTGTGTATAGAGGGTCACAAGAATAATGAACACTGTGTATAGAGGGTCACAAGAATAATGAACACTGTGTATAGAGGGTCACAAGAATAATGAACAGTGTGTATAGAGGGTCACAAGAATCATGAGCACTGTGTGTAGCGTCACAAGAATTATGAACACTGTGTATAGACACGGGAGCTGCCCCTCGACACAGGTTCGCCTCCTAGAAACAGCAGTGCCCCCTAGACACAGCAGCAGCACCCTCTAGACAGAGGAGCGTCCCCTCAACTCAGCAGCGTCCCCTAGACACAGCAGCAACCCCTAGACACAGGAGCTTCCCCTCGACACAGCAGAACCCCGTACACACAGCAGCGTCCCCTTGACACAGATGAATCCCCTAGACACAGCAGCATCCTCTCGACACAGCAACATCCCTTAGACACAGCAGCGTCCCCTTGACACAGCAGAATCCCGTACACACAGCAGCGTCCCCTCGACACAGGAGCGTCCCCTCGACTCAGCAGTGTCACCCTAGACACAGCAGCACCCCTTGACAGAGGAGCGCCCTCAAGACACAGCAGCGTCCCCTCAACACAGCAACGTCCCCTTGACACAGATGAGTCCCCTTGACACAGATGAGTCCCCTAGACACAGCAGCATCCTCTCGACACAGCAACATCCCTTAGACACAGCAGCTTCCCCTTGACACAGCAGAATCTCGTACACACAGCAGCCTCCCCTTGACACAGGAGCGCCCCCTAGACACAGCAGTGTCCCCTAGACACAGCAGCAACCCCTGGACACAGGAGCTTCCCCTCGACACAGCAGAACCCCGTACACACAGCAGCATCCCCTCGACACAGCGTCCCCTAGACACAGCAGAACCCCGTAGACACAGCAGCGTCCCCTAAACACAACAGCGTTCCCTAAACACAGCAGCGTCCCCTTGACACAGCAGTGTCATCAGATTGTGTCATTAACAATAAAATACTCTTGAAGAAATGGTAACATCATTTTGACCATTCAGTTTTCTAGTGAATTCCTTTAGACCAAAAACAATAATCAGTATTTATTAGTGAAAGAATTAACGAACATATTATTTCAATAATACAGGTGAAATTGTCATTGTTTTATTTTTCAGAATTCACCATGTAGATCTCCTCCAAACACAATTTTGGACCTTCTAACACTGATGCATACAAATCCAGTATGATTTATCAGTGGTATATCTTACTGGTAAATAATTGTAAATAACATGTATGATAAAACGTTTGCTTTGGTTGGAAAGATTCGCTAAGTTGTATAGTGCATGATTCATGGGAATGTGATAATATTTTGAGAAAACAATTCATTTTTTTAAAAATTTCATCTGAAGGAGGACTATAAATAATCCAATGTATACACTTATTTTTATTGTCTATTAAAATGGAATAACAATGTAAAAATTACAGAGATGTGCTTTTTCATACTTACATTTTTTCTGTCTCATTATTTTAAAACAACTTGTATCCAAGCTGTCTCCAACAATTCACTCTTGTGTTGTTCTAGTAAATGATGCCAATTTATGTAAAAACACTCGATGAGAAACTCCAATTACATGAGGTAAGAATCAACATTGATCCCATCAACAAATAGATGAGAAGCCCATCACATTGATCTGTAAGTTATCTGATCCTAGAGGCAGACGATTCTCTCAAACCACAGCAACATCAAATTTCAAAGCACCATATAAACTGATTACTAGTCCTGTCTCTGTAATATACGATTTTTGTTCTTCAAATTAAAACCATTTCACTTGTTCATAGACATCACAGTGTCCTACTTCCTCTCTGATCAGCGGAACTATTTTACGGACGGAACTTCTGACACTTCATGGCCATCAGTGTACAGAGCGGTAGTAAATCCATACCCAAGAGTACTTCACCAGTCTTTTATACACATACAGGTATATATACATATGTATACACAGCGTCTCTTTTACAGATCATGAGTACCTATAGACCTATATGTAAGTATATATATATATGTGTATGTATCCAAAATGTTAACCCTTTTGTACTATTAAATTGACCTAAACAAGGAAACATTGAGTCTATTGTGATGTTCGAACATGCCACATCCTGAATAAAAATCAACGGGAGAGTACACGCCCTTTGTAGATAACAAGTTTGTGAAAACATCTTAATACACAAAAATATGTTAATACACAAACTGTTACCCATCAAGATGGGAAGAACTTACAACCAAACATCAGAATATCTATATTCTTAACACTATCCATCCATTTGAAATCATCATTTGTTGGCGTTTTTTTCTTTAAATGTTTTAGACAAGTATGATGCAAAGGTAGTTCAGGTTATTTCGTCTATTTACTTGTCTACCTGTAATTTTGTTACCTGTACAGTCAGGTGAACCAGTCTACCTGACCTCTGATCAATATTGTTTATTACAACTCTGTATGAGGACCCAATTAAGCAGACCTGGAGAACAATACACATTCTCTGCTCTAGGCCAGCTGAAAACAAGCTTGGCCATACGCCAACTTCAACCTTGAGGTATACCATTGTTAATGCATCCTTTTCTTCCATATAATTTCAAGGCTCTCACACCCCATTTTGGGACTGGGGCCCGGGGCCCTTAGAATTGGGAAAAATAGTGGCGTTTTCCTTAGAATTGGGAAAACTTGGGGTCTAAATTGGGAAAAAAAGATACTATTTTGCATTGGGAATGGGGCCGAATATCCGCACCAAATCTGGCAGATCGAGAGCCCTGAATTTATATGGGTAAATGAACCTGATATTTCAATTTCTGACTTATACTGTCAGAAAACTAAATGGCAGTAGACATAGATGGATTAGTTATCCAAATGTTTGATTGATGGCAACACTAATTCTTTGGCATATGTCATATATTTTTGACAGGACACAACTTTGATATCTTTATACAGATATTATGGAAGAACCACAATTGGTTTGACCAAGATTTACAAGGCAGGTGCTGTCGATGGTGGAGATGCTTACTCTTCTGGGACATCTGGTCTTATTCTCCTTGTACTTTTTCAGATTTCTACATGTAAATCTTTCTTTTCATCATATTTTGCCCTAATTTTATCTAATTTGAGTTTGGATTACGATAGTCCACATGTTGGTATTTTTTTTCTTTTTATGTCCTTAGGTGTGGTAATGCAGGTACTCCAATTTCCTCCTATAGTAATATTCCTTTTTGTTTCACAAATAATTGTTGGAAGTACATCAAAATCTCAAAATGCAAAAACAAAAACAAAACAAACAAAACACAAATTGTACACTGGACAGCTAGCCAGCTCCCTTCAGATTTTTTTGACAATTGTTTAAACTATCATTATTTTGGAAGATTAAATGGTTGAATGAGGACAAAATAAGGTTTTGCCATAGCATCTATATTTGGCCCATAATCCTGCAAGAAAGAAAATAAATAAATAAAAAAAAAGCTGCCTTGTGTTTGCTATTGAAGAAACATTTTGCTTTGATGGCTTTGAACTATAAACTTCCAATATTTCACAATATTTACAAAGCTAGTTATTCATTTGATCTAAAGTCACTCTTGTTTGCCGAGACTGAAATGCACCAGGAGTCTAAATATGAATACCCAGGAAAATCTCATGTGGTCAGTAAGGTGACCTCATAGCTTTTAACGTTGATCTATTATGATCATATTATACTGTAACAGAAGTCATCATTCATTTCAAATTATATAAAACACACTACAAGCAAAACTTATATGCCACATTGTCATAAAATAATACTAAGAATGTTTTCAATCGTTAACAGTGATTTACTTAATATTGATGAGAGCGTGATGTAAAAACTAATTACACTACCATGTAAACCTTTCAAATTTGTGTATTCATTTGCATTATCAATCCACGGACAAGTTTTTGTTAGCAATCACCTTCCAAATGTAACTGACTGGAAAATATTAATGGCTCAAATAAAAGTCAACAAGTGCTTTTATTTGCAGTTGCAGCACCATTGTGCATCCAGAGAACTTGTTTCTTTATTATCAATTCATATTGTCTCTGTAAATCTTCTCCTTAAATTGCCCTGAGCTCTGAATAATCCACTCTGTTGGGCAGGCAATATTTTACTGGAAAGATTAATTGTGAGTGTGGCACAAATGAGTAATGTGGGATTCATGAAAAGTCACATTCTCATTAAATTGTGCAACATAGCGAGAGCATGATTTCCAGTAACTATGTTAATTTCACATTTTAAAATCAGGGCTCTTGATCTGCCAGATTTGGGGCCGGTATTCGGCCCCATTCCCAATGCAAAATAGTATCTTTTTTTTCCCGATTTAGACCCCAAGTTTTCCCAATTCTAAGGAAAACGCGGCTATTTTTCCTAATTCTAAAGGCCCCGGGCCCCAGTCCCAAAATGGGGTGTGAGAGCCCTGAAAAGTATTAGTTACTAAAAAATATATATCATTACTCTGGCTTACTTGTTAAATAAATATATCCATGGCACACTAGTTTCTGACCCCTTAAGAACCACTTCATGCTAGCTTCACTATGTCAATGAATTGCCACCAAACAACATTAATCAATTCAAATATTCATATCATAAAATTCATTTTTAAAAAAACTGATCAGTGAAACACCAGTATTTTTCTAAAAAGTATCCACAGATCTGACCTCAAATTTGCTCACCTGAAAAGATTGACATGTGTATCTGACATGTAATTGCACTTTCATTTCTGATAACATCACTAAATCTCAGAGACATTTTAGATAGCTTAAAGTGACCCAGAAGTACACATGTATTACATAAAATAAAATCATCATGTGAACAGAAATGACATTCTGGTGACAGAAAAAAATTATATTAAATCATGGTGCGAAAATGGTGTATACCTGTGTTAATGTGTGCACCCTTTTCTGAATGGTAAGATTTTGGTGTTTTTCTCAAATAAACCATATTTCTCGGCAAACTTCTTTTTTTATAACACAAGCTATTTGAATAATGTAAATTTTTCATCTGTCAGTCTACAAATCGCCAGTTAACTAAAATCAGAAATGAGTCATCAAAAGTAATAATTAAAATAACACCACTTTTCCAAAATAAGACATGCATGTTTGAACTTTTTGCAAGAAGGCGTGGCCTATTTATTATTCATGATCGATTTTTATTCACTTTGCAGACGACAACAAAACACTAGCATACTAGTATGGATTGATTGGATATTTCATCATATCTTGGAGGATGCTTGATGTGAAAATATGTAACAAAAAAAATAATAAATAAACAAATTTGCCAACGAAATATTAACACAGAATATTTTATGATGAATAATTTAATAATTATTTGTTATTCTTTCTGGAAGCGTGACATGTAACAGCAACCAAAATTATCCTGGTGCGAGGTCACGCTTGTCAAAAGTACATGTGATATGCCTCGACAAAATGGCCGTTCCGAAATACATAACGGTCCGGAACCGATGTCCAGACGATATTATATCTACACAATCATCGTCAATCCTCTGTACACCTTGTTATTTGATAATGCATTCAGAATTGATTTGCATCTAAAAATTGAAATTCAAGTGACCTTTTCCGTTCAATGTCAGTGATAACTATTCATCTCACGTCAAATGACGCGGTTGATACTTCTATTTGCGGATATCTGCATTTAGTGATGCTACCGTCAAAACCCAGAATCTGCGTCAGCCATCAGTTTACATTAGCAACATCACACCACACGGCTGAAGTATTGCTTATCGTGACCAGTTCAAACTTAAATCAGCATTAAGGGCACTATTCTTCAATGTTGATCATGTATTATGTGCATATAGTATAAAAATTAGAAAGCAAAACCTTTTCTAAATAGTCTATACTGTTCCAAACTTACCCGACTCAGTCATGTTTGATTCCCGCTTCCTATTGAAGTCTTGTAACGAGATTCCTGATTGGTCGTTTCTTGAAGAATGCCAATCTCGCAGTAAATGATTTATTAAATTTGCGAAATCAATATTTTTAAACATCGAAACACCAGGCAATTATCTATCTAAAGTTTATTCTGATAACCACTGAATACTGATGATTGTTAATATTTTTGTCATATTAAATGTGATCTATGAACAAGCATTCTGTACTTTGCCAATAATCCCATTAAACTTGAACCTCTGGCTTTGAGCACTTTCCAGAGTAGAATGTATGGTGTTTAGCGTTAGTATTGTTTCAATTCTGTGATGAATAAGTCTTAAATAATTTAACAAACAAGAGAAAATATAATTATACTTCATTTCATATATTCTGAGGGATTGAAATTCTTGTAAATGGATATCGGATTATACTTTCACTACCCTGTGAGAAAACGACAACCCGTGTAATTTGGAAATGATGAAAGAAACACCACCAAGTTATGAAGGTAATTCCTGTCAAAATATTAGCAATCGGATATAACAGAATAAAAGAAATATATTTGTTGTTCAGAGTCATATATTCAGCCATTTTAACTATTCTCTCAATTCCAAGAGATTTTTTTTTTTGATAAATCAATCATTTTTGGTTACTTCCAAATATTGTCACCGCGAAATATTTCTGTTAAAAGTAATGTTCACAGAAATGAACGAAAGTTCAAAGAAAGTCTTGTCTTTCAGTGTTATTAATGAATTAACTTGCGTAAGTTTGGATTCATTTTTTTTTTTTTTTTGTTGAAATAATGCTAATGAAGTTCCACCATGGGCCAACTACGACATCCTGAAAATTATTCTTTTTTTCTTCAAACGCAATAGTTCCCCGGCTCAGCATTTTTTCAAATGCACTTGCATTGCATGCTTAATGCGTTTCCACACCTGCTTACGTCACGCCTCTTCTGGCTTTCAGTCTCTCCAGTATACTTTTCGGTTAATCTGTATTGTATTTTTTCCTGTATTGCTAATTTCTCGTACACAGTGGAACTGTGGAAGAACTGTAATCCTAACCACTGCACGCATATGGTCTTACCCATCTGTTACTGTCCAAAGTTAGATCAGTCAAATATTTAGGGAAAAAATTCTGCTGTTGCATCGGCTGCCATCACAGAAACCGTGATGATAGGAAGAAGACGGGGCTACATGTATAGATGCTACCAGGAACATATATGACATATGTCATATACGTTCCTGATGCTACCGAAAATCATATCATCTCCGACAAGTAAATAATACAGGTAAATTCGGGTTGGGGAAGCTGAGTTGTTACTATCTAGAGATGGAAAAGATAGCTGGGGAAGGGGACACATTTTCACTGAGTGGCTCTCTATTGTAACAGGGACGTATATGTCATATACGTCCCTGATTGTAAGTAGAATCTATGTGATGTGATTTCAAGAATATAGTTGTCATCTGTTCAGATAAACTTTTAAGAACATTTTTTGACCCCTTGTGGAAACAAAACACACAATCGAATTATATTATTGAGCATACTCTCTTAAAAATGCCCAAAGTGTACGATATACTTAATAAATCATTCCGCTGACGTTAGGGTGGTTTACAGGGAGATAATGGAATGGGTGTGTGCTACCTATATTTTGTTTCGTATGATAAAAATAAAATAACTTTTGATGATGAAATAAAATAAACAATAATAACAATTAACATTAATTTAGGGTATTTTAAATAAAGTATGTTAGTGAAATAGCATTCAGAATTGTTTGTACATTTTCTTATTTTTGAAATATTCACTGCGTATCTATTGTTGATCTTTCTCTTTCCGGTCGTCACCATGAAGTAATGGCAATTTCTGTTACCCCTTGTTTAAAATCGCTCTATTATTGCGACATCAATAATCTTAGGAAGAAATTAAGATGATTCACTTAATAAATGATAGTTACTCGTAGATAATATGTTTTAATTTTGCGTTTCAGGGTCGAACTTTGTGCGTTCAGCGGCTACAAAATCTACCCAGGCCATGGGAAAAGAATGGTCAAAATTGACGGGAGGGTAAGCATTTCCCGTTAAACTCCATTAGCAAGTAAAACCCGTCTTGTTTTGTGATCATATCGATGTTGTATTGATATTTATAGAACTGCATACAACGCCACGAATTAAAATCAGATGTGAGTTTTGGTTGAGATTGCCAAGTGCCTGAGGTCTGTCGATGTTGACGTTTAGTGTGTCTACTGATACACGTAAAGATCTACGCAACGAAAACTTATTTTGCAACAGTTAATTTGCACTTTGTGAAAACATTAACAAACAGATTATGATAAAAATGTGTTGTGCAGTAATGGCGAATCTGGCATATATACAGGGTTAAACATGGAGGGGTCTAACGTTCCCCGAACCCCTTAAGACTGAAAACTTTCTTCCCCATTACCACATTTTCGGAATGATGTGAGCCACCTTACCTTTGACATTGATGAAAACTTGTTGAAATTGTCACATTGTTCTAGGATCCCAGGATTTCACCATGTATTTGTTGAATATGTAAAAGTTTAGTAGTACATTAGACCGGTGTTATGCTACTGAATAACAGGCATCCGAGTGGATTTTTATTTTTATTTTTTTAAATAAATATGTATTCATAATTCACATGATAAACGTCCAATTATTGTTATAAAAAGCTGAACATGTGCTTGCTTAGATAATGAAAATGTATCGAGATTGAACTTACTTTATTGAAATCAAGCATTTTGCATGGCACATATAGAGCCTGGTACATGGACCCGTTCCCAATTGACGGAAAATGGAAAAATATCATATAGATATATGTATGAGAAAAAGAGTCTTTCATGGGAGAAACAAACTTATTGTGATAAAAATGTAGTAAAAAGAGGAAAGAAACTTGTGTTGCTGCCAGAATGATATTTTATATTGTACAGTCAAACTGATTTTATTCAGCTTCCATGCATTTCTGCTTTTTGGCTATTATTTCTGCCAGCTTCATCTTGTGGCTTTTTTTGAGACACCATATGGGTGGATGTGCTCAGATATGATTGTTTATTGCCAAAGAAAGCATTTTAAACAATGTTTTATTTTCTTTAATCAGTTTTGTGTAAACTTGTCATTTTAAAAACAAAAAAATGTTTTCAGGTCTTCAATTTTGTAAATGCAAAATGTGAACGCTCCCACTTGATGAAGAGGAACCCTCGTAAGATCAATTGGACAGTGTTATACAGAAGGAAACACAAGAAGGGCCAGACTGAGGAGGTGTCTAAGAAGAGAACCCGCCGTACCACAAAGTACCAGCGTGCCATCACAGGGGCAACCCTTACAGACATCATGGCAAAGAGGAACCAGAAGCCCGAAGTCCGCAAGGCCCAGAGGGAACAGGCCATCAGGTATGTTGTATGTTAGAAGTAATTCATATGTAGTCATTATAAAATATCAGGATTGAAGTTGTACGGAATGTTTTATTCTGTTTATGCTTCTGCAAATTGGAAGTGTTTTACTGTAGGTACAACAGAACTATCCCTGCTCTTTGGAAATTTTCAGTTTATTGGGTTACAAGCTGGTGTGCAAGCAAACAATATTTGGATATTTGCTGTGTATTGTGGATGGATTAGAGTACTTTTCTTGAAGTAAAAAACTAGATTCTTACCTCATTATGAAGAAAAAATATTCATTTTAGAGAAATCAATGGCCAAGTTTTGTATTTTTGGGTTGAAAATATGACGAAAATTTTGGAAGTGTTTGCCCAGTTTATTTTTTTAAAATGAAATTCATGGTCCAACAATGTGCACCAAAAATATTTGAAATCTATAAACAGGTTATTCTGGCAGGTTATCAAAAATTTTCACATGTCCAAAATGTATTTTACAGATTCACAAAATCTTAAATAAATACCACAGTTTTATGTGGATTCTCAATAATTATCAAAAAAGCAGTCAGGGATGCTCTTTTTCTGTTTCAAAGACCAGTTCTGAGATTCCTCCAGACAAACTCAGCATGTGCAACAAGATTGTCTGGACCATATTAATTAGCATAAAAGTTTATCTACAAAACAGTTAGTTATGCTGACCAGTAGACCTGTGTGTTCAGTGAATTTGTGCATTAAACTTGCCTGTTCAGAAGGGCAAAGGACATTGCAATATCAATTATATGTTATCGTTTGGTCCAAGCAGAATCAACAAAACTGAAATATTCTTTACATTCAGTACTGTAATGATCAGCAGATATAGACTTGGTTAGAACTCTCCTGTTGTTTGGACTTTAATCTTCTCTTGCACGTTTTGTAACGGCGTTTCGGATTTTTCTTGGTGTGAATTGTAATTAAGGTATTACTTTGTAACACCCTACATTCGTGATACTTCAGTTTAGAAAACATTGGTAAACGAAAAAAAGAAAAGCACTAAATATTATACACGTGACAGCGATATCACTAAATGACTATATGTGTTTACAATGCCATGAGCACAAAACTATATATAGACTGTCCATAGAATGCACTACAGGCTTGAATAGTCGATAAAGATAATTAAGAAGAAAGTGTTTAATTGCTAGCTAAAAGATGTTGTCTTCCATTGACTGAAAGTGAATGTTGTCTATGAAATTCTATGCTGCTTAAAAATAATTTCTAGCATTACCGCACATTCGGTCCATTACTACATAATTTACTGTATTGACTAAAATTTTGCTAAACATGTCTGGCGGTCCGAAGTTTGGCAAAATCTTTTTCAAGTAGTGAAATAACCCATCTTGCTTCCATCTCAGTCAAGTATTCTATATATATTTGCATTGGAAGAATTTTCTCAGTTTTTAAGGGGGTAGGGCAGTTTTTGAAACTGTTCTTTATTCATATATTTTTTTTACATACCGAGTTGAAGTACTGTAAGTTTATTTGTTTCTAAAGCATTTTCTTTTTCTCATGTACTACAGAGCTGCTAAAGAGAAGAACAAGGCAAAAGAGGCTGTCAAAAAGGCTACAAAGGTAACTTAGGTGACCGGGCAGTGCTTCTCCAGGTCACAACAATTTCTTACATATTCATGTTAGAGGAATGTAGTATAGCAAATCTTCTCACCAAGTTATCACAAAGGTAACCAAAGTGATACAAGAACAGGACTCGGAAGTCGCATGTAGATTTTATCTGCTCCATATCCTCCCGTATTTTCACCCAATTGTCATTTCATCAGCGAGGTAGCTGTTTTACTTAGATGAAAATAACAAGGATTATTGAAATGAGTTGTCCGTCTTGTCCAGTCATTGGGATATTGTGCACTACATGTGTAATACTTGCATGAATGATGCAACTAGTTAGGGTTTGACAGCATGAATGTTTAGATGCCGAATTTGTCCTACATTTTATTCTTCTGTCCCTGAAGTTGAAAATCAAGTTTAAATATGGTTATTACACAGAACTAAGCCACCATTACCAAATATTGTAAATCGTTGGAATAGGCTGCAATGTAATGTGAAGTGTCACACAATTCTGTTATCAATCTCGTCAATTTATCACTCGTGCATAAAAGATGTTGAAGTGATATTAACAGTCAATAGTTACAGATTAATACATTGATATTAATTCTTGTATAGATGCTTATGTTTATGGTAGCGGGGATGTCTGTCAATTCAAACCAGAATAATTTCCTGACCATAAATTGATTCCAGTCGTAAGTGTCTGAAGATAGCAATTATCATGTGCTGCCTCTTTATCATTACAGGCTGCGGCTCCCAAACAGACACAGAAGGCAAAAGCTGCAAGGAGCGCACCAGCAAGCAAGCCACGTGTTGGTGGAAAGCGATAGATTCCTCTGTATAAATTATTGTAATAAATCTGCCTTCTGGTGAGCTCATATGGTCATTTCTTGTGTTGTTCTACAGCTATTAGTACCTGGTATATGTTCTCTAGAATGACACTAAAGGATAGAAGGCAGGGCTCTCGATTTGGCAGATTTGGGGCTGAATATTCCCAATGCAAAATAGTATCTTTTTTTCCCAATTTAGACCCCGTTCTCCCAATTCTATGGAAAACATCATTATTTTTCCCAATTCTAAGGGCCCTGGGCCCCAGTCCCAAAATGGGGTGTGAGAGCCCTGGAAGGTACCAGGAAATTAAAACTCTGGTGTGCTAGATAGGAATGGTTATTACTAAATGGCAGTCAGGAGATGAAATACTCCTTGCCTTCAAGAAGATTAAATGACAAAGCAAATAATAGAATGCCCAAATATGTGGAATTTTTCAAAACAACTCCAAATAGTATGAGAATTTTCAGTGACAATTAAAGATGTTCAGCACATTGTTTTATACAGACCCCTGCCACCCCACCCCATTTTGAACTTAACGTTAATGAGTTGACATTGGATGTTTTTCAGGCTCTGATTTTGTCAGTTTACTTTAATAGGTTCATTTCCTGTTTTGACATTAACTTGGAACTTGGAAAAAATTGTTTACTTTTGGTTGCCAAATTCAAATTTCTTTTAAATTCAACTGGTGCTGACTTTTTGATTATGTAAACAAGAGACTCGCATCCCTACTTCGTAATATCAGACCACAAAGACTTGATTATCACTTTAACTTTCATACTATTTCTAGCTAAATCCCACTGAAAATCTATTTTCCAAGATGGCAGTTATGATCAGTAGTCATAATGTTGTGATCATGGGTCTGAAGTAACTTCTTAATCAGCTTCATTTATATAAGAGATGATTTCCTCAAGTGGTGTTTTGGACCAAATCTGACTGAAATCAAATGGAAAACTCGCAAGGTTATCCCTATATCAGACGATCGGACATAGCAAAAGGTTATTCCTGTATCAGATGATTGAACATTATGCAAGGTCATCCCTGTATCGTACTACTACACTAAACACAAGGTCATCCCTGTATCGTACTACTACACTAAACACAAGGTCATCCCTGTATCCTACTACTACACTAAACACAAGGTCATTCCTGTATCCTACTACTACACTAAACACAAGGTCATTCCTGTATCCTACTACTACACTAAACACAAGGTCATCCCTGTATCCTACTACTACACTAAACACAAGGTCATCCCTGTATCCTACTACTACACTAAACACAAGGTCATCCCTGTATCCTACTACTACACTAAACACAAGGTCATCCCTGTATCCTACTACTACACTAAACACAAGGTCATCCCTGTATCCTACTACTACACTAAACACAAGGTCATTCCTGTATCCTACTACTACACTAAACACAAGGTCATCCCTGTATCGTACTACTACACTAAACACAAGGTCATCCCTGTATCCTACTACTACACTAACACAAGGTCATTCCTGTATCCTACTACTACACTAAACACAAGGTCATCCCTGTATCCTACTACTACACTAAACACAAGGTCATCCCTGTATCCTACTACTACACTAAACACAAGGTCATCTCTGTATCCTACTACTACACTAAACACAAGGTCATCCCTGTATCGTACTACAACACTAAACACAAGGTCATCCCTGTATCCTACTACTACACTAAACACAAGGTCATCCCTGTATCACACTACAACACTAAACAAGGTCATTCCTGTATCCTACTACTACACTAAACACAAGGTCATCCCTGTATCCTACTACTACACTAAACACAAGGTCATTCCTGTATCCTACTACTACACTAAACACAAGGTCATCCCTGTATCGTACTACAACACTAAACACAAGGTCATCCCTGTATCGTACTACAACACTAAACACAAGGTCATCCCTGTATCGTACTACAACACTAAACACAAGGTCATCCCTGTATCGTACTACAACACTAAACACAAGGTCATCCCTGTATCCTACTACTACACTAAACACAAGGTCATCCCTGTATCCTACTACTACACTAAACACAAGGTCATCCCTGTATCGTACTACTACACTAAACAAGGTCATTCCTGTATCGCACTACAACACTAAACAAGGTCATTCCTGTATCGCACTACAACACTAAACAAGGTCATTCCTGTATCGTACTACTACACTAAACACAAGGTCATCCCTGTATCATACTACTACACTAAACACAAGGTCATTCCTGTATCGTACTACTACACTAAACACAAGGTCATTCCTGTATCACACTACTACACTAAACAAGGTCATTCCTGTATCACACTACAACACTAAACAAGGTCATTCCTGTATCATACTACCGAACATTACACAATATAATCTCAGAATGAGTCTACTGGACAGAAGGTCATCCCTGTATCAAATTACTGGGCACAAAGTCATACCTGTATTGGACACCCAGGTGCCACACAAGGTCATCCCTGTATTAGACACCCAGGTGCCACACAAAGTCATCCCTGTATTAGACACTCAGGTGCCACACAAGGTCATCCCTGTATTGGACACCAAGGTGCCACACAAGATCATCCTTGTATTATGGACATGAGTATCTACTGGACAGAATGAGACTACTGGACACGTGGTCATCCCTGTATTAGACTTCTGGACACATGGTCATCCCTCTATCTTACAACCAGACAACATATGAGATATTCCCTGTATTGGAATACTGGACACATGTTCATCCCTCTATCTTGCAACCAGACAACACACAAGGTAATCCCTGTATTAGAATACTGGACATCAAATAAGATTATAATGAAGTATCTTAGTATAACCCAGTTACTACTCTCTAGAAAGTAATGAAAGTAGTGAAAAAGAGCAGTTGTTGACAAAGAAGACAAACAATAGACTGTTCTTTATCATATTTAATAGGTTGATATGATGGTTATTCATTGGTGATACAATGATGAATTAATGCTTCAACAACTTGCTTAACTTAGTCACATTATCAACAGTGGGACACAGGGTATCTGATAAATAGCCTCCGGCCAATGAAAGAATACTCTGGAACACTCGCAGCACCTGTATAAGGGAGGCAACTCATTGATGTGCTAATGTATAACTTTACTCTTTGCATTATTTAGAACACTAGTAACCAGCACATTTTTTTTCAACTGCAAGATCAACTGACAGTTTTAAGGACATTCATGTATAAAAAGTGGTTTTTACATGGGATATTTTGTGATTTTAAAATCAGATTTTGAAATATCAGAAATAAGGGACAAAGATTTAGGATCATGGAAAAAAAGTGCTTCCTGTTTTCACTTTTGCAATAGCATTTGACAATCGATTGATAAAAAACATAACAAGTAGAGCTTTTCTCTCAAAATTTTTTTAGTTCCAGAATATAAAAGCAAATTAAACATTAAATTAACATTAAAAATTAAAAATTAAAGAAATCTAGAATTATTTTTCCTTCATGAATGATGACATTTTTTGTCAAACAATTATTAGGTACCAGATACTTGTGATACAGAGAAAATTTATTGGGCAATTCTTAGCTGATAATTTGCTATGTTTACATAAGTACAGCACTAACACTAACAACTATTACTATGATTACAGTTAAAATAAGTGATTTCCTAACTTTCTTCCTTGTCATCATTTCAATGTATTGGTTTGGGATTATTTTTGTACATATCATTTTATCTACATCACAATATATATTTATATATATATATATATATTTACCTAACTGCACATTATGACATCAGATATCAGATTCTTGTAGAACATTTTAATAATTGGAATTGCACAAAAATGTCAAGAAAAACATTTTTGTAAAATATATACTAAATATTTCCTATAATGTCTACCAACCAGTGCCATTTACTGAGCTATCACATGTAGACTTCAATAACCTGAGCTGAAATGTCTTCACAATCAAAAAGGAAACTTACAACTGTACATGTTGTAAGAGAGAATCTTTCCGAGTTTAGACTATTCCAGCTTGGATACCAAAAATGTTAACAATAACAAACTAATCATGGTTTTTATGACAGAATATTGGGCAACCAGTACCCCAAATTATGATGACCTTAACTAACTAATGTCTATGTTCTAGCGCATACACACTAAGGAATATGAGGCAACATTCGTCAAAGGGAGGTAATCCCTTTCAATTTACAAGTTGGGCCTATGGCAACACATACAATTCACTTCCCATATACACTGTAAATACATTGGCTGCACCAAGTTTTTACATTTTACATAACTTCAACATGTTACAAAACATTATATGTTTTCAACTTTCTTTTAGTGAGGGATAAAAAATATTGATGAAAGTGTTCTTGATTGAAAAAAAAAATACAGGGACAAAAAAATACACAAAATAAAAACATTAAATAGTCCCACAGCTGACTCAGTAACAATGTGAGATTTGAACACATTTTTGCTCTTGGGTTGTTGCTAGTTATCTAATATTTCTTTCATCCTGAGTTTTTCTAATTACATGTACACATAAAATATCAATATAAGCATTAATCTTATTTTCGGCATTTAACAAAAAAGAGAGACAAATTACATATGATTTAAAAAAAAAATGATTCAAACTGACAGAAATTAAGACTTTAAAATCACTTTATCCAGTTTAAATCTAAATCCATTTACAATTTCCAGACATGGGTATAATACATAGAAAGCAAAACTCAATGTAAGAAATTAGATACTGAACAACATCATTAAAACTAAAACAACTGCTTAAAGATTCAGAGTGTGATATGTACATTAAATAAATTATCAACTTACAACCTAACAATTGGAACATGAACTTTTCAAATGGATGAGAAAATGGAAAAATTGATAAAAAGTAAAATTCAGATATACACGTGAATGTGAGAATTTACACAGAAAAAGGACGGAAAGTGATTTCAGATTGTTCAAATGTATTAAACTATATGTAAATTGAATGTTAAAGTATTATTAAAATATGATTGAATTTCTATTTACCCAATTAATTTCACCAATTTAATGGGTGAATATTTTAACTGGACGGAAATTAGTTGTTTACGGCCTGATGACATCTGATATGATTTATCAATATTTAGGGGACGGCCATCAATGTTACGATCTGTGTTTATTCACTCCAACACTCAAAAGAAGGGACCAGTCACATAAAAATGAATGCACCGAGACTGGGATGATGATCTAATCCAAATAGACAGGAAAGCCTTCCTTTTTCATTCAGGATTACTACCAAATCTTACATATGATATGCAGCATACAATACCTAAGTATTTTTTTATTTATATATTCATTTACTTATCTGGATATAACTATCTCACTATCCCAGGCCCAGAATTCTCTCTGATCTCAACAGCCCTATTTTTATTTATATACATCTTGGGCGAAATCGTACATTGCAAAGAACATTTGAACTGTCAACGTAAAAAATAAAAAAATACATGATATTATAATGTCAATGAACTTACAACATAGAAAGTGTAGATATTTTCTTAAAAGTGAAAATTGATATATTCACCTTAGTGAAAAATGCACAGACACATTATATATCTATATTTGATGACTTCAGAATTCAGTACAATATCAATAAATGGAAAAATATATATAATCCTTATTGTCTTGGACACATAAAACAGAAATAACAAAGTTACCTTGCTGACAGATTAAAACAACAATTTTCGGAAATCAACATTCAGTAACAAAGTTAGATTTGTAGTCTATATGCATTCACACTTGGCACACACCTGGTAACAACAATATGTTTTATCATAGACTTAGGGAGGAAACAAATTACGTGTATATACAGCATTTGTCATCATTACTTTGGGTCAGAAGTATGTAAAAAAAAAATAAGATATTGATAGTTGTATATCCTGTAAATAGTAATATTTTGTTTATTTAATTTTCAAGCTTCTTCAAAACCCAAATTCCAATCAGTTATAACAGTTTTGATAGATATTAATATTTAAAATGAAATTTTTAGTTCAATACCTAGCTTTGCCTTGAAATTGATATTTTTTCTTTAAATAAGGATCTGCAATCCTATGTAATTATCTTATAAATAGTGGCATTACATTCAAAAACTAGAGTGAATGGTCACAACAATAATCCATATAAAAAAAAACAAAAAACAAAAAAAACCCCACTGACTTCAAGTAGCTACACAAAAAATAAGCAGACAATACATCATTAAATAGACTTTGAATATCAAACAACATAAAATATATTCTGCAAGATTCCTGTATAAAATTTATAAATACGCCAATGACTACGATGACAAAACTTAACAACACAAGGTTAAAAGATATAAATGATTCTCTGCTGCTAAAGTATGACTTCCTCAATGTCATCATCAAAGTTATTATCAACTGCGTTGACCACTGGCCGCGTCTGAAATGTGGTTGTTGTATGGCGTTGTCGCCTTGGCAACAACTTTGTAGAGTCTTTCGTTGTAGTAGTATCATCATCAAGCAGTGCACTCCCACCTCCGAACAGAGATAAAGAGTTTTCTCTTTTTGTTGTAGTTTGTTTTGGTTCGTCATCAAAAAGCGACAACTTTGCTGTGTTAGTTTTCTTTGAATCAAATTTTGAGCTACTGAAAATATCGTCATCATTGAAAGAATTACTGGTTTTTGTAGTTGTCTGATTGCCAAACAAGTCCGCCATGAGATCTTTCTTCTTCGTGTCCTTTGGTTTTGGTGGTTTTCCAAAATCATCATTGAAAACTACATCACCTCCAGATTTCTTGCCAGTTGTTTTCTTTGGTTCTCCCCGACGTCCAAATGATGGCTGGTAACCTCCAACATCATCCTCTTTATCTTTTTTCTTTTTCTGTTTCTCCAGATAAGGTATGGAAACATCCTCATGTGACCACTTTCCATGATGAAGGTTTTCCACTGGCTTTGTGAACTGGTAACTCTTTTTACTGGAAGAAGTAGATGCCACATCACTATCTGCCTTGTTTGTAAGGAAGAATGGATCGTGGCTTTTATCTCTCTCTGTTTTCTTGCCTTCATCAATGTCACGCAGCTTTGCCAATAATAAATCCTTTTTACGCCGTTCCTCGTCCATTTGTTTTTCTCTTTGTACACGTTCCCTCTCCTCCTCAGCTCGCCGTTCCTGTTCTTTTCTCTCTCGTTCTCTTCTTTGTCTTTCATCCTGTTCTCGCCTCAGTTCTTCAGCTTCACGTTTCATTTTCTCACGTTCTAATTTCAAATTCCATTCTTCAGCTTCACGTCTGTCCTTCTCCTCTCTATCGTGTCGTTCCCTTTCCTCCTGATCTCGACGTCGTCGTTCCCTTTCCTCTCGATCGTCCCTTTCCCTTTCCTCCTGTTCCAGACGAACACGTTCCATATGTTCCCATCGTTCCTTCCTTTCTGCTTCTTCCTCCTGTTCTTGCCGAAATTTGCGCTCCCGTTCACGGGCCTCTCGCTCTTCCTGTGCTTTCTGTTGTTGCTGAGAAAGAGAAACACAACATCTCATTCATATTGAAAAGTTATTATTGTTGGACTCTGCATCAAGATTTACATTATCTGATGTTTCAGCAAGGATGGCTATTATAATAGGAAGTTCTATTGAAATGCATGTTTGTTATATCATAAACATTATCACTTCTACCCGCCAAATTTTATGAAGTTACATATATATTGTTTTAATAAGAGAAAAAATGCAAGAAAATTTAAAGATTCCTTAACTAATGCCTGTATACAACAATTATCCCTGTAAAATATCAACACGATATTTGCATGAAGAGAAAGTTATCAGTTAAAAAAAATACAGAATTCGTCTTCATTTATTTACTAATATTTTTTTCTTTTTGTTTTTTTTTTTAGATGAAAACGAAAAGAAACTTACACTGCCAATAACAATTTTTTTTAGCAATATACGTATGTATATATGTATTAATATTTCTATCTATATATAAATTTAGTTAGAATTAGTGACTGCAACATTGTGAAGTTGAATTCTATATAAACCAAATCGTGATCATCACTCACAAAAATAAACACAGCTCTATTTCAGTTACTGGATCAAAAATCTTATACTTTGAAGATAAATCTTTACTTAAGAAGCATTCACATCCGTAAGAAACTGACAGTGACAATGTGACACACGACAGACCTCTAACAACAAGCTATTTACACACAGAATTCTTTAACACAGAAACATGGCTACTGTCAGAGAGTAGATTTCCAATATTCCTCAACTTTCAAGTACTATACATATCTGAGAGGATTACAATCATAAACATCTACAGGAAACGGAGAATTGAGAAAAGCAAGGACATTCACTCAAACAGAAAATTCTAATTTTTCACTTTTCTATTCATTCAACACTATATGCTTTACATGTAAAAAGGTACAACATTGTAGAGTTGAGAAACCCGGCAACACTGACAGGAGGAAACAGGACAAAATACAAAGTTTTCCAGTATAAATGACTCCGACTTGAAAAATGTGACTTTAATTTGTTTTTAACTTTTGAATAAGGAAAGAATGTCATTTTCCTTTAAAAAAAAAAAACCAGTCTGCTCTATTTTTGCACCGATGAACAATATACCTAACCCTAGAGCCCAACATCATCTCCCCAACCCACAAATTTCTACCATCTCATTGTTAGATTAATATCTCTGCAAGCTCCTGTGGATAAGATATGGATTATTAGTTGCATTAATAAATTAATCAAAGGTATACATGTGAATACATTTCAAATTCAAACGTACATGTTTATATTAATACAAATCTGGCACATCAGGCATTAAATAAGACAAAATCTGGTTATATACAGTAATACACAGCAGGATCACTCAGAGAACGCTGAAGAAAAACTATCATCTGTAGAAGAAAGGTTTGATTATAAACAATTAATCACGAGGTTCAATTTTCAAATGCATACAATGCCAATTCCTTCAGCAAAAAATTCTTTCTCTGGTTCTCAATAATAACAAAAAAAAAAAAAAAAAAACCAGGAAATGAAATCAAATTCATTATGATTATTGACAAGTTTGACAGCTGTATTGTCAAAATTTGTTACGGTATGAAAATGAGTCTGAACCTCAAAGAAAGAAATGTCAGGAAAATTTCTGGCATGTTTTAAAGGTATCTAATATTGTTACAAACACAAGTAGAATTCTTTAATCTTTTCCTTTTATAAGATTGAAGAAAACTCTTGCTGCAATCATAAAACACTACTTTTAAACTTCAAGCAAGCTGGGAAGTCAATGGGTAGAAAGGGTTAAGTTCACTTAAGGAATTTATCATTGAAAGTTTAAAAGTTTATATAACAAAAAAGTAATTAATACTTCCAAGATACCTGTCTTTAAAGAACTCTCGTGACATGAAGCAGATATGGTCCTAATACATCAGTGGTTTTGAGAATTTTTTTTTATTAAATATATTATGTATATACACAGTTTATTACATTGAACATCCCGTCCAGCTTGTCAAACAACATCTAAACAAAAGTGTAACAAAATTTTTCAGAGGTTTAGTTGTAACAGAATTCACTACAAAGTTTCGTTAACAATACCCGCCACACAAAAAGAGAACACCCCATCACCTGCAGGGTTTTGCCAGCAGTATAAGTTGGAGTGGAAGCAATAGTAGATTTTTTGCCGACAGAGTTGTATCTACTTTTACCACTAGGTGGCGATGCGTAAACACGGGTACTTCCCACGGGAGGCTTCTTGCTTACATTAGTTGTGTTTTCACTTGAGGTCTCCCACGGCCATTTTTTCCCTGTGGATGTGAAAGTGGATTTTTCATGTCGCGGGGATTTCTTTGATGATATCAGGTCCTGTTTGTGGTACGGCTTTGAGTACGAATCATCGGTATCCTCCTCAATTCTCTCCCATTCCTTGGACCCTGCGCTTGGTGCTCGATCAAAATCATCATTGTAATCTCTGGATGAAGGGGTCTTGTTGCCACTATAGCTATCATCTGCTCGCCACGACAACTTACTGGGTTTGTCATCTGCCTTGTTTTTCTTGTCATTGTATAGGAAAGGTCTTTGTCTATCTGACCCCCTGGGTTTCTCAGACTGAACCTGTCGACTTGACCGCCATGGTTTACTAGGATAATCGTCTCTTTTAGATGGTATAGGTTCTGTAGAAACTGGTTTCCGAGGTGATAAAGAGCCACCATGATATCCCGTAGAGGGTTTGGGCCTGGTTGCTTTCTTCTGTCAGTCAAAAATATCATTGGTCAATTATAAAAGAGAGAAAAAAAACTAAAAAATCGATAGAACTGGACAATTCACCAAGAACCACACCATTTCTAACCCTAGAATCACCAATATTAACTTCTCTCCATGTGCTTAATGCTCAGGGTTATAATATCATCCATACATATATCGTAATTTAAATTACTCTATAGAATAACAAATGATACTTTATGTATGCATTATGTGTGAGTAGAATTTATCTATTTATTTTTGTAAATATATTCAGAAATGATGACCAAACATTTTCACTAAGTTTCATATCCCTGAACATAATTCTTTATGTGTTTACCAAATTCCCATCAATTAATCAACTTCAACCAGGTAACAGTAAGTTCTACTGACAGAACTTCAAAAAGAATAATGATAGTATGGATGAGTAAGAGAAATACTGAAGACTACTATCGTTATGTTTAACAATTCCGTCAGTAGATCTATCTACAAGAATCATTGTTAGTAAAATTATTGCTTTCTGAAAAAGACATGTCAATTCTGTTATGATACTTTTTTTGATTACAAACTATCTGAAAAATGAAAATCAAGATTAAAATTCACTTTATGTCGATTTACAGCATTTGAAAAGAGAATGAGGATAATTTCTGATTTCGTAAATTGAGAGAATGAAATATATCTGATGATTATTGTATAGACCTGAAACTAATTTGGAGGTAACTTCCTGTAGTAAGAGTATAAGTCAACCTAATTAGCAGCTTTCTTACTATGTATCATTATCTGACTGGTGAGAGATACAGTATATCATTATCAATTTAAAACATGTTATAAACAAACCATCAATGTTATGTGACATAATTACATTATAACGGGGTTACAGAATGATACCATGTTTAAACAGAAGATGGTCAATGGCTGTAGCGATAACACTGTTGTTTTCTTTTTTCTCTCACTCTTGGAATATTTTGTTTCTTTTCTTGAAAAATTTTTTTTTTTTTTTTTTTTGAAGATGTTACACTTCCCTTCGTAAGATTGTTTAACGCTATTGCCAGTCATTGGGAAATAGAATCTTTTGCCAAACTTAGCAATGCCAGGCCAAGGAAATATAATCTTTGGGTTAATCTGTGTATCATCCTCAATGGAGGTTAATTTAATGACCTCCTTTGACACAGTGTTCCTCTCTTATCCATATAAAGTACAGATATTTTCTCTTGTCTGAAACAGGTATTAACCATCATATCTTGTCAATCCATTCACAAATCTGAAAATATCTCACTGTTACAACATGCATTTGCCTGATATTCTCGGACTATCCATTCAGCAACATACAAAGTGCTCCCAAGACATATAGTAACTAATTATTACACAATTGGTCCAGTGTTTCTTTCCATGGGTGTAATATACAAGGGGGAAAAACAATGCTGTTTTGACAGGGAGGTGAAATTTTATGATCTGTGGTGTAACTGATTAACAACAGTGGGATGTCGGACAAAAGCCAAGATATAGAAGACGATTGCGTGCCCGGCAGGTTATTGAGTACTCCAAGAAACACTGGACGATAGTTTCTCAAGGCATTATTATCATTATGGTGATCCTGCTAGTGACATGATCAAATTTACATGGAAATCGTTTTGAATTTTTGATAATCCCTGCCTCAGCAGCTTTGTCTTCATTTCCTATCGGATAGTGTCAATGGATTGTAGACAGGCAGGTATATAACCCTCGGTAAAACCTCTAGTCTACACAAGGTCTGATCCTATTTTCTGTTATCACTTTTCTTGTCAAGGAAATGTGTGGATTTTAAAACTTTCTTAGTACAACTGTTAAAAATTTGTTTCAGCATAAAAAGTTATTTTTAATCTTATCATCTTAGGGAGAAAAATCTGTATCTGACCTTGTGTAGCTTCAGTTTCATAAAACATTCAAATTTGTAACATAAAATTAATTTAATTTAAAATCTATAAATACAAACAGAAAAAACTGTATGATTGTATTTACTCACGAAATGAAATAAAATTAGATTTTGGATAAACATAGGTAAAACAGAATAGTGTTAGCAGCAACATGCTGGACAAAATACTTAATTTTTTTTTTTAGCGAAAATTCATACAAAGTGTTAATGTTTTCTAAAACAAGCATTAGCTCTTATAGATTACTTGATAATGGTGAAAAATTAATGATATTTGTATTCCTTGAAATATCCAAAACATCATGACTCATCATCAAATTATTGAAAAAGCATTCACTTTCAAACTACATAATAAATATACATAGTAACCTATTTGCTAGCATTTTTTGAGAAAAAAGTTTATATATACGACAATTATTTTTTTAAATCTGCAGACCAGCTGAAGTTTTTTCAGCTTCAACACTTGGGAACAACAAAACTGAATAATACAAGAATTTAAACATGTGGCAGGTTCGCCAACAATAAGTGTCAACAGCATGCTTGGCTATAAAGTTACATCAACATCCAATCTGAACGTTACATATTTGTGGGAACCAGCAAACATTAGTTGAGAAGGTACTGAGATGAACGATGACAGTACCTGAAAGGATGAGGAGTCATCTTCCTAGTAAGTCAAAAATATATTAGCCATCAGAATGAATAAATTATGTACAGACAATTGAAAATTACCATAGCAAAGAAATTCTTGAACATGGCAACTTTCATTATGAATTTTAAAAACAAACGCAAATAAAAATTTTCGAGTAATATTTCAGTTTCAAAAAAATAGTACTAAATCAGCTTATGGCTGATAAATGTTTTTTTGCAAAAGAGGAAAAATTGATAAAAATCATGATTTCTTTGTCAAACTATTATGTTAGTGTAAAGCAAACGGGCTCAGCAAAATTGTCCATGGTAAACTGATTGCTGGTTTCCATAGTAACAATCAACGACAGGTAATACCTTCTCGTAATCCTTGCTTTCCTGAGAAAACTGTAGTCTTGGAATTGGTGATGTACTCTAAGTGGTTCAAATTTCAACAAACAACATTACTATTTCATGGATTTTTAATTCAATTTGTAGATTCTCCTTAACTTTATTAATGATGCTAGGCCACACTTTTGCATAATAATAAATTTATTCAAAGAATCAACTGGAAGTAATGAAAGTATTGGCAACACCAGTGTACTCATTAGTGAGTCTGTATTTCAATCAATATTGAAAGTACTTGAAATATTGGTTAGTGTAGAGATACATATATGATAATAGAATTTGTATGATATTTAGTCAGCATAAAGGATGAATTCTTTTAAAACTACAAGCCTGGAATCTAAATATATAAATATAAGTCAAGAAAATCTGTACAGATAGCATGGGCCAATGTTATTCTTTTTTAATCAAAATAGAATGTAGAAAGAAAATGAAAACTAATGAAGCAATATTCCTTAAAAAGTGACCTCGTTTTGCAGGCAGACAACGCTTAAAACTTGAAGGAATATGTTAGTTGTTCGTGAAATGCATGCCCGGGATCACAATAAAGAAAATGAAAGCCAGAGGATTCACTAGCATGTGGCATCTCCTATGCTTTCATTTGAGATAGAGGACCACAGCAGCCAGCATTTAAGACTGGTACACACAGTTAATTGGTCAAAAAAATATATAAATATCACAACCATGCCCTTAACCAAATTTTATTTTTATACGATAATTTTAGCTGGGAGACATTAAACATTATTGAAAACCAAGGAGTTTTTTGGGTGAATATGGAATTCCAGATACCAGTTTATGGTAACTAATAAGGATTGGTAAGTTTTAGATAGCGACTATTAACCTATTGATAAAGACCCTAACTAAATGTCAACCTGGTAAAAAAAAATTCCTCTAAACCTCCACCTATATACATCTTGGCACTATACACACCTCTCGCTGCTTTCTCTCTTCTTCTTTGCGTCTCTCCTCATATAATTTGACCTTTTCCCTAGGGTTAAGGTCATGGACAGATGGTGGGCGTCGCCGTCGTGGTGAGCTTGGACTCTGCTGTCTCATGGGTGTTCCACTGTATGAGTTGGGCATCATACGGCTGCCTGGTTTCGACATTCGATTAGCGTAAATGTTTTTCATCTCTAATTCCTTCATTTTTTCCTGAAATTTTGATTGTTTAGTATAAATTACACCAGGATGATAATGAAATAGAAAATCAATGAAAACAATCTCATCTGAATCCTGTTGAAATAGTGAAACTAAGACAGTTTTTAAAAGATATTTTGAAATGATCAAGAGATCTACAGTTATACCTATGTTCCTTTTATAAGCTGAGCTCATCATACAAACAGGAATAATATACTATCATCATAAGAGCACTAATGAAAGTGGTCAGTGGTATTATGCACTGATTTGAACTTTGACCTTCTGTGTTGATATATGTGTATTTGACCTAGAGTTGGAGATTATGTTTCTGTAAGTGTCATGTTAAAGAGACAAGACAAATGTTACTGATCTTAGACCTTGTCTTGGGATCTCAACATGAGGCAACAAATTTAGTGTCCATGCTCAGGAATTTTGTATCGTGGAATTTAATATTCGAACAAAAACCAAACTCTAATGAGGACAGGTGCCAAGAGGGACACAGGAGGAAAACAAAGAATGTAAAGACAGAGTGCTAAGAACTATGTTATCTAGTCATTATATAACTGAATTTTCTTTCCATGCCATTGCAAATTTTTGACCTTTGATCTCCTGTTTTAACTTTGACCTTTGGATACTAACCTTGAGGGTTATAATACACAAATAATTTGCAATATCAATTATCATTACAGAAATCTTGAGGCAATCATAGTCTATGGTCTGGTCAGTTTTTAAATACCTTTAGTTGCCTTTCCAATCTTTCATTTTCTTCTCTAAGAATATCCATCTGTTTCTTTGTGTCTCGAGTCCTTGCCATCTCAATGCCAATTTCATGACGGTGGTTTTTTGATAAATTGTTGACGTGTCTTTCTAAATCCTGAAGAATAAAAAATTAAATGAATAAAATACAAAAATTAAAGAGTCATCTCTGATTTATTTGAACGAAGAAAATTGCCATTTCAGTTCCAGATACACCTCAGCCTGTAAGTCAAATGATTCGGTGTATCAGGATATTTTATGGGATATTTTCATAAAGTGATTCAAAGATATTTACATTCTAGATCTCCCAAACAGTAGACAAAGCATGCTAAAAGAATGTGACTCTAGTGAAGAACCAGAATGAAGCTCTTTAATGGTACATGTAGGTCAAAATGAAGAGGCTAAAGAGAATTGCTTCCCTTCCCATATGTTGCACTTAATAATTGAAGCAGGAAATATTTCATTTGATTCACTGAAGCAAAACAAGTTTTGGAGCATATATACATATATTTCATATATTTTACCCTAATTTATCCTTTCTCAACCCCCCCCCCACCCCCCCCCAACCAAAATATTGAAAAAAGTTTTGAAAATATTGTACTTGGAATGATTAAACACAAAACAGGAAACAAATCCTTGACCCGAACAACGGCACAGCACTTCGCGACCCAAACAATGGCCAGGGCACAGCATGTCGTGACCCAAACAATGGCACGGCGAGTCGTGACCCAAACAACGGCACACGCATCATGACCCAAACAACGGCACAGCGTGTTGTGACCCAAACAACGCCACAGCGTGTCATGACCCAAACAACGGCACAGCGTGTCGGTTTTCAATTGTTCATTTAAAAAAAGGCATGAAACAAAGCAGAAAATCTCAGATGTTAAACACAAATATGTAAAAGATAAATAATCTACAGTGGTAGGTCAGTCAGAGGATGCAGTGGTAACTCACTGATCTTTTACCAAGTCCTTTACGGTTTGGTTTCCCAAACAGAAGTGTAAAGCTACGGGGTCACTTTCCTGGCCATGTAGGTATTCTCTAGGTACTTTCTCCTTCAGTAAGCCCCCTCCCACAATCCCCCTCCCACAATCCCATCGAAGTCATCAACACCGAATCCCATAAAACTGTTTTCAAGTTTTTGTCTTTTTTTTTCAGTAACATCTTGCCAGTTAATTCAACCTATTCCTTTTCCATCTGTACATCTATACATAGTGTTATTTATATAAACATTTTTGTCATGGACCATCACACTTCACTGCACAAGTACTGACATTGTAACAGTACACAAAGCTTCCTGACAGCATCCTACCCACATTTTTGTATCATCTATACTAAAATGTTAGGAGACTTTCTCAGAATATTCATAATGATCCTGCTGAATCATACCTGTCCCAGTAAGAGAGTTGAGTTAGGTTGTCAATACATGAATGAGAGAGACGGCATAATTATTGGGTCAAGAAAAAGATTCATTTGTCCACTAAATCCCTGACTGGTCAGTGGGACGACTGGTCAGCGGGATGACTGGATCAGTGAAAGTGTTCATCATTACGACTATAAAGTATATATATTTGAGTGGTGATCTTATTTTCCATGCCAAAAGCACATAGTGCTAAAACATGATTGCTTCTGCGTGTTGTTGATAAAACAATTACATGTAATAATTCATCAAAAAGTAATATTGTGCTAAAATTTTGTTACACCAAATTTAGACTGTTTGCAGTAAGTACTTTCACTTTCCCTTTCTTACATGCCAGTGATTACTTCCAACAAATTCTGATTCAGTTCTACTTGAAATGAATATTTCATATATTGCTAATACCATTAATGTATATATGATGACATTCAATATTGCCACTTCTGTACATTACTTTATTGACCAACACCATCTTCTTCTTCAACATTCTACCCCATCAGCTCCGTATCTTACATATAGACAGCTGGTATGACCTACACCTATTTATCAGGACAGATCTCTGCCGACATTAATTTATGTATAACATACAGAGCATTATAGGTGTCTATAGATTTTCCTGACTGGGAACATCTCAGATCCCAAGAGGATGGCTGTTTGTTACAACAACATTAATAAACCCGGGTAACCAACAGATTATATCTGTATATTGGGATTGCCTACCATAAACTACCTTTCTATTAAGTATTAGATGAATGTTACACCGAGAATTCCTTTGTTAATTGGCATTAAATTTATGACACCTGACTTGAAAGAGAATGTGCAATACGTTAGAAAGAAGTTCATACATTTTTTTAATCTTATAATTTTCTGCTGATTATATTAGATGATGTTCTGAGCAATTTTCAACATGACCATAAAATTATCCATCACCCAAATAATAATCACTCCTAAATATGGCTTGTGTTACCTTCTTTACTTTTCTGACAAATAAACAATTACTTATCTTCAATTAGAAATTAAGATATTTTTTGAAAAATTCTTTAGGATAAAAAAAAAGAATTACTTGATTTGTTGATGGCGATGCCAAAAACGAGGTCCATTTCTGAACCGATGGAAAGATTTCAACCTTGGCTCACGTTTGGTGTTTCATTAAGACAAGACAAAAACTAAAGGAACATTACAAGATATTATAAAACAATAATAAAAAAAGTTCTTACAATAATTACACAATCAGAAAGAGAAACAAGAGGCCAAAGGGCCTTAACATTCACCTGAGTTCTATAAAAGCATTTGTTTTTTTATTGCTGAAACATGTAATTAAGAATGACTTTAACTACACTCTACATGCAAATGTAAAATGTGCATAACACCAAAACATCAACTCAAGTTATTAATTCTAACCAAGTTTGAGCTATTTCAAATTATGTCAGTAATTTTCCTAGATAGTCTGCAGTAACTGTTATCCCTTCCTATGTAGAGAAATGTGAGACCTTGGGTCTTGGAATAGATAAGCACCCCAAGATCCTTCAATCATTAAGTATTCTATTCTACCATATCTATGTCTTGAGACGACTTTTGAAATTTTAGTCAATTTTTCCCCTTTCGGCAATCCTCATGTTCCTGGACGTGAGCCAGGTTCAATGTGTTTATAGCTGACCTAAAAACAGAAAAACTACGAAGAAATATTCAGGAAATATAGAAAGAGAACAGAATATCTCATTACCTTGATTTTTACTTCTTTTTCTTCCAGGTCAATCTCTACTTTCTTCACTTTGTTTTGAAGTTCATCCCTTTCCAATAAATCATTTTCATCTACTAATCTTTTATATTTTTTCATTTTATTTTTCACTTTTTCAAGTTCGTCCTCAGCATCTCGAAGGTATCTGTCTGTTCTATCGTATTTCTCTTTTGTTTTCTTTAATTGTTCTCGCATTGTTCGTGTCTCATTGTTGTGTCTTTGCATAATCTGAGGCAAATCACTCTCTCGATCCTCGAATCTGTTCAACGCCTTTTCCTGTCGATACTGTGTCTTCTTCAACAATTTATTTTCCTCTTTTAAGTCTTCAATCTGTTTAACAAGGTCCTCCATATTATTTCTAAGTTCATTAATTCGGAGTTTGCGTGCAGACAAAACTCGCTGTATGACAGGGTCAACCCTTGGTGTGGCCTGACTGGTTGACCGCTGTTTGCCACGCCCCTTCCCTCGGCCTTTACCACGACTGTCATCTTTCCTTGGGGCTGTCAAAGAAATAAAGTCATTAGTTATCAAGACCTTGAAATACTCCATGTGTTAAAGGTACTGATGTAAAAATAAAACTTTAATTAAAGGATAACATAATCATCGAAACCTGATATCAAGCAATGTGTAAAAGCTGATATGTTGTTTGTAAGGGTTAGACTTTTCATTCCTACCAAAAGTAGGATTTTGGTATAGATAAACAGTTGAAGAAAACAGAGTTGTTATCTCACCCTACCCCCAGGTATCTGTAGCACTATTTAACAGATTTTGACATCAAAAAGTTTCTTAGCAATACAGTGCTTGCAAAGTTTAAAGATTTTGCTTGAAAGCTTCATCACAATGTACTTCAATATTATTGTAATTTTCTTGTTTTAGGCAGTGCCTCCTAGTAGTAACTATATATCAATGGTGGCTCTCACACTGAACACCATGCAAGAGGCCGGTCACATGCAATCAAAAGCATTTCGGGTAATGTGTCTTGCCCTAGGCCAGTAGCAAAAGACAGTACCTGATTTCAGCTTCTAAAGAAACACAAACTGCTTCGAAAGTGATCAAACCGCACACCTCAGATTTTCAACTGTAGTTGCTTAGTATGATGCTTTAATGATGAGCTGTCACAGCCGCCCCAAATAAGACAAGACTTACATTATACCCATAATACTACAACCAAGCTGTATACAGTGACAAGAGATTCAATAATGTTTCTTAATATCTAAATATATCTTTCTTTTCGTTATTTGTTTCTTTCTTTCTATTGCGTTGCTGATTCAACAAAATTAACATTTACAGAAGAAAATAAATCAATTCTGATTTTCTGTTTTTTTTTTCCTTCCATTAACAATGATTAAATTATCAGCTACACTGTATATCTTTTCAGCAATGATCCAATCAATAACAACTGACTATCAGCCAGTAGTTTCTCCAGCAAATTCTCAGCCACATTAATACTGATATAAAACAATCCTTATTGAATTGGATTCAGTCTTATTGGTTTTACATTCCTATATATATATATATATTTTACATTCCTATATATATATATACAATATCAATTAAGAATAGAACTTGTGAAATCCAGTACTGATTACAACCAACTTGGATCATGTGTGACTTCCTACTTTTATTGCGTGTACTGAGATTTTGTTGTAAAATCTAGAAAAATTCTTATTTAAAACCTTCATGATAGACATTTATCAATCACAAAGGTCAAATAAATATTCAATGAAAGAGGGCAATGTGCTTAATTTGGGTCCAATTAAGTTTCACAACTGGTTAAGACAAATTTGACCCTACATTAAACATTACATGACCTTGAACTTTCACCCCGGAGCATGCAAAAATGATATCATAAATGTGCAATTATAAATATAAACTGAGTATGGAAGTAAATCTTTGTGACCTTGAATTTTGATCTCGAACATGTAAGTAATTACATGGAATTATGGGATCAAAGGAAATCCCAAAATGCCTGTACTGAGGCCATCTTTTCCAATCCAAAAATATTTTACCCTACTAAAAATAAAATTTAACTAATGAGGACAATATTTGAAACAGATTTTAAAGGACTAAACAAACATTTTACACTGAAACTCGGGAAGTAGAAATGGTGGTTATAATTTTTCTTTGTATTCGCAAACTAAAATATATTTGCATAACGAACACAGAAGAGAAACTTATAAGCAATCTTTCTAAGAAATATCTGGATAGCACTTTTTCAGGTATATGATGACAAATTAATCACGATGCTCGGGTCATGAAGATCTTCATATCTGTCAGCTAATAGGATGTTGTACAACATTGAATCATAGAAGAATCTGTGTCTAGGATTTAACAAGTATTCAGTGAAAGCTATAGTTCACAAGAAGAAAAGCTGGACTTCAAATAAGTCATGCATGTCAATTTTAAAATTCTGTCATGCTGATGACAGGTGAAGCTACCAGTAACTCTTTGGAGTTTCCCTTCATAGCATATGGATTATTATTGGCAAACATCTCAAGCTAACCTATGTAGAACGTATTTGTGTCTTTACTAACCCTCTTCAGGTAAACTGATACACAGGTGTATCAATCTTGTGTTATGTTTCCCTATTTATTAACCAATAGATCTAGTCAACTTCTTTACATTCTGATAGTCTACTAGAACCCTAGTATTCCTTACACAACAGTACACTTAGTTTATCACTCTCTAATTAGATATAAATGATGATGAAGCATTTCCATCACTAGTAGAATACTTCAATGATAGATGATAAACAAGGGTTGTTGTATGTTAATAGAACTTACAAATCAAACCATGAAATATCTAGTAGGAAAATCTATATACAGACACTAAACAGCTTTATGTCATGCCAGAAAAATCCATACATTTTCTGTAACTGATTAAAAATGACATTTTCAGCAGCTCATATCTTCAACTTAACCATGTTTATGTTCAAAATACCAAATTAATAATGGATTTTTTTTTAGATAGTTCACAACCGTGTTTCTAAAACTATTGTTACACTTATGTTGATCTCTCCAATACTACAGTGCAACTTGTTTTACTTTGCCTGTCACTATAGTGACACTTGTGTTGGTCTCCTGGACACTAAAAAGACACTTGTGTTGGTCTCCCTGTCACTTTAGTGACACTTGTGTTGGTCTCCCTGACACTATAGAGACACTTGTGTTGGTCTCCCTGTCACTATAGTGACACTTGTGTTGGTCTCCCTGTCCTTGTAGTGACACTTGTGTTGGTCTCCTGGACACTAAAGAGACACTTGTGTTGATCTCCTGGACATTAAAGAGACACTTGTTTTGGTCTCCCTGACACTATAGTGACACTTGTGTTGGTCTCCCTGTCCATGTATTGACAAATGTGTTGGTCTCCTGGACACTAAAGAGACACTTGTGTTGGTCTCCCTGTCACTATAGTGACACTTGTGTTGGCCTCACAGACACTAAAGAGACACTTGTGTTGGTCTCCTGGACACTAAAGAGACACTTGTTTTGGTCTCCCTGACACTATAGTGACACTTGTGTTGGTCTCCCTGTCCATGTATTGACAAATGTGTTGGTATCCTAGACACTATAGAGACATTTGTGTTGGTCTCCCTGTCACTATAGAGACACTTGTGTTGGTCTCCCGGACACTATAGAGACACTTGTGTTGGTCTCCCTGTTACTATAGTGACACTTGTGTTGGTCTCCCTGTCACTATAGTGACACTTGTGTTGGTCTCCCTGTCCTTGTAGTGACAAATGTGTTGGTCTCCTGGACAATAAAGAGACACTTGTGTTGGTCTCCCTGTCACTATAGTGACATTGGTGTTGGTCTCCCTGGCACTATAGTGACACTTGTGTTGGTCTCCCTGTCACTTTAGAGACACTTGTGTTGGTCTCCCTGTCACTATAGAGATACTTGTGTTGGTCTCCGGGACACTATAGAGACACTTGTGTTGGTCTCCCTGTCACTATAGAGATACTTTTGTTGGTCTCCGGGACACTATAGAGACATTTGTGTTGGTCTCTCCAACACTATAGTGACACTTGTGGTGGTCTCTCCAACACTATAGTACATTTTGTCTTGATTTCCCTGACACTACTGACACATGTGTTGGTCTCCCTGACAATATAGTGACACCTTTGTTTGTCTCCATAGCTACACGTTGGTCTAACACTGTAGTGACACCAGTGTTGGCCTCTGAGTCTGTCTCAATTGCACAATATTGACAATTATGTTAAAATTGTCGTTATTTTACAGACAGATTGACAGAAATATACATGTCATCCTAAATTCCTTCGCAAGAAATGTTCTTTAAAATTCATCCTATTCAAAATTGCTGTACGTTTTTTGTATTCATCTGAATATTACTCTAAATAAAACAAGTTTTTTTATCACTACAGATTAAAGACATGCAACAGAAAGTTTTACCAATCATGTAAACTCCCTCAATCAATGAAAAGTTAAAAACTTTTTTAAAAATGCACAATGTTTCTGGTACATAGCAGCAATACATTTATACATATTTATAATGGTAAGCCAAATTTAATGAAAATCACAACTTCAACCACTGGTATACATAAGTTCATAGAAAGAAAACAGTATGTTTTCCTCTTTGTGGTGATACACATTTCTGAAAAGTTTCCAAGACTAAAATAAAACTGAACTATACTGTGTATAAGTATCGACAGGATTTGGATGACCTTTAAAGTTGAATGTGTTTAGCTTGTTAAAACTCCACAGGGCTCACTGTTTGATACAAAATCTGAAATGTAGGCTGTGGTTTGTATACAAGCTCAATACAAATGATGGCTTGTCAGACACTGGCTTAAAACCTATGAGATACCCTTCCGTTAAAAAGATCAATGTCACCTGTATGAAAAAGGATTATACATACACAAGACGATGTGGTTCAACAAAAAGGGTTTGTTCTCATGTCCTACACACAGTTATAAGAATACAGGACACAGATAATACATTTAAGGCACATTTAAAAGTCCTTATGTTCATAAAGGTTGATTAATCTTATAAAAGTTTGGTCCTGATCATTCTAGTGGTCACCTTAAAAGGAATTACAAACATGTGTCCAATATAGCTGTTTATCTCTGTTGTAATTCAGCACACCTTCCAATGTTTACCAGGCAGCAATATACCTAGATATACCCGCTTCATTCACCTATTTGTAAATCAACATGAAGTATGTTTTCTTTGTAATTTCAGATAAGTAAGTGTCCAAGAAACATTTAAATCATATTCAGTAATGTAAAACTCAGCATCTAAACCTTTCTACAATTATCTTTGACCTTAGAAAGATTACCTACAAGAAACTGTTTTTTTCTCTAAATGTTTGTTGCCCTGTTGGTAGAGCATACTTGCTATCCCCAATGCATGATCATTTATATGTGATTAAATTTGGAATATTTTCCTTAATTATTTTATTTTTTAACTCTGATTGCCTCACTTGGCATTTAAACCTCTGTTTTGGCTTTAGTGTTGAGTGTTTCCGAATAGAGGAAGGTTTGGGTTCTGTTACCAAACAACTCCTGATATCTATAGAACTGGTACATTTAGTCTGCAGCTTTGTGGTTGATTTTCAGCTAAAAGATGAGTTAGTGGTAAGGACTGGTTAGCAAGTGGTCAGTATAACATGCCCACAGGATGTGCCATGCTACCATATCTAGGCTATAACTTTCCAGTTTATGGACGCTGTAAAGCACCCTGAAGTGGTCCAATAACTTTATGTATGATATGGACATACAGGCTCTAAGCCTGCGTCCATTATTAATCCTATTAAATATCATCATTGAATGCTGTCTTCATGTGACCTTCTAAGTTCATGTCACTAACTAGTACATACCTGTTATTTATGAACATGTAGGTGCAGTTACCCTTAAAACTGTTCAAGAAGAAAATGCAAATCTTTATTAGACTTCAATTATTGCTATTCTTAGGATACCATTCAGAATCTCCTCATCATCCAGAATATTGTTTACTATATCAGTCCATCCTCCAACAGCACATCATGTCTAACTAAAGGCCAATGTGTCTCCCAGAACTTTTCAGTGTTCAGCAGTAAATGGTTACGATCATGCTTTAGCTATTACGACCATATTGTATTGTGAAGCTATTTTAGTACACAGTAGTAGCTACAACCATGCAATAATGAACACCAGACACAGCTAAAACAGTACATAGTGTGTATTAAGTATCTCTTGATAATTACCTATTTAAGTCTATTGCTTTAAATATTTGATGTGTGTAGTTGCCATACAGGGCTGAGACCAGCAAATAGAGCTGTTTTTTGTTTTTTAAATGATAATTCACCTGTTTACATATCTAATGAGGCAATCTATGAAAATTAATTTTCTGATCCTGAAATCAACGTTACCTTAACCCATTATTTTATTTTTTGGAATCTAATTAAGTTTAAAAGCTTTTTTGTTTAAAGCAAGAAATACCTTGGTTGACAGAAATAACCAAAAAGCTCTTTGATCAACAATTTTTAGGTGAGTGGCAGTCTCAATTTTTTTTTTTTATGTATAATTCTGCGCTTGGAAATTATGAGGTAAAATGACTCTATATATATGTATGCAAATTACAATTGTTCAGTGTTGTTGTTAACATAATTTACCAGTTATGATTTGAATACATACATTGTATTAATAGTTTAATTAACATACATGTAATACATCAGGCAATATGTATGTCTATTGAATCCAAACGCCTTCATATCAAATGTAAATACACATTTCAACTTCATCACAAGTATGATATTTATTATCAGAAATGTTAATGAATGGGATTTAACTGTTCAAGGTGTTACCTGTAATGTAATTTTCTTTCAGTGATTATACCGTACTACACATGCAATCAACACAGCAAAAAGTATACCCATTTCTCTTGTAATATAATGCCATATACATGTACACATAGTGGGTTTCATTCAAACTTTTACATGCAAGTAAAAAAGCATGCTGGATTATTCCAAAAAATAAAGCTTAATAATACATGTAGCTTGTAATGGATATAGGCCAATGTAAACCCTACCATCCAATAACTGGCAAAAATTCTGTAATTTGTTTGGTGTAAAACACAAAAGCAATGGTAAAAATCAATGATATGTAAGCGTAGTAATAAGTAACAGTACATTTTTTATTGGTCGTACACAGGAACATGGACCAAGATTGGTCAAATCTGAGTAAGTCTGCCTTAGCACAACAGTACAAAGTTTATTGCTCAAAAACACCATACCATGTGATTGAATATTTAGATCTGTCTCTAGTCTGTGTGATTAAAACTTAAGTAATATCAGTGCAAGTGACAGATTTGGACTTCATAGCACCATAACAACATCCCCATAGTTCTAGTCCAATCATACCTACAGATGCAACCAAAGGTCAATCTAATTAAAATTAGACCTGTCATTTCATTCTTCTACGATACAATACAATACAAATATTGGTTAACTCTCATTGGTGTTCGTATTTCAAACGAAAGGTCACTCTGAGATGACCTGAGACAGCCGGTTGCTAGATCTTGTAGTGTAAAATACAGGAATCATATCACAAGTCTAATTTTGATTAGATTGAACTGAAGGTAGGCTAAACTTTCTATCTAAATTGCAAGGAGAAATATTTTGTTTATATTTCTTATCTTAAAATAAAACCTGTTCTATATCATCAACGATTACAGTATACTATGTACCTCCTGGTCTCAAGTTCACACCTATCATCCTATATCAAATGATTTTAAAACATATGTAACTATATGAATTGTTTTAGTCAGTGTTATTATATTTATACAAAGAAGTTTTAGGATAAAAAAAAATACCTTTAAAGTGAAAAACAATATAAAATGAGAAGACAACCACCATTCAATTCAAAAGTTTAAGCAGAAATTCCGAGGAGTGCTGAATAAGAAAATTTATAAAGTAGGTAGAAAAGAAGTTCAAACCGAAATCATTATTAATGTACAGCATTGATTGTTTAGTATAAGTCCCTCCCCAGCTAGATACCTAGGAAACTATTTCAGATCAAATTTGTGCTTTTCCTTGTTTCTTTGAATGCTACAATTAACAAAGTCTGAATAAAAACCAACATATGATAGATTGTGTCAGATTTAATAGTAAACCATTAGACTACTCTACAGTTTTAAACAGTGATGGCCTATTCTTGATTGTGTTAAATATTAGTACCTTACATAGATGACAATGTAAAATGATGCAGATTCAAGCATATGCACATGCTTTAATTTGTTCCAACCTTCACAGTTAGAAACATATCCCATATAAATTACAATTAACAATGTACACATACCCAGGTAAGTCATTACATTTGAAGCAAGTGATTTGGAAAACAGCACAACCCCCTAATATACTTACAAGCTTTTTTCCCTAAATAAACTTCTTCTGAAAATTTCAATTGCAACAAAAATTCAGGAAAAAGACAAAACCAAAAAGACATTCAAAATTGAAAAAGGTATGAAACAAAAATAAATATAAATAAGCATATGTAAGCGTCACTACATAGTAACAATTTCTATGCAATAAGATTAAATTCAAGATGTGAAAACTAACAAAATTAAACTGCCAATACATTACATATATATATGGTATATATAACTTAACAAAGGAGAAAAAGTCGAGACCAGTCAGGTTTATCCAAAAGCAAGAACAACTGAGTATATGTAATATCTTATCTAAAACAATACCTGTTGTCTTTCGATTGCGAGTCAAAGACTGAGTGCGTCTAGTTGGTTTTTCGTCTTCACTGATAAATGAATCATCACTGTAATCATAGTCATCGTCATCCTCTGTCGCCCGATAACTCATCTTTTCGATAATACACAAATTTCACTTTGACTTGTAATTTTTGTTCACAATTTGAGTAACACCTTTCACATATCCTGTATTGAAAGTATCTGAAAAGGATAAAAGTTTAAAATGTAAACATTGCAATTGTTTTATTAAATGATACATTTATAGATTTCAATAGCATTTAAAAAGTTAGCAATGTCAAACATACTTTTTTTTAAAAAGCCACAGATGATAACTGCAAATAGAATTTTGCTATGACACAAATGTACCACAAAAATTTGGAAGGAGCCTTAAACAAGTAGAACTTGAAAGTTTTATATAGATTAGTGATAAGTAATTGACATAGTAAATTGATGTCAAAGTAAATGTGAATTAACAGAAATTTTACATTATAAAGTGAAAAAAAAATCCAAAAGACAAATTAAGTAAAATTTTTCTAAACAAATCATCCTATAACCTCAGGTACACTTTAAATAGAGGACCTTTTCAAATATGATAATTTGACAAATTACTCCTGAAATGTGACAACTGAATATCTGATGGGTGTACATAAACCAGTGGATTTAAATGCTAACCAATGAAATTCCATCACTTTCAACATTTTCAATGCATACTACATAAGTTAAACAATACACACTACAGTGCAGATTCACAAGAAAACAGTGTTTCTTAATGAAGAAATCACATATATTACATGAGATTCATACTGAATATCTGTACTACATAAGTTTCTGTCACCAACATGTGTCCTCACTAAAATTCTAAAACAAGTGAATCACAAGTAAAACATAACTGCAGTGATCGTGTGTCATACTGCCATAGGTTACAAACAAATAACTTCTATTTTCTGTTTACTTATAAAGTACAGTACATGTAATTTGTGAGTATGCCCAAGGATGGAACAAACATGCATGCTCCTATTTCACATTCTTAATCTTAATTACACAGCAACCCCACTGCTCAAATGACAAAAGGAATATATATTTTAAGTTATCTTTAATGGCTGTATTGTCCTTGCTGAAAAAATTAACATACATGTCTTGTATGATTGTCATTTGTAAAGTAAAACATGCAATCAGATTTGTAAACCTCTGAGAAAAAATGTTATTCAATTCAGTGTTTAACTGATATTTAATCCACAGTTTGTACATGAATGAGTTTCCGTATACATACCCAAAGTTTCTAAGTTGTCAAAACTTCATCACTGAACATATCGTATATCCATCTATTGACGTTTACGTCCATGCTTTATGGAAATATGTACCCGGTGAAGATTTGTTTACCTGCCCAGCAACAAGAGAACGGATGTGTAAGAAAGTATGACGTAGCCAAAAGGTGAGCAATTTGAGAGTAACCGGAAATAGCAATTTCATGTGTAGAACGTAATTGTTTCATGTGTAGAACTGAAAATCCGGAAGGGGAAAATACAACCAGCTAGCATCCATTTAAAATCTGCAGCATCCTCAACTTAATTTTGCATCTGTGCAAATTTGCACATTCGTTGATTTTATTGTGATTGTAATTTGCATCCATTTCATTGCAAGATGGTGCTACGAGTGTTCTACACATCAACACCGACCACTAAAGCGGTAAGGAATATTTGTTTACATTATTTGACAGTTCTAGAATGCCACACCCACTTCTGTCAGATGAGGTACATTAATTCGAATTTCTTGGATTAATATTTTTTTTGTATGCACTTATGTTGAAGAGTGTTGTCTCAAATGAATGCATATTGGCCTTTAGCAGAAATAAATGCTGACATATCATGAAACATGATACCTGTGTACATCATGTCAACTTTCATTTTGTTTTCACGATATTGACCATCATTTCTTTGCCATTACACGTAACGAATGGATCTGTGTAGCCTTTTTTCATAACTTCGTTATAAAACTCTCATTACCCGATCTAAGATTTAACTTTACAGTATTACTATGGTAAAGTGTTTTGACACCGTTTTAGTTGGTATTGATCTATTACGGAAAATAATGGATGCAGGCTGTACGCCTCTAAATCCATATCCATGAAATATATATATATTACTATATATATTACATTTTTATACATAATCTCTCATATATAATATATTTTTGACAGTTGTGTGTGACTTGTGAGTGATTGTCAGGTTACAATATTAAGGATAATTTCCTTGTTTTTATTTGTAAAGACAGCAATATTACACCCAAATCTTTTCCAAATATACCCAAATAAAGGCAAATCATAACCAAATATACCCAAATCTTAACCAAATATACCATTTTCTCACCAAAATATACAAAAATCTTGCACAATTACCACCAATATTAACAATTTAATCTACTGGTTATCATTTTTCAGGTCAATAACGGTTCTCAATTGCGATTTTCTCTCTTGAAAAGTGAAATACTAAGCTTATCCTAATCGACCGACCATTTTTCTGGACAATTTAATGTTCATTACCATAGATACTTCATTCCCTACGCGATTCTTAATTATGCCGCAATTATGATATTTCATGATTTATTTAGTATATAGTCAAAACGGCCTCACTTCAATAACGGCCCTAGTTGAAACAGCCATACATATATATAGTGTAATGTTCTGTTAGTACTGTGGTGATAGTATCGCATTAAGATGTTAATGATTAAAACAGATTTTGATAATTTAAAACATTGTATATCATCAATAAAATGCTGATATCTAAAAAAAATATACTAACAATTTTAAAGAATGATGTGTGGTGTTTGTCTTCAATTAATCCTTTACTATTCTCAGTAATGAGAAGCAACTGGGAAAATAAATATTTCAAAATCTTACAGCAAGATAATGCTAGTATTTTTACATTTTTATTTAAACATACATTGTAACCTAATCAAACTTATTCCCAAAATTTCTTTATCACCAAAGCAAAAGATTTTCAGAAATTTGTCATGTGAAATGTCCCTTACCATTGTATTGTTAATACTAAACCAGTTGTCACTCAGTTAAACTCAAGTTTAACACGCGATTTGGTACACGCTCGCTGCTGTGTGTAGTACACATTACGACGCTTAAACATCTTGTTCCATCGCCGATGTCCAGTTATGGTTTTACATGGGGACCTATTGCCATCATGATTTGTCCGTCGTCGTGCGTCGTTAACTTTCCACATATTCGACTTCATTTCAAGAACCACTCAATGGATTTTGACCAAACTTGGCACAAAGCATCCCCATGGGAAGCTGCTTCAAGTTTGCGAAGAAAAAGGGCGTTGCCCCAATATGGGCCCCAGGAGGGGGGGAAAAAGGGAAACTTATACGAATGTTCTACACTAGGTCCTGGCAAGTGTTTTAACTTTTTGGGGCGATTCAAAATCCAAGATGGCCACTCTGGCCTCTGTTTGGCTAAGACATTATGGACTTCCTCTCAAGAACCATTGGGTGGGTCATGTTCAAACTTGGTACAGATGATTTACGCATGGTTCTGCACAAATGTTGTTACATTTTTGCAACATTTTAAAATCCCTAGATTATTGACATATATTCCTCAGGTGACCGTTAAGGCCCCATGGGCCTCTTGTTTAACTTAGACCTGACCTCCACGCAGGTTGATGAAACCTTACCTTCATCAAGGAATAAACAAGTCAGAATCGTACAAGGCGTCATCCAATCGCCACCAACTGATAACAAGGAAGGTTGCATGTTTTATTGTAATGTGATTAACCCGGCTATTGTTGAGTGGGGTCTGCCACAGCATCCCCCTTTGGTAACAGGTAATGCTGTCAACATGGTAGTTGCTGCTAGAGAAGTTGGTTGTAAACCCCACCTGCCATGTTTTGCCCATACCTTAAACATAGCTGTCCAAAAGAGTCGTAAGATCAGTGCAGTTGCTAGGTTGTTAGCAAGGGTTCGCAGAGTAGTTTTCTTTTTCCATAGGAGTACAGCTGCTGCTGCTTTGTTGAAAGAAAAAGCAAAACTTTTCGGTGTACGCGAGGTCAAACTAATCATTGACGTGTGTGCTAGTTGGAATTCAGCGGTGGATATGCTTGAAAGGTTCCAAGAACTACAGCCTGCAGTCTATGCTGTCCTCATCAGCAAAGATCTAAAAACCAAAGACACTGATGTGTCAACATTGAGTGAAGATGATGTAAAGATTGCTGAACAAATAACAGCATTACTCATACCCATACGAACAATATCTGTGGCTCTTTGTAAGGAAACAGCACCTACATTGTCAATCATCTTGCGTGTCCAAAGAAAGCTTGAAAAGAAGCTTATACCAAACCACTTGGACCTACCAATGATCAAACAGATGAAATCTGCCATTGCTGAGGATCTGAAACCCAGGTATATATAAATAATCATAGTCATAATATTTCCAATGTTTAATCCAGTCAATAGAAAAATAATGTTAAATACATGAATGCAGTTTATAATTTAGCTCAGACAGTTTCAAACTATGTTCTAAGTAATGATAAAGATGTTTCAAGTACATGTATTACTTCATTTCAGGTCTAGTGATCCTGACTTTAAGGATTTCTTGGAAGACACCACTCTGATTGATCCTAGATTTAAAGCTTCTCTCCTCCCAGAAGAAAACGTTATTTCGGTCAAAGCCAGGATGTTTTCGGCAGCAGCATCCCTGTGTCAAATGATGGTCAAACAGGAGCCACTACTTTAGAAACCCAGCAATCTCATTTGGAGCATTGTAAGTGTTTTAAGAAACTTTTACATGGAAAGACAGTTTAAATGTGTATAAAACAACATATTTGACCCAAGGTGTATTAAAAGTATTGCATAAAAATGAAAATGCAGACTACATTGTTTATAAATATTTTGTGTCCTTTGATTCTAAAACCTCTGATGTTACTCGTCTCAAGTGTTTCAATTATTTTGGACATGGCTATGGAACCTAATCATAATGACGTCTTTACCTCGTCAACTTTTTTGAGATTTGTTTATTTCATGTTGATTGTTGATGGAAATTGGAAACAGTGTCCTTCTGTAACATATTTATTACCTATTTCATCAACAGTTGACGAAGACATAAAACCAACTGGAGGTTTAGCTAGTATCCTGGGTGATGTGGTGATTGTCAAAACAGAGCCAGCATCCAAATCTATTTTCCAAATAATCCAAGAGGAACTAAACACCTATCTTCTGAGTGATCCTCTTCCAGTTAATGGAGATCCCTTGCTCTGGTGGAAGGAGGGTGCCTGGAAACACCCTCACCTTTCTGTCCTGGCAAAACAGTTGCTGTGTATCCCTGCTACCAGTGTCTCTTCGGAAAGAGTTTTCAGCAAAGTTTGGGATATTGTTTCAGCCCAAAGGGCCTCTCTGGGCTGTGACAAAGTTGACATGCTTATGTTCTTAACTTCACATGTTGAAACTTTCCAGATCTGGTGTTTAATTTAATCACAGCACCGTCACCTCGTCAGGTGCACTTTTTTATAAGTGAGATCAGCGTCTTTCACTCTTAAATTTAATCATTCTAATTTTACATTATAGCATATAAATTTGAATAGATAAATAAAAAAATAAAATGGAGCTTAAGAAAGCAGGGTCCGCGTTCCCAAGCCTTGGGTGCACGCATTGTGTAGCTAATGCTTCCAAAATACACATTTTTATTTATATGCGCATTATTTTTAAAAATAAAAATGAAATAATTATTTACACGTATTTGCATTTTCATATAGATAATATATTGTGTTTGGTTTATTTTATATGAACGTATCTTATTGATACAAAAATTGTTTTCACGTGATGTATTTAAATTTTTGATATGAATTTTATTTTTTTTAACTTTATTGTTTATATATCAAACGTTCTTTTGTAATTATATTTATATAATAATTATTTCCGCATGATTTGATTTCAATATACAAATGTAAGTTGTTTATTTTTTAATATTAAAACATTGGATTTTTTATTGTTCTCGTTGTGTTCTTTTTATCCTTGACACAATCAACTTTCACAATCTTTTTGGGGAACATTGAGAATATGCCTTGCATACTTTTTCTGAGAATTCAGAATTTTGAGAAAGTTTCGTGCAAATGGAACCAGGATTCTGCTTTAGAAAAAAATGTATGTAAATTGATACAGTAAATAATTAAACACAGAATAGGATTTGCGTTTGTCATTTGATTAAAACGAAAGATGCATATAACCAATATAATTTCATGTTATATATCAACAATTTATATACCGTAATTCTATAGCAAAGTGTAGAAGTGTATTTCACGGTTTATAACGGAGCGTCCGTTTCTGCATGTTCCCGCTTCATTTTTGTCCGTTTTTGCCCGTTAGCCTATATGGTATTACAGAATTTATATGAATTGCCTTAGTAAATGGAAGCTGAAATTAGACAAAGATAATCCATTTGATCATGTGTATATCGTTTATTAGTAATAAAATATAATACCAGGAACTTATATAACAGATATACAGAGCCCGTTACGGTCCGTTCCTGTAAATCGTCGGGCCGTTTTCTTTCCCGTGATGACAATCGTAACTGAGATAAGTGGACGGTATTCGGTAGATTTGATATTTGATGTAGATTTGGGTATGTTTGGGTAAGAATTGGTTTTATTTGGGTATATTTGGGTGTATTTGGGTAAATCGTCGTGCCCATATTTTAAGTATAATATACTGCATAGATCAAATGTTTACAGGTCACTAAAATCAGGATATAATTATACATGCAGCTACACTAGGTTGGTTGTCAGTATATTTGTTCATGACTTATCATTTAAGAGGGCCATGTGGCAGATTAATAGACTTGTACTTGCTACTTTCTGAAAACTAATTACTATTTTATCTGATAATGGAATTTCTTTGGCTTTCCTTTATTGTGCATTTGGCAAGACCGAGATTCTAACAGATTTTGAAATTTAAGACAAAAACAATATTCAGACATTTGCAATGAAGAGTCTAAGAAGGACATGGTTATTGTTTCAACTGTATCCATTCTTTGACGAATTAAAGTAGAACAAATTATCATTCCTTAGGAATGGCATACTGTTCATTGTAACTCAATCTTCATCAAAGATTCAATTCTGAAATACAAGCGAAATTGTTTAGTATCTGATGCATGGAGAGGAAAAATGGACTTTCTTGGATGTTTGATTCAATACTTGCCTTTGAAGTGGATTATGGCCTCCTTATTGGTCTATATTCAATAGTGAAAGTGACATGTAATAGTTATAAAAAAATATATTTTACATGTGTACACAAATGCATAATACACATATTTATGAAAAGGACAAACCCTGTGGCCATGTTTTTCTGAAGGAGATTTCCTGTTGGAGACTAGATATATGTCGTTTGCAAGTATACAGATGTGGTTGTCAAAGTAGTGAGTCATACTCTAGTTGGATGATTTTGCTTTGCTTGTTTAAAAGTTTAGTCTTTGACATGAAAGATTGATATTTCCTAATGCACCTTAAGGCAAATTATTGTAGAGTTTTCTTTAATCTATTTGCACATTGCGACCTTTAAATTTTTCAGAGATTTTTAACTTTCTGAGTACTGTATTTGACAGCACCACCCACATTTATGAGAGTTTATTAAACTACCATTCTGTATGGAATTTTAATGCTTGGGCTGGGAAGTTGGGAATGTATATAAGGTTGTGCAATCTGGATTGTGGTCCATATTTAGGCCAAAATCCTTATCATCTTTGATAGGTGTCTTATTGTTGCGAAGGGGTTGAAACAAATGTCATCGATGGAGATGCTATAGTCTTAAGTTTGTTGAATCATTGAAATTTTATTTTATTATTTTTTTTTTTTTTCCAGCTTAAAGCCAAACAAGAATACATCCAGCGGACACTGACAAGTTTAAAATTTGACTTCGATTTGATTGACATCAGTGCACAAGAAAATGAGGAAGATCGGAAATTTATGCGGGCAAATGCACAGTCGAACAAAAGTGGCGCTGTTCCCCTTCCCCCTCAGATATTTAATGACGATATCTATTGTGGGGTAAGTCTTGTATATTTACATATGATATTATTCATTTTCAAGGAATGTCAGATTTTCCGTAGTTATTATTTTTTTTCCAACTCAAAAAGATGGCAAAGTCAAAGGAAAAAAAAAACAAATATCCTGTATATTGTATGTGTGTTATCTACATATGGTGTGATGTAAAATTGCTGAAAGTCTTTATTAGGAGTATTATCTAGATAAAAATGTATACCAAACTTTTGGTTGTCTGCTTACAGGATTTTGAAGCTTTTGAAGCAGCAATAGAAGGAGAAGGTGTAGCAGCCATGCTGAAGATGGAAACTCAAGTGTCACAAAAAGAAATTAACCTCTCAGTAAGTGTGACCTCTTCAGGCATTTGGACGATTGTTGTAGACTTGTATTATTGTACAATACTAATTTCATCAATTACAGGAGACTTTTTAACATGACATTGAAATAGGTATATTTCTTTCAGCTTTTATTTCATAAAATGAACGCCTGTTTCGTTTGCGAACAGTCTTCACAAATTCTTGTTTGCCTGATTGTATACATGAATTGTCGAACGAATCACCTGTATGTTGTTTATTAATTTGTGATTTCTGTTTACTTGTCTGAGGATTTGGTGTATCAACCTTCTTAAGTTTTATGATGTATTGCAAGTTGTGCTGCAGAAGTAGAAGAAAGCAAAAAATGAAAAATGACTTATTCTTTTTCAGGCCGTTCAGTTGATTGCGCAATTGCATTGAACTATTTGACACCATATCTGTGTTCTTGTGATATAGATATATGGCACTTTCTTTTATTGGATGTGTATGCTGATAGTAACATTTTGATATATAACATACTGGTATGTTTTATGCCACGTTGTTTTTGACATGATTTGCAATCGTCATGCATATTTCATCAAAATGATGTAATTTAGAAAATACTACTGGTTCTATTTGTAGAACAATTTTCATTATAACAAACATGACTTGGCGATCACTGTTTGTAATTTTGGTAACAAGTTACTGTGATGTTTTGAATTCATTGGCGCTACTATTTGCTGAAGCATTTATATAACACAGATGTTTCCTTCCTTTCTGTTTGAATTAATTGAATTCTGTCCATGTTACATATTAGGACGACGAAGAGGAAAAGAAAGACGAGGTAAAAGCATGGACATGGTGTTATTCCAACATGGGTTGTCATGAAGTTTTCCAATATCAGAGATTTGAAACCAATTGTTTAAATTTGTTACATCCTTCCTGGATCTAAGATCCGCACTATAATTCACCTTTTACACTTGAAATTTTAACTCACGTTGATTTCATTTGGGTATTTTTCGATAATGTGTATTGTTTTAAACACAATTTATGCCGACAAATGATGTCATAAAATTTGATGTAAGCAGCCATGTGTGACTAGATATGGATGACAGCTTAAATGTACAGTGTTAATTTCTAACATTGAAGCATACCTATAGTCATTAATTACTTATACTGAATGACGTGGTGAAGCTACAGTTACTAATACATGTATATCCTATACTTTAAAAAGTGTAAATTGTATATTTATGTTAACTGTCATAGGTCTCGGACTTATCTAGATCAGCACCAGTTATTGTTAGTCTGTCCGAATGCATGATAAGTACTGCTATGTTAACTGACATTTAAGTCCAGAAGTCCAATCGTTCATAACATTATTTCATTTGACAGTATTCAAATTGTAGGTAGTAGGGAGTTTAGATAGAACACCGAGGTCTAAAGTGAGCCAATAACTGTAGATCTATTACTTTTAAAGTACAAGAAACATTTCTAAATGAATGAATTCCAGATCGTAAGGTGTCTGCATGTTTATGGCCTCATGTGTTTATTCTTTGTTTGGACCAGATGAAAAGGGTTTGATAAATAAAGTGGAAAATGGGGATACTGTGTCACCCTTCATGACATAGTTTATCAGATGTTGTTTGATACTAGGTAGGATATATGACATAGTTTATCAGATGACATAGTTTATCAGATGTTGTTTGATACTAGGTAGTGTATATGACAGTTTATCAGACATTGTTTGATACTAGGTAGGATATATGACATAGTTTATCAGATGTTGTTTGATACTAGGTAGTGTATATGACAGTTTATCAGACATTGTTTGATACTAGGTAGGATATATGACATAGTTTATCAGATGTTGTTTGATACTAGGTAGGATATATGACATAGTTTATCAGATGTTGTTTGATACTAGGTAGGGTATATGACATAGTTTATCAGATGTTGTTTGATACTAGGTAGGATATATGACATAGTTTATCAGATGTTGTTTGATACTAGGTAGGATATATGACATAGTTTATCAGATGTTGTTTGATACTAGATAGGGTATACGACAGTTTATCAGATGTTGTTTGATACTAGGTAGGGTATATGACATAGTTTATCAGATGTTGTTTGATACTAGGTAGGATATATGACTTAGTTTATCAGATGTTGTTTGATACTAGGTAGGATATATGACATAGTTTATCAGATGTTATTTGACACTAGGTAGGATATATGACATAGTTTATCAGATGTTGTTTGATACTAGGTAGGATATATGACATAGTTTATCAGATGTTATTGGACACTAGGTAGGATATATGACATAGTTTATCAGATGTTGTTTGATACTAGGTAGGATATATGACATAGTTTATCAGATGTTGTTTGATACTAGGTAGGATATATGACATAGTTTATCAGATGTTGTTTGATACTAGGTAGGATATATGACATAGTTTATCAGATGTTATTGGACACTAGGTAGGATATATGACATAGTTTATCAGATGTTGTTTGATACTAGGTAGGATATATGACATAGTTTATCAGATGTTATTGGACACTAGGTAGGATATATGACATAGTTTATCAGATGTTGTTTGATACTAGGTAGGATATATGACATAGTTTATCAGATGTTGTTTGACACTAGGTAGGATATATGACATAGTTTATCAGATGTTGTTTGATACTTGGTAGTGTATATGACAGTTTATCAGATGTTGTTTGATACTAGGTAGGATATATGACATAGTTTATCAGATGTTGTTTGTTACTAGGTAGGGTATATGACATAGTTTATCAGATGTTGTTTGATACTAGGTAGGATATATGACATAGTTTATCAGATGTTGTTTGTTACTAGGTAGGGTATATGACATAGTTTATCAGATGTTGTTTGTTACTAGGTAGGGTATATGACATAGTTTATCAGATGTTGTTTGTTACTAGGTAGGGTATATGACATAGCTTATCAGATGTTGTTTGTTACTAGGTAGGGTATATGACATAGTTTATCAGATGTTGTTTGATACTAGGTAGGATATATGACATAGTTTATCAGATGTTGTTTGTTACTAGGTAGGATATATGACATAGTTTATCAGACGTTGTTTGATACTAGGTAGGATATATGACGTAGTTTATCAGATGTTTGATACTAGGTATGATATACGACATAGTTTATCAGATGTTATTTGATACTAGGTAGGGTATATGACTAGTACATTATATACACCAAATTGTGCACCTTGGTGTTGATGGGCTCTGACGTTTGTAATATGTAGATAAGATGTTCAAGAATTTTGTCTGACTACATGGTAATATTTGAAAATACTCATGGTAACGATAGGCGATGACAGCAATCTGTTTTAAGATCAAGGCTTTCTGGCTGTAAAAAATGTTCTCGACAAAGTGTACTTATCACGTAAAATAAAACTTAGAACATCTGACTTTATAGATAATGACGCTACAAACATATGACATCAATAGCTTTATAAACATCCAAATCACCTATAGATTAATTGTTTGTTTACCCGAGACCTCAGTTGCTGGGCAGGTTGAGTACTAACATTATTGATTCTGAAATGATATTTAGTTATTTTATTGGTACATAAGATTTACTGGTATATTTCAGCAAATATATTTAGGACGTGATTAATGATATTGAAGGGGATATATTTATACTGTCGTTTCAGTTCAATTGGATTTTTCTAATATGATTACTTAAAATTTTAAAATGCATGTGCATTTGAATTATATATTGTCGGAGGAATTTTGGGTTTGGACTTAGGGTTTTTATAGAAGAGGATTATATCAATGACAAATTCCAGTTAAAATGTGAAAGTATATCATGAATACAACTTTGATGATTGGCATTATAAAGTTGAAGATGGAAAGTTGTACTTTTAACAGAAACCATTGATATATTTTAATTCTCCACAATATGGGTAACAACAGTAATGTGAAGCACTAGTAGACTGATGCAATGTATACACTGAAGCTGATGTCAGAAAGGGAAACAATGCTCTCTGGCCACCGTTGTCCTCTGAACATCATTACTTCAAAGGCCATATTTCCTTTTTCAGTAAAACTTAATTCAATGGAAATTGGAAACAGATGGATAATATTAACAAATATTGTATAAACTGAATCAGATACAGGATTTAATAAGTTGTCTGACAGGACATTAAGTTTAGGTGAGAAAAAAATGTTGCTTTTTATGATTCATGTATGTGTGTTTGGTGTGCTTGAAATTTAAGGAAAGACTTGTTTTTTTTTTCTATGGAGAGGCAATTGATCCACAGAGTAACTGGCTAGCATAATCTTTATACTGATACATCACCATATGTAAGCATTGGCTCTATCGGCCACAAGTTTACCAGGGACGTATGATACAGTATTATATCTACATTGTACATCCCTGGGTTTACCAATATTTGGAAAGGTTACACGCCAGTCACTAGCACCACATGTATCATCCCCAGACTCCAATATACATGAACTATTGTAACTAAAACCCAATGCATGTGCAGACACCATATAAGTATAGAATGTATCATACCACAAATTATTTTCTATCATCTTATGTGAATTTAACAGTTCTGTTTCTGCTTTATATGAAAGAATTTTAAGCTGACAATTAAGTATGTTACTGCTGCCCTTGTCTTGTAAAAATATGAACCACTGTGTTTCAGGAAGATGGATGGAGGGGAAAGTAAACTTGAATTTGGTCATTATCTTACATAATTACTTATGTGTTTCCTGCTGATCCCTGTCTAAGAGAGTGTAGTAATTGTGTCACAGTAGGGGTACAGTGGATGTCTGGCAGTGGTAGTATCAAGTATAAGGCTAACTTGAGTAAATGTTTGTTACTAATGAGGGTCACTATGGGGGATCTAGGATAAATACAATATGTGAATATTTGTTTCTAATGAGAGTCCCAGTGGAGTATCAAGTATAAGGCTAAATAAGATATCAAATATAAGGCCGGGCTGGTGTAAATGTTAGTTCCTAACGACCCCTGTCATAGTGGTACACTGAAGGTCAGGTAGTAGCTAGCATCAAGAATAAGGCCAGACTTGTGTAGATGTTAGTGCCTAATGAGTTACAGCTGTAACATTGTGAGGTGAAGTATAAGGCCAGTAGATATTAGTGTTTGTTTTACATGCATTCTTCCTTACATAAACACTTTCTAAGAGTACATAAAACTTAAATGAATATGATAATTTCATAGAATGGTCTTGGATAACTGTCATATGTAAATTATTTCTTATGACTCTCAGTATTATTGTAAACCATCACTTTTTAACACAGAAATAATTATATTTAGCCTTGAGTGTATGAGCTAGTTATAGATCAGTACAACACATGCTAATTTCTCCCACACGCTAACCACCCACAACTGGTAACCCACATTCATACCTACACACATTGTCTAAGACCCATCTTCTCTCCAGCTATTTCTGTACAATATTACTTTCTGTAATGAACATAAACACAAGTCTGCCACCTCTCTAGATCTAGCCATACAGTTGTAAAACAGATAGGACTTACATGTACTAAGTGCAAATGTGCATGTGTACAGACACTTGACAGTGGTTATACAGTACAGGATATCATCAATTAGTTAAGATTGTTCAGTGTTGTGCTGCTATACTAATAGAACAGATACCAAAAACAACCATGGGCAAAAGTCCAATCATTTTGTTTATCTCTTTAATATTTGTTTACATTTGATGTTGTACTTCCCATGTTAAGCCGGTATTTGACATGTACTTTTCTCTTGGTAATTTTTAGCCACTACTTTTCAGTTAATTTAATTATGAAATGTTGTTTGATATATGTAAAACCTGAAACATGGAGAACTTACTCAGTAGTCATCATAAACAGCATAATGGTGAATGGATTGCTAGTTTACAAAGACAAATCTGGCATATAAAACAAAAACATCAGAAACGACAAGCTGTGTAAATACCTTAAGGTTCATTAAAGTTAAAATAATGATTTCTCAATGAACAATTGTATAACAAATTATCAATACTGATAACTGATATACACACAGCCACAAGATAAGCTGTTACTGTAAGACATTAGTTACACAATATATTTGTTAAAACTTAAAAGTAGGTAGAGCACAGTATGCAATGTACCAAATCAACCAAGTTCAGGCGTATAGTTCATAGTAGGCCTGAGCTGTTTTATCAGTTTGTAAGTAGGAAGGTAAACAAACATTGTGCTGTTATAGGAAAAAACACCCTTAATAGAGGATGTTGCTAAACAGGATGAGGAGGCAGAGAAAACTGAGGATGGAGAAAAAACTGAACAAGCAAAAAAAACTGAAGAAGAAGATGGTGAGAAACCATCAGAGCCCTCTGAGGAAAGTTCAGAGGTCAAAGAAGAAGACAGTTCAGAGGTCAAGGCAGAAGACAGTGCAGAGGCAAAGGATGAGGCTGTTACTGAGGAGACAACTGATGAGGCCAAACCAGCTGAGGAGGAGGTGACATAGTGTGGCTAGATGGCAGCATGGCGTGAAATATCTAAATTCTTCCTCCTTATAACTTTGGGTCAATGCAGAAACTACCTGCATTGTGCATGGAGTGATCTCCCCTTGACCTCCACCTGATGATTTGTAGAGATATCTGACCCAGTGTTCTGATCGTGATTATAATTCAGACCTTCTCTAGTGTGCAGTTGATAACAACAAGCATCATGGTTGTCATCATTATTTTTTTTTTTTTTTACCACAAATATTCTAATGATCACAAATCTAATTAGCATGAACACAGGCCATATGAACCATTTTAGATTGAACATTTGAGTTAGTATTCTAATGCCAGTACTTTCTTTCAGGTTTGATATTCAATCAGTTACAGTGCATGACATTTTGCTGAATGTATATTCTTAAAGTGCTTTAGTGTCTGGGGTAGGGGGATCTGATAACTCTGAGAAAGTGATCTTTTATTTGAAACACGTGTCAGTATTTTTCCCGTGTAGTGTGGATGATATTTGATATAACAAACCAATAGATTTCATGGGGTACAATGAACATCTGTTGTCATTGTTGTAGATCTATAGAAAAATTCAAATTGTACACAGCAGATTTCACATCACTTTCTCCTCAACCATCTGTAGGAGTAGCTAGTGTTTACAGTCGTGTGACTGTAGGAACTGTAAAGACATTTACAAGCACTACATAATCCATAAGTTAACTCACAGATAGGGAAGTTTGTTAACATAGTTTGGGCTGTGTAAATTTAAACAGAAATATAATAATGAATGTAATAGACATCAATGTGTTTACCATCTATCTGGAGGGTCAGGATGATTATGTTATGTCGTGTGTGACATATAACAATCTTGTGTGTTTATGTATGGAATTTTAACAAGTGAATTAGAGCAGAAAATATTGAGGTAGTTATAATACCTCACAGTTAATGTAGCCCATCTTTAGTTTACAGTGAGAGATTACTGGCAAAGTTTGGTTTTTCACTGTAGATGATGGGTTATTGAAGTACATAATGAATGCTTTGGGTTGTGAAGAGTATGACTTTAATTTGAACACTAAATATTTTGAGTCAATTGTGTTTTGCACGATTTATTTTTGTGCATTTGTACTGCAGGTTATGTATATTTACAGTGTACTAATGTAGTACATTAGCTGAATTTTGTCTGCAGTAGAGGTTTTTTTTACTGATAGAGCTGTGTAAGGTAATACTTGCAATACATAACCTGACCCAGGAAAAGAAGTGTGAACACTGCTCGCTGGCATGTCTTTTTATTTTTGAAGCATTCTATAGAAAAACAATTTCCTGTAGGTAGATCCTGTACATACACCTTTTATGTTTTAAGTTAAACTGTTTGTTCCTTGGGAGATGTGTTTTAGAATTTGGCGTCAAATTAAAGATTTAATCGGAATTGAAGGATTAAAAATTTAAAGATTTACAAATCCTGATATCATTATATAATGATGTTTACTACCACTGACATGCTTGTTTGATGAACTACAAATGATATTGTCCACTGAAAGGTTGAAAGGTTGTAATAGTGAATACAAAACCTGTTGAATTAATACAAATGTTCAGCAATGTCCGACATATTCTGGAATGTGTTTGGTTATGTCAGCGTACAGACTTATTTCATTAAATCATATATATGTAGATATCTATTCAAGGAGAGATTTTTTACTAATTTTTAAGATAGTCAGCAAATAGCTGGGTTTACTATAGTCAACTTGTCTGAGAGCTGGTACAGCGAATAGCTGGGTATACTATAGTCAACTTGTCTGAGAGCTGGTACAGCGAATAGCTGGGTATACTATAGTCAACTTGTCTGAGAGCTGGTACAGCGAATAGCTGGGTATACTATAGTCAACTTGTCTGAGAGCTGGTACAGCGAATAGCTGGGTATACTATAGTCAACTTGTCTGAGAGCTGGTACAGCGAATAGCTGGGTATACTATAGTCAACTTGTCTGAGAGCTGGTACGGCAAATAGCTGGGTATACGAAAGTCAACTTGTCTGAGAGCTGGTACAGCAAATAGCTGGGTATACTATAGTCAACTTGTCCGAGAGCTGGTACGGCAAATAGCTGGGTATACTATAGTCAACTTGTCTGAGAGCTGGTACAATCCTGTTTCCCAGTCGTCCTTTTGAATGCATGCTACATCTGTCCATGGCTCTGGCCACCTTACTCTTTTTACAGTTGACCGATCATTCGGGTGAAATTAAGTTTATAACAGGAATCAGAGGTATACTTAAAACGTTTAAACATCAGGGTATAATGTAACATATCATCATTATTGCTTTTGAAAATTCAGGTTAAAGGTGATGAAGATAAAAAAGATGAGTCTACTGAAGATAAAGAAAAAACAGATGAGAATGTTGATGAAAAAGAAACTAAGGATGAAACAATAAAAGAAAACGGTAATTGTGAGGAAGAGTCTGATGACAAATCCACTGAACCAGTTATTGAACAAGACACTGATAAAGGTGTGGATAGATTAGAGGATAAAGTAGATGAAAAAGGAGATGTAGAAACATCAGATGAGACGGATAAAATTGAAGAGGATGTGGTAATTGATCAAAAGGAGGATGATGATAGCACAGCTAAGCCTGACGAGGTATTTACATGTGCCTGCTATATGTATGGCGTATTGCTCAAGTTAAAAACTAACTGCCGCTGGGTGACAGTAAGGTAGCTAGATTTGGCTAGTGTAGACTAACAACAATGGCTCGTATTTTCAACGTTTTATAAGTAATGATTTATTCGTTGTGAGTTGGTCTTCTAATGCTTTCTTTGTGATGTGTAGCTTGCTTTATGTCCTTTCAAAATATCGTGACAGCTTCTGGCCATCAACCTGTCAAAATATCTGATAAAAAAAAGACATCTAGTGTGATGGGAGGATGTTTATGTATTAAAGTTTTTGGTTTTATATGTCTTAAATCGTACTCTTAACATCTGACTGTTTGAAAATAATAGAACTTTTATTTAAGAAATAGATACACTATGTGATTGTTCCCGTGTCCATGCCAAGTTTTGCCCTGCATGGGGGATTGTTTTGTGATGTACCCTATGTCCTCCCTTATGAATATTTTATACATATTTCTATACTTTTTTTGTCAATCTAGGAACCAGAGGAAAAAGTAAGTTTTCAAAGCTGGCCAGTTATAGCCTTTCTTTAGTGTATACCTTCCATAACTTAACTAATATGGATTTGTAGTGCACATCAGAAACAATAGTGTTTGCTGCTCTGTTGATTAATCATAGATATCATACACCCATATTTTATAAGTTAGCTCTTCAACTTCTTTCATTTATCTCAATTCTACTTACTTCTGGAAGAACCCAGAGAATATCATTTATCTCTACTGTGTATTTCATTTCTACTTACTTATTATAACATCACAATTTCTCTATAGATTGTTAGATAGTTGGGGAGTTTGAGCTGAACCAAGTCAACCGAGGTTTCAGATCCAAATTAAAAAATGTGCACACCATATATAGTGATTAATCTTCTTCTACTTAATCTGCCTTCAGTATATAAGATCCTATGGATACTGAGGTTTCAGATCCAAATTGAAAAATTTGCACAATTCATGTAGTGATAAATCATCTGTATCTTCCTTTGAAATCATACAAATTTTATACTAACCTATCTTGCATATGTTATACACTAGTAAAAATGGACAGTAATTTGGTTTGTTTTATCCTGAAAGTAGAATTATGCCCTAAAGCCAAGGGTGCTGACTTATTTTTGTTAGGTATCTGCCTTAGGCTCCTCAAAATATGTGAAGAAATTATTTGTTTGGTTACAAAATGTTTGTTTTTTATTTGATTGCTTTGCTTAAGTTCTGATCATTTCAAAAAGCATAGCTTTAAAGCAACGTGCTTAAAGCAAAGAATTGATTTTCAAGCTGTGCTATTTATTTAGCTTATTTTGCCAATGTTTCTTGTCACAGTATATACTTGTTTTTGATTTTCAGTTAACAAGTTTTGTTTAAATTTTCATAAAATATAGATTTTTTTTCTTAACAATTACTGCATCAAATGGATGATAATCCAATTCCTTTGACAATTTTGATTGCTATGTTTCACATGATACAGATGAAATAGTGAAATTGACAGACTTTCTTTAAGACTGAAAGATTCCTTTGCAGTGGTACTTGAGTAATAGAAGTATAACATTTTTTATTACTACACTGGAATACTATTATACAGAAGTAATATCTTTATGAAATATAAGGTGAAAGAGGCAACCCCAGAACCTGCCAAGGAACCAACGCCTCCACCAAAGGAACCAACACCTCCACCAAAGGAACCAACGCCCCCACCAAAGGAACCAACACCTCCTCCGAAGGAACCAACGCCCCCACCGAAGGAACCAACTCCTCCGCCTAAGGAGCCTACACCTCCACCTAAGGAGCCTACACCTCCACCAAAGGAACCAACTCCTCCACCTAAAGAGCCTACACCTCCTCCAAAACAACCTTCCCCAGAACCTGTGCTTGACTGGGAACCAGAAGACAATTCCTTGGAGGCAAGAAGGAAGAGGCGTGCTGCAGAGAGGGCCGCAAAAGCTGCTGCAGCTGGGGACACTGTGGAAGAAGATGCTGGGGAAAGGAGGAGACGACGCAGAGAGGAGCGAGAAGCAGAAGAAACCAGTGGTGAGACAGCAGCTGAGAGACGCAGGAGACGGAGGAGAGGCTATGATGACTAGACAACGAAAGGTATATAGAACCTGCATCCAGTCAGTTTTGCTATGGAGTTCTGCATCCAATGAGTGCCAACATTTGTTTACACTAATTCTCTAATGGTCAGCATGTATCCTAAAGCATGGACAAGTTTGATGTTGGTTCCTATCATCATATGACCTGTATGTATGTGGATACAGTGTTGAAATACAATTGTGATCAGCAAGTTTAACTGCAATCTTGTCTTTGATTTACTAGTCAGTTATCTATGTGCCTGTTTTAAAGTCATTGTGGAATATGATACAGAATGAAACAGCATTGACGGTAGTTGACCAATATCTTAGACAGTAGCCACATTACTAATTAGCAAGTAATAAGGGTCCTGTAAGATGTTTACTCTGTTGAACAAAATCTGGATACAACTACCACAACCACCCCCAACCCTCTAACCCATCAAATGTTTATGTTCTTTCAAAACTGCTACTAACTCCAGTTCACAAGGGCCTTAGTTAAACATAATAATTCAATTTTGCAATGCTGCAAAAGGGTCTGGCAAAAAGTTGTATATACAGGTATTGCAAATTAAAGTCTGTTGAAATATTCTGAATTTTCACTGAGTATATACAGCACAGTTGAAGGGAGGCAGTTACCGTGTATGTTTGTTTTTTTTTTAATTTATAGGGAAGCTAGAGGAAACAATAAATGCTACTTTATGATAAATGGAATGTGGAATAGATAATGTGGAATAGATAAATGGAATGTGGAATAGATAAATGGAATGTGGAATAGATAATGTGGAATAGATAAATGGAATGTGGAATAGATAAATGGAATATGGAACAGATAATGTGGAATAGATAAATGGAATGTGGAATAGATGAATGGAATATGGAACAGATGTGTATTATGCATCTTTTCAGCGATTTTTTTTGGATCTTTCATCAAATCTGCCCTCTTTCTAGTGACATGTAACTTAGAGAAGTTTGTAGATATTGACAGTGATATGTCCTTATATAACCTAACACTGGTTTGAATTGGTGTGATCAGTGCTATTGTAATCAATTATGTATGTGTGCTCACTACTAACTGTTCAAAATCACAACTGCATTGAAAACTAATTATTACGATGTTTAGAAAAATGGGTTTGATATGCTGTTGAACAGAGAGGCATTTTCAGACACATTAAGGTATTTGTGAATGTGATAATTATGCAAATAAAACATTCAGATGACATTGATGTTGCCTTGTGTTCCTGGTTTATGATCAAGTGTTTAACAGTGTTAATTGTCAGTCTTGTAACTAAACTTCAAAAGTTTATTGGTTTCAGACTTTAGCGGGGATCTGTGAACACCTTTACTACTTGTTTCTGTAGACCATGTATGTTTAACAACATGTTGTAATCTTCTATTCCTTTTACAGCTGTGGAGAAATTTATGAAACCCAACTTCAGATGTTTTGCTTAATGTTTAAGTTCTTTGAGAAATTAATCTGGTTTTGCTGAAAATGACCCGTTTTGACCTTGGGGTGTGAATTTGACCTTGGGGTGTGAATTTCACTGCATTTCCCCTGTTGAGTTCAGGATTTTTTATATGGATGGAATTTGTATACTAATACTGTTGATTCTTTTTCAGGATTAAGATAAACAACATGTGCTTGTTTTAGCTGTGTGTAAGCTTACACTGGATTAACGTCTGGTTGATTTTTAGGTTCAGCTGCTGTTTATAAGCAATTACAACACATATCTTGTGTCCTTCGTGGACTTTAAAGCTAGAAATTTAGATTGAGCTTTCCATATTGACGTGTTCATTTCTGGTAGACACATGCTTAAACCAAAATGTTTGTGCATCTTTTATTCTGCTCTTGTTATTTACAAATTTGTCTTGATTACTAGAAACTGAAGTTTCACATCTTTTCTTCTATGTTGTTTTTAGAAAGCAAAATAACAGTTTAAATATTGTAAACTTTTGGTTTTATAATTAGTTTTGTTCATGTAAGTACAGTAAAATTATAGAACTCAACATCCTATTATTATTTTCAATACAAACTTTTTAAAACCGATCACAATCGTACTTGCGATACAATTTACCTTTTGATATATTATTTATTGTGATATTTTCAGAGTTATTGCCCTTTTTGTTTTATATATATTGACACTTACAGGGGAGTGGAACGCACTAAACATTTTTATGGCCTTGATCACAGATATATTTTTAACCTATATAGTCATACAACATGCCTGGTATATACATCCTAAAGGCTATGGGTGCACATAAATCATTTGATTTTCCTTGTGTATCGGATCATAATATCAAGTTCATTTGTTTTACAAATCTGAACGTATTTTTAATTGTGGGAAAATTTAAACAATAAGATGTTACATTATTACTGTGATTGCGTAACGATTCTTTTGGTAAGTATTATAATTAATTACCAAATAGAAATGAGGTCAGATTAGTACATACCACTAACGAGAGAATTACTATAGGGTCATATCCTGTTCAGAAATGTGCTTATAACAATGTGTGTTGTTATGTTTTACAGACCAAACCCTGTGAAGAACAGCAGCAAGTTCAGGACTAGATATGTTGGTAAGTAACCATAGCAACAGGAGAATAAGTTTTCCAAATAATGATAGATCCATGTAAAATGGCCAATATACTTGAACTCGTCTGACTTTCTACGGAAAACAGAACATGGTATGTAGTTAAAGCACATAGACTTCCTGTACAAGGTGACAGGACTTGAGCAGGGTAGTATAAATATATATCACAGTTAAATTATCACACGCTTAGTTTGACTTCTAAGGTCCTTGATTGCTACTACTAACACTTTGTTACTACTTTACAAATAAAAAGTGCATTATCTATTTTACATGGCCTTGAGACTGCAAATATTCTCTCAGTGAACTCACTTCTCTTATTAAGAAACATCAATATCTTATTGGTGTAGCGCAGCACTTTTTTCTTAATGAACAGTTTCGGGTGTATACTTTGGTGAATATTGGTAATAGTTATATAGTGTTAATGCTAATCTTTAATACATCTGTCATTATCATTCATATCAGTAGCAATCATGTATTCATCTTATTGAGTTAGAGCTCTGATTAAAATTTGAATTTTATGAAACTGACTGTTCTGTTGGAAATTTCTGAAATCTGTACATGTATTCCATTTTGACAAGTTTGTTGTGTAACTTTGTATACCGTCTGTACTATTACAGACTCTGTAGATAGTCTCAAAGATCATTTTTACCTGTAGCAGATGTAGTTCGAGTGAAATATCTTCTAATCTCTTTTTATAATCAGGATTTCTCTTCATTTTGTCCTATAAATTAGTCCCAGCAGAATCATTCTTTTCTTAAATAAGTCTATCTTCTCGCTAAACTGACCATATTTGGTAGCAGGTGTTCCAGGTAATATAGCCTTCACTTTTATCTGTTGTAGCTGTAAATATAACACAACCACTCTGTATGATTGTTCTAATTAGGATGTCTTACCTTTACAGATGTGTATGGCCAACAGATTCCTCTGCCTTTCCACATCTGCATATTAAGCAATCCTGACCAGAGATGGACACCTAGGTTCTGTAGACTTTGGAAATTGTAACATACAGGCTTCAAGTGAAGACACATACAATAATGTAGACTGGCTGCACCAAGTAGAGAAGTACCGTGAACTGTAAAGAAACTGAAGATAAACTGCTTGCAAAAATGTGTTAGATCCGTGTAGTCATTGCTTCTCAGAGCTGGAACCAGTCCTATATAATGACAATTTTGCGGAAAAAATTTGGCGCAATTTTTAAACCTCTTTCTGTTTATCATATTGTACTCCATCTATATGATGTTCTTTTCAAATGAATATGATTATAGATATATAGGGATTGTTCTGAGGCCATATTACACCAAGCTAACTGTGTTCATCGTTTCGAGAGTTTAGAGTTCATAGGATTTTTTTTTTTTTTTTTCGCATTCTCTGCCAAGTTGTTACAATGTTGCACAAGTATTGAGAGCTGATAAATGTACTTTTTGACGTAACCAGTCTTTTTACCACTAGATATATATATATTTGCATACAATATACAACAAGTGATGATAAATATGTCTTCATGTATTTCCTTTGTTTGAAATTATGTATACAATATGCTGTAAGTGTTTAATTAATGTAAAGGAGATAAGCCATATTTGAATGCACATGGATTGTTTATTTTGCCACCAAAAGATTTCTGGTAAGGTTGGTATATGAGTTCGCACATGATTGTTTCAGAAAAAAGGAAACTTAGGAACATGTTATGTTAAGTGTTATGTTAGATATTCATCTTTTTGCTCAAACAATATCAGCTTTCTTTCTTGGCGCAATCATCAGACTGAATTATTTTGCCAAAGGGTATGGTAAATTTTATTATTATCTCCCATAAAGATAACCATGCAAATGAAGCTTGCATATCCAGGTGCTCTCAATTAAAAGTCATTAATTATTTAGAGGTATTTAAAACGTTCAGTCATTTTATTTGTAGCTTTGATTACTATGATATATTGAAATAAAAAGACACAGGAGTATGTGCACAAGACAGATCCATTTTTCTGGCCATCACATAAAACCACCATCCCAATTAATTGAATTTATACCTTGCTTGTCTCCCTTGAAAAGAATTCTCCCATTATGCATAGATACAAGTAATTTTCATTTTGCAATATTTGATTGGTATTTTTTTTAATTGTTTGTTATGTTTCTCCTCGTTTTATTTGTATACCGCTGTCTAATATTAGTACATAATATGATATGTACATGTGTACTGCTATGTATGATGACCTGAACCTATTTATTTTTGACATGACTTTGTTTACATTGTATAACCCTAGGTTTGTTAATGCTCTTCATTCCATGTATTATTTCAATGATGTAAAATATTTCAGGTGTGAGATATTCAGTAAGTTACCAGCAATTGTATAAATAATAATTATGAAAGTGTGATAAATTTTTTTTTTCATTTATACAGCTTTTCGGTTATGCATGTCTAGTGTTCTGTAGTGCTTTGGCCATATCCAGCAATGTTTTCATATACCTTTAAGTATTTTTTGTAGTGTAACATGTTAGACATGTTAGTAGACAATTTATTACCATTCAATTTAAGTAAGAAAGTAATCCTACAGAAAGATTTTTACAAAGTAGATTAATGCTTGCCAGATCCCTTATACTAAAGTGTATAATTTTTTTTTATGAAATATATAATTAATATGTGTAGGATTTTGTTGTTAGCTTAAACAATAACATGTCATGGATAGCAATTTTCGTCTTGAAATGCAATGGACAGTTGATGAACAAGAATTCAGGTAATAGTTCAATATATACTAGTCATATGTGGTGTTTATTTTTGGCTGTCGTGTATCAGTTCCTCCGATCATGTACCCCCAGTATTATCATTCTACCATAGCAAGTACTCCCATTTAAACTATATCCACTGATCACAGGTACAAAATTCTATAGAAATATCGTAACCTAGATTTGCATATCATGAACTGCTGCAACAGAAACAGAAATCAAATTCATGAAGACATATCTATTTTACTCTGCAATCAAGAGTTAGCGTTGCATAAACCAAAAAGTAAGTGATATGTCAAAAGTTATTTCCCTTTTCCAAACCTTTGATGTTGGCGAAGGATTGTTGTCGTCCTGACCAACATCTTGAGTGCCAGGTCAAGGGGAACAAATATGGTAGGACAGAAACCATATCAATATAGGAGATCTGCTTCGTAAAAGGTAGTAATTGTCACAATTTCGATTTCTTTTGTTTTAATTGTACATGATACATGTGTTGTCTATTGTAAGTTGAGGTAAAACGTGCAATATTCCTCTTACTCATCTACTTTCTGTTTTGTATCACAGCCTCCCAGTGACCATTTAAAACTTAAATCAGCTGTTAGCACCCGAGCACCTTTTCTTTTTAGTGCTGAAAGCAGTTTAATCAGCTGGGCCAAACTCAACTGAATGATACAGTTGGGATTTACTGAAACACTTCTTGGTACCTGGTACAGTTCCACCGAGCTTTATCCTTGATAATATCACACGTCTTTCCATAAATAAAGAAAATATTAGGTCAGCAGCTGAAATTTTCTCTTCAAATCGGTGCCCTGCTTGTATTTGCCATAAATGAAGATCTCTTGGCATGATTTGTGTAATGAAATGAACAGAGTATATCTGAAGATGATCTGTGATTTATTTTGTAGTTTACAATTCGTAGTATAGCCCACCCAATCCAAAATACCTGAATCTTTATTAAAGTATTTTGGATGAATTCCCCACTCAGTACGAACAGGATTGTACACATTGGTTTACCTTGGGTTATAACTCATATACATCAGGTGCTTTTTCTCTTTTATGATGAATTCGGAATAAGTACTTTGTATGATTTTTTTCCCCCATAAGTATGATTTTATGAATGTTCAGAAGAAAGCCAATTACCCAGTAGATATTCAGAATCATGTCTTATCTTCCATATCGAACATAAGTATGTGTACTTCAGGAAGTATCGGTGAAACCCGGTTTGATATTTGGTTTGATATTACACCATGTACATATAGACTGAACCATTGATATAAGATTATTTTTTTAGCTTTTGTGACCATTTACATTTAATTTTAAGGTTCAACAAATGCATGTATCTATATTGCCAGGTTTCACTGTGAAATTTTTTTTATCAATTTCAGAACTTTCGAAATTTTGAAAGCAATATGTGGCTTTTGATAATTCTTTTCGTTAGTGCTATTTTCAAATGGAAGAGTTTATATTTTTTTTTTTGAGAACTTGCAAAGTTTTGTTATTTACAAAATTAAAGTTTACTGAAGCACTGGGCGTCAAGGCTGTGTGAGAACAGAAAAATGTTTGCCGGAAGCATCAAGACAATCTGTCACTAGTACAACATTCCAGGCAGGGATGTATCAGAATTGTTAACCACAAAACGTCTTCACTAATTTATTGATATTAAAATTTTGAGTGTAGACATCGTAAATAGTCCCGGACCATCTTATCAAGGTGGATAAAACACGCTGTCTCGGTTGTTTTTTTACCCTTCCAGCCAAAGTACTTAGTACCCTGGGATTTTACATAGAATGTTTGTCACCAGTCTGGGACAAAAAATGCCCTAACTTTGCCCAAAAGTAAAACCTGTTCTGTTTCTTTATGTACTCACTGCTTAAATTACTTTCAGTATGTAGGAATTGAAAAGTTATCATTACTTCCATGTACTCTTTGCTTATACCTCTTAAGTTATATCAAAATTAAAACCATATATGCTTTCATTGTATCCTCTTGCTTACATTCTTTAATAGAAATAGGTATTTTCCTATTAACCTGGCCATCATTACATTTCTTGTCTGTGAAATATGATATTGGTATCGGACTTCAGGGTTAAAGGATTAGAATATTGTAAATGCTGTCTCTTTGTCTGCTTGCTTTGGTTTTCAACCCTTTGGTATAAAAGCACTGTCTGCAAGTAGTGAATGAGTGACAGGCACAGCAGGTCATTGGTTCGGATATAAATATAGGTAAATTTGAACGTTTTACCATTTGAATCTTCAGGAAGGTTTTATTGACATCTGTTTGATTGTATGGTATTACAACCTGGATGATATTAATCAACAGCAAAAAGATCAATGTAAAGAGGTGACTATTGTATTTGTCATGTAAACGTAAGAGCTAGCTTTCCATCCTGTTGAGGTCTGATTCCAAGGTACTTGTAATTGAAATAAAAATTTTCAATTCTTAAGATGTATTTATCCGAAACCTTGACTTGGGAGATTTTTTTTAAGTTCCTTCAGTCACAATGACAAATCATTTATTCTTATAATTTTATCTAATTGAAACATGCCAACCAGTGTGTATTGTATTAATTAAAATATGTACCAAATATTCTAGTTGTTTTTGTTTTCTTTCTGATGGTATTATCCCTATGAAGTTTAGATGCTACATGATACTTAAATAACCTACAGAATAGACATATCACATGTCTCTTTTACCTGTAATGTAATTGTTCTAAAACTTCAAATCCTTATCATCGTGATTAATCTATCATTTTGAATGAATGATGGTAAATAAAAGAAAAAGATCTGGATGTGGCCATGACTCGGTCCTAAAGGAATACTACAAAGGAATTTCAGAAAATTCTTCAAAATGTAACCCAAAAATAGATAACCGGTAAATAAGTACCGATTTTGAAGTCTTTAATTAACAGGACCTGCAATGTGTTCGACTGCGGTTAACCGGGGTTTGAATTTCAATTCTGTTGCCTAGACTTTGATCAAGTGACTTCTCATGATCAACTTTGCTTTATGTTGAAAGAAATTAAAGAGAAAATGAAGTGTTGATTATGAACACATACACATCACCTGTAGTCAATGTTTCTAGACTAGACAACAGCTGTACTGGATGGTTCTAGAATAGACAACAGCTGTAGTCAATGGTTCTAGAGTAGACAACAGCTGTAGTCAATGGTTCTAGACTAGACAACAGCTGTAGTTAATGGTTCTAGAGTAGACAACAGCTGTAGTTAATGGTTCTAGAGTAGACAACAGCTGTAGTTAATGGTTCTAGACTAGACCAACAGCTGAAGTCAATGGTTCTAGAGTAGACAACAGCTGTAGCCAATGGTTCTAGAGTAGACAACAGCTGTAGTTAATGGTTCTAGAGTAGACAACCACTGTAGTCAATGGTTCTAGAGTAGACAACAGCTGTAGTTAATGGTTCTAGACTAGACCAACAGCTGAAGTCAATGGTTCTAGAGTAGACAACAGCTGTAGCCAATGGTTCTAGAGTAGACAACAGCTGTAGTCAATGGTTCTAGAGTAGACAACAGCTGTAGTCAATGGTTCTAGAGTAGAAAACAGCTGTAGTCAATGGTTCTAAGAGTTGACACACAGCTGTAGTCAATGGTTCAAGAGTTGACACACAGCTGTAGTCAATGGTTCTAGAGTAGAAAACAGCTGTAGTCAATAGTTCTAGAGTAGAAAACAGCTGTAGTCAATGGTTCTAGGGTAGACAACAGCTGTAGTCAATGGTTCAAGAGTTGATACACAGCTGTAGTCAATGGTTCTAGAGTAGAAAACAGCTGTAGTCAGTGGTTCTAGATAAGACGACAGCTGTAGTCAATGGTTCAAGGGTTGATAACAGCTGTAGTCGATGGTTCTAGGGTAGACAACAGCTGTAGTCAATGGTTCTAGAGTGTAGTCAATGGTTCTAGAGTAGACAACAGCTGTAGTCAATGGTTCTAGATAAGACAACAGCTGTAGTCAATGGTTCTAGAGTAGACAACAGCTGTAGTCAATGTTTCAAGGGTTGATAACAGCTGTAGTCGATGGTTCTAGGGTAGACAACCACTGTAGTCAATGGTTCTAGATTAGACAACAGCTGTAGTCAATGGTTCTAGGGTAGACAACAGCTGTAGTCAATGGTTCTAGAGTAGACAACAGCTGTAGTCAATGGTTCTAGATAAGACAACAGCTGTAGTCAATGGTTCTAGAGTAGACGACAGCTGTAGTCAATGGTTCAAGGGTTGATAACAGCTGTAGTCGATGGTTCTAGATAAGACAACAGCTGTAGTCAATGGTTCTAGAGTAGACGACAGCTGTAGTCAATGGTTCAAGGGTTGATAACAGCTGTAGTCGATGGTTCTAGGGTAGACAACAGCTGTAGTCAATGGTTCTAGGGTAGACAACCACTGTAGTCAATGGTTCTAGAGTAGACAACAGCTGTAGTCAATGGTTCTAGAATAGACAACAGCTGTAGTCAATGGTTCTAGAGTAGACAACCACTGTAGTCAATGGTTCTAGAGTAGACAACAGCTGTAGTCAATGGTTTCAAGGGTTGATAACAACCACTGTAGTCAATGGTTCTAGAGTAGACAACAGCTGTAGTCAATAGTTCTAGGGTAGACAACCACTGTAGTCAATGGTTGTAGATTTGACAACAGCTGTAGTCAATAGTTCTAGGGTAGACAACCACTGTAGTCAATGGTTGTAGATTAGACAACAGCTGTAGTCAATAGTTCTAGGGTAGACAACCACTGTAGTCAATGGTTGTAGATTAGACAACAGCTGTAGTATGTTTAAGACAATAATTTATTATTCATTTGAAGACATAAAACAAAGTAAGAACTAATTCTTAATTGCTTTTAAATGATTTTTTTATTATAAACAAAAATATTTGTAAGTTGACAGAAATATAACATTTACATTTGTAATAACAATATTTCAGATTTTTTACTCTATCATAATGTACATTAAAATAAATTTCATTGATAATACTTGTACCAGGCTATCAATATCCTGTACATTATTACCTATTTAATTTTCCCATACCTAAATAGATCGACCTGATAAATCGTTTGAACAACATATCGCATAAGATTTGTGATGAAGGTATCAAAATGGCATTTTCTCATCCTGGAAATTTAACTGAAATTAATGAACAGAAAAAATACTCTTCTCACAGATAAATGCCCATTACTTTGGGAAAACTGAACATATTCACACGCAAAAGGCCCAATGGGCATATCTATTCAGCTTACACAGAAGACGCGTACATTTCTGAAAACTTAAAAACCTATCCCTCAAAATGCTATATAAAAAATACCTTGACCCAGGAAGTATTGCTTGTTGAAAAGAAGAAATTTTAAGTTTTTAACACATCTGACCTTGGTAGCCCTTCATTAGAAGATGAAACCTGTGCAATTTAAGTTATTAAGAAGAATTTTTGGAAGATCTTTGACATTTAACTCCTGTGACCTTGACCATGCAACTTGAGCAATATAACAACCCTATGCCTTTTAGTTATTGAGAATTTTTTTGAAAATTTGAACACATTTGACTCCTGTTACATTGAGAGTTGATCAAGGTCAATCATTTGAGCACACTTGGTAGCCCTTCACTGTGGTATGCTAGAGAACCAATATCAGTACCCTGGGCCTTTTGGTTACTGAGAAGAAGTTGTTTGACCTCTGTGACCTTGAAAAAGGGTCAAGGTAGTTTATTTTAACAAAATTGGTAGCACTTTATCTTAGCATGCTACAGGTGCATATCAGCACCATGAGCCTTTTGGTTATTGAAAGGAAGTAATTGGAAGATGCCAACATATTTTACCCTTATGTTGTACGATGATCAAGTCAATCATAAAAACAAAACAAACTTGGTATCCCTTCGGGCAGTACTTTTTTTATTTGTACTCCCAAGTAATCAGCAAGGCATATGCTTCACTGTATTAAAATAAATGCAGCTTCTTGAATCAAGGTAGCCAAATGTATCTATATTCTCTAGCAGTTTTGTTTTTCAATGAGTTTCTATTTCAAACATCTATCAACAGTAGTATGTGATGGACTTTCCTTCATTTGAAATTCAGATTATTTACCAAGTCATTTTTCAATTTAATATATTGAGAATTCAAAATTTCTCACACCTCACAGAGAAATGTGAAAATGTTGGTTTAAACATGATATAATAAACTTAATGAATCATCTTTCATAAGACTTTCCCTAACCAGGTTCAGGATCATATAACACTACTTATATATATATATATATCACTGTAATGGAAAAGACATTCACATTTTCCAGTCAGGGATATCACATGTTCTCTCTCGTCATTAAATACAAATGCACATTCCCTCCTCGATCCCCTCCCCCAAAATAGACACAGTTACTATTCTTGTCCTGAGTTGTATATCGTATGATTGAACTTCTTACCAACATTTGAGAAAATTATGCTTTACCTCAGTCAATAGTGTGGTGGATATGTAAACTTAGGGTTCCATGTTTGATTTCTGGTGGAAGTAACGAAGTACGCTGAATGACGTCCAGTCAATAACTGTGACCTTTTCTGTGGCTTTGTTTGATGAATGAGGGCAAAGACTAACATGCTTTCATGCTATCTGGACTTACAATCCAAGGCAGATACTCATTTCTTGTCATCCCGTGACATAAGTACTGTATGTTATTAATATACAGGGCTCTCGATCTGCCAGATTTGGGGCCAATATTCCCAATGCAAAATAGTATCTTTTTTTCCCAATTTAGACCCCAAGTTTCCCCAATTCTAAGGAAAACGCCGCTATTTTCCAAATTCTAAGGGCCCCGGGCCCCAGTCCCAAAATGGGATGCGAGAGCCCTGATATGTGAATTATTTTGAATGTGTGAATTCATTATTGTACTTACCTGTCTAAAATTGATATTGCGATGAAATTTGATTGCGCCCAAATAAGCACGTTTACAGTATCACAGACACTTGAAAAAATGTTATGCCGTCTCTTCATATTAATACATAAAGTAATGATCTATGATTCCAAAAGTCTACAGGTGAACATGTTTCATATATAAAGTCAGCGAAATACATCTAGTTGCAATAAACAAAGATCACAGTCACTTCCAAAAACCGTCACAATAAATTTGAGTGGTACATCATATATAAACCTTTTAATCAACTTTTGAGGAAATTTCACTTAAGCTCAGCGTTTGAAAAAGTTATGTCCCTGCAATGTTTGCTGCCTTGTGCATATAAAGTAATCTTCCTGGTTTCTCTCTCAGGATAAAACACTATCAGCTGCCTTTTCATGTCCAATGAAATTCATTTGTTGTTTGGTTCCTAGCAACACGACACTGATCTTGATTCTGTCCACTCTAAGACAAAGTTCAAAAAGTCCTGTTTTTCGGGGATATAATTCTGTCTCTTCTTGAGTCCTGTTTCTCCTTATTGGATCAAACAGAGTAATGCCCATTTTCACTTCACAACACTATCCTAGAACTCTCCATTTCTAGGAATACCCAGAGAATCATCCCTCCTTTCCAGGTGAGACTGATCTGATGTAGTTATCTCCCCTTTTTTTATAACGGGTAAAATTCTATCACTTCTGGCTCTTATACATTAATTCACGTACTCTATATTTAATTTGCTGTCCCCAAGAGAATTATTCGAAGAGGTAATTTTATTACTCTGATGGGATAAGAATCACTATTTTGATGGCTTTTTCCGTTTGAAATATGAAGGAGCTGCCTCATAGAGCCAGTCTGGGTCAACAACACTAAGGTCTCTGTAAGAAACCGAAAATAAAGAAGAATTACGATCACAAAACATCGGTATGTACCTCTCTTACAAAATAAAACCTAAGTGAGTAGGAGCGAATTGGTACACACATCTCCCTAATCTTTATAAAGATTACACTTTAAATCTGTTGGGAGATTCATGAGATAACATGTAGACAAAATTATTATTTCAAAAATGGCAAACTGAGACAATTGACTTTTAACCTTATCTGATGACAAACAAAATATCATCAGGAATAGATTATGACTGCATGATGTTGTGGTGTTAACATAAACTACATCTGTTCACGATATATCTTGTAAAAAGCTTGTTTCCTAAGTGATCACGGGTACCTTTGATATTTGATATTTACCCTATGACTACTAAAATTAAATCAGATGAAGAATGTGCCAGTTATTTCGTCTATAATTCCATACAAACAAGAGTTCAGATTACAAAGGACGTGCTTATCTAGTAATATAGGTATAACACTGTGGACCCTAGTTGAAGGTATATTGGTGTACATAGGCCTCCATACAATACAGTAACATACAATACAGTAACGTTTAGCTCAGACTTACCTCATATAACACTTGGATGTTTTGACGAGCTCATTATAAATAACACATGCAGGTTTACATCTAAACAATGCTGATGATGGATGGATATGAACTGGCTCTCGTGTCGTTAACTTTAAGAGTAAAGTAAGAAGTATCGGTACACGCAGGAATACAAAACGTATTTCTAAGTCAGGAAAATATGGACTTTGAAGGAATATGTTATACACAAGCTTTGTTATCAGGTTATGTTTTTTTTAATTTTCATTTTGAATTCACACTGTAGCACACAAAACAATCAATTCACAGTATCAGCCACAGAAGTGAACTACAGAATCTTATCCAATTGGCATCTTGTATAAATGCCTTCTGTCATTTAGGTCTCTAACTCAAGTTGTCCATGACACTGACAAATAAAATTACATTTTCTACCAGTATATTGCATATATGTAACAAATGTCATAAATCAATCAAAATTTCAAAAAGCTGGAGAATAACTTACCGAAATATAGACATCACCTTCTTTTTGTAGCTCTGCTGCATTCATAAAGAGGCCTGCTGCCAAACATTTCCTGTAACCAATGACAACAAAGATAATATCTTCTGTAACCAATCAGAGCAAAGATGACATCTGCAACCAACAAAATGGTTTTTACCTGATTACACTGGTGTCTAGATCACACGATTTCACCACCATGGTCTGACTATCACAAATCTTTACCTGATTATACTGGTGTCCAGACCACACGATTTCACCACCATGGTCTGACTATCACAAATCTTTACCTGATTATACTGGTGTCCAGACCACACGATTTCAACACTATGGTCTGACTATCACAAATCTTTACCTGATTATACTGGTGTCCACACCACATGATTTCACCACCATGGTCTGACTATCACAAATCTGTCGTAATTGCTTGCGTATATCCATTGCCTTTGACATATTTCGGCCATTGATGAAGTTTTCTCGACACCATTCCTGTCAAAAGTAAAAAAGGTTGTTGAATACCACAGAAACACACACAACACCATCCATGAAAGCTATCGAGATTTAACTTAACACATTAACTGGGGTTGCATTAAATTTCATCTGCTCTTACAATTTAGTTATCAGGGACCCTTCTCAAAGTTATAGTAATATATACTCAGCAAATGAAAAACAAGTGAGCGAAAAAATTACATTAATCCTAAAGAAAATATACGATGACTTACAGTTTCAGTGAATTATCATAACAAGCAAAAACCAAAAAGGTCAAAACAATGAAAAGTTCCTTAGTTTCATAAACAAAAACAGTTAAACAACAGAAAAGTTGCTATGTCACTTTCATGTGAACCCAAATTACCTCCCCTTAGTGATGACCATTACCCTTACCTTATTGCCTTTGACTCCTTTATAAGCCTTGTAGATGTTAAGGAGTGTGATGTGGTCGCCATCACTCGACACAAACTTCTGACGGACGGCTAATGCCTCCTCTCTCTACAACCAATCCAGAGGTGCATAATTTAATGACACAATCATCTTAAGTTCATTCTCTCTCTTTTACCAAGGATAATTTAGATGTCAAGTAGATAAAAACAAAATATATCCAAATATATCCAGGTCATTGAACTTGAAATAGCTTTAAAGCAACCTGAAGCAAACTTGAGACATTCTAACCATCACTAAGGAAAATATTTTGGGTACAAAACCTTGAGTCTGAGAATAAGAAAGGTTTTGTGAAAACGAGCCCTGATGTTTGAAAATGTTTTTCATCAACAACAATTATTATTAAGAAAAAGAAATTTTTGATTCAGCTAATCTTGAGATTATGGTCAACAGTATGAAGAAGATTAAATCATCATTTCATTGGAAAAATACTGATAGCAGTGTAATTACTTTTTAACTTTACTCCATTTTCAGAAAATATAATGAACCCAGATACATAACAAAACCCATTTGAAACAAGCCATCCTTTTCTGTTTAATCTACAGCACTGTTGTATTGCCAAGCACAAACTTGTTTCTGTATAATATTTACTAGCTTAAATGACTCATATCTGACTAAATGAACTGATTTCCACAGATTCGTTCATTTTTTGTGTTATTTTCTTTGAGACTATAAAATGTATAAACCAAGGGAGATAACCAGCTGAATTATACTTACTTTACTCTGAGGCGTAAACAGGACAGAATCAACAGACAGCATTGACACAATTGTAAGGATTTCTTCTCTGAAAATATGAATACCAACTGTATTAGAATAATTTTGTATCAAAAGTTTTAAGAACATTTATAATGTTAGAATTTGATTGGACAACATTTTGATGATGCAATAGATGTATATATCTGTGATGTGAATGTTATTTTCAAGTTTATATATCATGCTCCTAAAAGTTTAAAAAAAAAAACAATTAACGAAAAAATCATAACAATGACAAGGAAATTAAAAAAAAAATTGAGTTTTTCTTAAACAATGCCACTTTCCAATAGACAGGAAAACATTAATTTTACATACAGACAATGAAGCTCCAGGGCTATGAGGAGTGTCTTGGACAACTTTGGGTCCAGAGGAAAAGCTGCCATCTTCTTCCCAATAGTGGTCAACTTTTAAACAAAAGAAAAGGGGGCTTCATATGATAAGTGGTCATGGATCTTCCTAATACACTGTACAAGTGCTAATCAACATCTGTATAAACAAAGTGTCTACACTGATACTATTTCTTTTAAGGTGTTATGGTATCTATTAACTTTTAGCATATTGCATATTTTTATTCAATGTAACACTTTGGGTAAAATTTTGGTTTCCTGACTGTTTACTATTTCATTTCATTTGAATATCTTGAATACAAAATTGATATTAGAGTTTTGTCTTGCTTTTCAAATCTAGCATCATGTGTTCTTATATGTAAGCACTAAAATCTATATCCATTCATGTATGAAAAATAAATCTTTCCACTTTCTGATCTTGCCAATAGAATATCATTTGAAGACATACTCTAATGCTTAACGATCTGTACTAAACATCAGCTACAGTAAAGATGTCTGTTACAGAAGAGTTACAAGTTATAAGATTAAATCTATAGGGCCATGTGTTCAGTACAGTAAAGCTGCACTAGGATTTCCAATTTAGAAACTCCATAGGACTGTACCTTGATGGTATCTTCCTTAATGACAGCTCCCAGGGTGTGGAGCTGGTGAACTGCACCTATGAGGAACTGCAACGAAAAAGACATTCAAACATGAAATGAATTAACGATATTCTATCAGCTGCCCCTAATCTTAGTTGATCAATTTCGGTTTTAAATGCAAGGGTGATAGAGTAGGTCTTGTTTTCACTAGACAGCAGGTAATAGCAGAGTATTACACAGGAATATAGTACCATCTCTTACAGATAATCACAGTATGTTAATCTCTATATATAATTCATCATTACATGTTGTGTTAATAGTAAATTACCAAATCATGTACAGATATCTGGTCACATTACAGTCTAAAGGTGTATAAATACACTGCCAGTATAAGGTGGGCCAGGATATCTGGTCACATTACAGTCTAAAGGTGTATAAATACACTGCCAGTATAAGGTGGGCCAGGATATCTGGTCACATTACAGTCTAAAGGTGTATAAATACACTGCCAGTATAAGGTGGGTCAGGATATCTGGTCACATTACAGACTAAAGGTGTATAAATACACTGCCAGTATAAGGTGGGTCAGGATATCTGGTCACATTACAGTCTAAAGGTGTATAAATACACTGCCAGTATAAGGTGGGTCAGGATATCTGGTCACATTACTGTCTAAAGGTGTATAAATCTAGTGCCAGTATCAGGTGGGCCAGGATATCTGGTCACATTACAGTCTAAAGGTGTATAAATACACTGCCAGTATAAGGTGGGCCAGGATATCTGGTCACATTACAGTCTAAAGGTGTATAAATACACTGCCAGTATAAGGTGGGTCAGGATATCTGGTCACATTACAAACTAAAGGTGTATAAATACACTGCCAGTATAAGGTGGGTCAGGATATCTGGTCACATTACAGACTAAAGGTGTATAAATACACTGCCAGTATAAGGTGGGTCAGGATATCTGGTCACATTACAGTCTAAAGGTGTATAAATACACTGCCAGTATAAGGTGGGTCAGGATATCTGGTCACATTACAGACTAAAGGTGTATAAATACACTGCCAGTATAAGGTGGGCCAGGATATCTGGTCAAATTACAGCCTGTAGGTGTACCAGTGAAAGAACAGTCTAGAATTAAATTTGTTAAATTTTCAGGTTATCAAAGTCTCTTACTTCAGTGCTGGGTTTATCCATGAAGTCAAAATTAATGATATCGGTGATCCCCATGGCCAGCAGTTGTAGAGCCACACTGGATAAGTTACACCTGTAAAGACACATTACTCATGATACACACATACAGATAAAGTACAGCTGTGTACAGGTATTATCCAGTTTACAGCTGTGTACAGATATTATCAGTTTACAGCTGTGTACAGGTATTATCCAGTTTACAGCTGTGTACAGGTATTATCAGTTTACAGCTGTGTACAGGTATTATCAGTTTACAGCTGTGTACAGGTATTATCAGTTTACAGCTGTGTACAGGTATTATCAGTTTACAGCTGTGTACAGGTATTATCAGTTTACAGCTGTGTACAGGTATTATCAGTTTACAGCTGTGTACAGGTATTATCAGTTTACAGCTGTGTACAGGTATTATCAGTTTACAGCTGTGTACAGGTATTATCAGTTTACAGTTCAACTCCTTAAATGATACATATCATTATGACTAAATATGCTTTAATGAAAGCTGGAAACATACTGACCTCTGTATGATTGGCTGTAACTAAATACCCCTCTATGGAAGCTATACTGACCTCTGTATTTCTGGAATGGTGTTATCTGGAAAGTCTTGGAACTCCTCTTCTGTGTAAAGTCGGTAACATGTCCCAGCAGCCTCACGACCGGCCCTTCCCGACCTCTGTAAGGCCTGAGCTTTCGACAACTTTACCACTTTCAGCAAATCCAGTCCACTACGTGGGGTGAAGATTCTGTGAAACAAAAATAAATGCCAGGTAATTATCTCCCTTACTGCCAATCTCTCTCTCTCTCTCTCCCTCTTTCTCTCTCTCTCTCTCTTTTTCTCTCTCTTGCTCTCTCTCCCCACCCCCTCCTCTATCTCTCTCTCTTCCCTCTATTTCTGTCTCTCTATCTCTCTTTCCCCCTCTCTCTTATACATTACCTTTCATGCCAATCTTGAAACAACTTCCCATCATACCTCACTACAAACTTTCTTACCTTTCCATACCAGGCCCCTGCAGAGTTTTAATGAATTTAATGATACAAACTTCTTTTTCATAATTGTGATAGATAATAATTCAGCCTACATTAAAATAAGATATTTTTGTGGGACTCAATTTTGGTGGTTATCCAGATTAAATCTACTTACCGTATTCGATCCACTAAGCGCCCAGGGTGCTTAAAAAAAATTGCAATTAAGGGGGGACGCTTATAGGGACATGGGCGCTTATTGGGTTCATGGACATAAGAATTCACTGATTATCCACAAAATGAACAAAAAATAAAAATCATCACAAAAATCAAAATGATTTTACAATAAATATAAATTCATTCCATGTTAAACACATCACTAAGTATCTATGCGATGGTGTAAGTTAAGTTTTATGAACTGGTTGTATAAAATTTTCTAACAGGAGGAAGGCATGTAGGAATTTTCATACAAGATATTTTCAAGAACATTAGCAGGGTTGTGAACTCACAGCAGGGTTGTGAACTCACTTGGCTTTGACCACTCCAGTATCAATGACAAAGCTGATACCGTGTATTGTGATAGATGTCTCTGCTATATTGGTGGCAACAATGACCTTCCGCGTGCCCTGGATAAAAATACAATCACAAAAATGTCATATAAGTGAATTTTGTATATCAATTGGTTCCTGATTAAAAAAACAACACTATTTAAACATTTATTTATTTTTCTCAAAATTTTTTCAACTTGTCAAACTGCTTGACACTGACAAAAGTAAAACTGTGGTTACTTTGCGCTTTATCACGTCAAATATATTACATAAATACAGCGTGACTGATGTTTATCATCTTTAATCACAAAGACACTGAAGTTTAATGGACAAATCTAGATTTACTAGTACTTCAGGAGTGTAACGGTAATGTAAATTTAAAGGAATAGTTGAAGCCATTTCTTACTTTTGGAGCTGGGTTAAATGCTCGAAGTTGAAGATGTGATGGCAGAGCCGCATAAAGGGGCCATACAACCATTGGGGGGGTGTCCCCAACCATGCCTCTAGCTATTTCCTGTATAGAGCGCACCACAGAGTCAATCTCTTCCTGGCCAGTCAGGAAAATCAGTACATGTTGGCTGTAAAATGATCAATCAACCATGACAGAAATGATATCCTTCCTCTCCACAATGGTAAAACATAAAAAGTAGAACCAATGATACAAGTAATTTTTAAACCATTACATTAAGTCTTCAGTCTGAAGAAGCCCACTGTTCGGGCGAAACCGGTAGACATTTCACACTAATAAAAAATCAACTTATCCCGAACCTGTTGCGATTGACTTATGTCTTCAACTAGATTTTATGGAAACTTCAAAGTCTAAGGTCGTAAACTTACTCTGCAGGTTCCTCCCTGTGGATCTGAAATAGGGCCACAACAGCTGCAAACACATAGTCGGACTGTGACTGTCGACTGTAGTACACCTGTAACAAACACACACAAAATGCTTTGGTGTCTATGTGAAAGAAACTAGATCCTGCATACCTGTGCTGGTATCTACATAAATTATGAGCCCTACCTATCTGTAATGAGGCTTACATTATGGTGCTTGAGCATACAGGGCTCTCAAACCCCATTTTGTGACTGGGGCCTGAGGCCCTTAGAATTGGGAAAAATAGTGATGTTTTCCTTAGAATTGGGAAAACTTGGGGTCTAAATTGGGAAAAAAAGATACTATTTTGCATTGGGAATGGGGCCGAATATCGGCCCCAAATCTGGCAGATCGAGAGCCCTGGCATACTTATCTATATAGGAGCAGACATTCCTAAACTTAAGCCTACAAGCCTGTACTAGGACCTGCAACCCTGTACTGGAGCCTACATACCTATACTAAGGCCTACATACCTTTACTAGGACCCGTAACCCTGTACTGGAGCCTACGTACCTATACTAAGGCCTACATACCTGTACTAGGACCTGCAACCCTGTACTGGACCCTACCTACCTATACTAAGGCCTACATACCTGTACTTAGATTTTCCTATCTGTACAAGGGCCTACATGGGGTACATACCTGTTCTGTAGATCACATACTTGTTTTTGACCTATATACCTGGACTTGGGTCTAGATAGATGCATGTTCTGTAGACTACATTCTTGTTTTGGACTTACATACCTGAACTGGGAACTGCCGTCCCTCCAGGTACAACACCGGGGCTTTATTGAAGAATTGTGAGAAATGATCCACGTCCATGGTGGCAGACATTATTATAATCTGAGGAGAAAAATTATCATAAAGTTAATACAGTTAAGATTATACAAGTAGAGTGAATTATAGACAAATACATGTAGTTAACTTTTATTTATAGACTAAATGTACAATCAAAATATATATCATGACAGCAATAATGGCTTATCAATAAGATAAATTACTTTTCCTCATATGAAACATCCTGTAATTAATCCTGAAATTGCTGTTCTTGTTGTCTATTGTCAAAATCTTCCACTTTCCTGATAATTAGCCTACTGGACATGATAAAAGTCTGTTGGACATAGTGAAATCCCACTTACCTTTAGTGGGAGAAGATTTCTCAGTTTCCTCCTCTTTTGTGCCTGTTTGACTACACCAAACAAGACATCAGTATGTATGGTCCTCTCGTGGGCCTCATCCAAGATCACAAAGGAGTACCTACATTGGTAATTCATAATGAGAATATAGAGTTTTTTCCTTTCTATGGTTAGAAAACCCTGTATGTGTAACCAGAATTTACCTGTATTATGATTTGTTTTTTATACAATACAGTGAAAAAATTATCTGTTTGAAACTTTAAATATTTGTCTTTTTCTTTAAAATATGTACAGGAATGAAGGGCATTTCAAAGAAATCCACTCTGTAATGAAGTAATATCCTACTAGCCTTTTCAATAATGGATCCAAGATGGCCTCTCGTAGCAGCATTCCATCTGTCATATACTTGATTCTAGTCTTTTCACTTGTCATATCTTCAAATCGCACACAATGACCAACCTAGTGTGAAAAAAGTAGAGATATAGCCATGCTCTAGTACAGAGGAAAGCTGAAAGTTCACTTAAACTTTACAGAGTGTTGAATTTATATCAATCAGTGTAGCTGAAAGTTCACTTAAACTTTACAGAGTGTTGAATTTATATCAATCAGTCTAGCTGAAAGTTCACTTAAACTTTACAGAGTGTTGAATTTATATCAATCAGTCAAGCTGAAAGTTCACTTAAACTTTACAGAGAGTTGAATTTATATCAATCAGTCAAGCTGAACGTTCACTTAAACTTTACAGAGTGTTGAATCTATATCAATCAGTCTAAAGCAAAATTCAACATATATTTGTTTTTGTTAGTAAGTATTATTTACTTTACAACAACTGCCAAAAAAGTTCTACCCATTTATATATCAATTATTTTTATTGGACAGAATGGAAATATTTATGAGAGGTCTTACTGTGGGAGGAATCCAAAGTACATGGGAAAAACACACACTACTCAATATTACACAGAAACACACTTTCCTGTCTTCTACATTGTCTTTAACTGTATAATATTTACATTTTCATTTCACTCCACCTCAGTGAAACTAGTTAACCCTGGTTGGTTCACTTCTTGATGAAAAAAGTGAGTCACATGCTTTCATTATAGGCAAAGACGTATAATGTAGCATTGCATACAAGTCTACTGCACATGTATTCAATTGTTGCTTTACATGCCAATGAAAAATACCAAAATGAATATGATGAAGATATTACAAAAACACCATATGATGTGACAAAATGGTGACATTCTCGAAAGCAACATCATCCTACTTGAAAATGTTCTCATCGTTTGTAGGCACTTTACCAGATTTCATGTGAGATTCTCTGTCTATCTGATCTTGTCAAAGCTACATACATGTATGTTATTATTTATGATGTAATTGCCAGTCCTTAGTGAGATAACATCGAACACTGAGTCTGACCCAACCTGATGTGTGCCTTTCAGCTTTTAGCCTCATCTTGAATCCCTTGTTGTGACAGCCGATGTCCAATCTACATCTATTATCAATGATTTCAAAACCCTAACCCTGTAACCTTTCATGTCAACATTCTCGCCATTTTGTGAAAGACTATAGGCTAGTCTGTGTAAAATTATTTTAATTTTTTTTTTCAATTCCAAAATGGTACATCCGGCAACTTCCTTTTTAAAATGGTTAGTGCAAACATAAGAATTGATTGTCTATTTTGTTGCTTGCATAGACTGATGAAGGAAAGCGAATTTTGTGCAAATGGCGTGGGAACTGCTCTGCAACGATTTGCACAAGGTGAATGAATGTATGTGGAATACGCAAGTCAAAGAGAGATCACCATAGTTACCACAGTCTACATTTTACAAGACGTCCTTATGCCCTGTGCTCTTCTCCAAAAATAATCAATATGATATTTTAAAAACACTTACCACATGTCCTGGTTCACTACCCCTTTCTTGAGCAACTCTCTGGGCCACTGTTATGGCAGCTACCCTTCTTGGCTGTGGAAATATTTAAACGTCAATCTCAAATATGGTGCATTGAATTCAAAGGAAAACCTTTACTCCCAAAGGAGAAATATAAGCACAAATATCCCTGATGTATATAAAACATACAAGTACTGGTGATGGTCAAAGTTTTTATTTCGTAAGCGTGATCACTTTCAAGCTATAAAGAATAGTTGCTGATTACCATGTATAATGACTGTTATGATAGACACAAGGCAGAATGTGAGAACACTTCAATGATATCATAAAGGTCGACTTGTTCTATGTCACATAACACAGTGTACAGCTAGTTAGTTTACAAGGTGGTGTAATTGGATGTAGAGCATAAAAACACAATATGTATAAAACATGATCTGTATAAACCACAATATGTATAAAAACACAATACCACAATAAAAATTATGCTCCAAAATACTGCTCATCAGCAGAAGTCATCTTCTTAAGTAACAATACTTTACCTGAGTTATAGCTATGATCAGGTTCTTGTGTAGTCGTTCTTCAAAAATGTACTGTAAATGACAGAAAAATGTCATCACAGACAATACAGATCTATGAATCACTTTGTTTTTCTATATTGCCAATAACAAATTTCATAGAAAAAGAAGGGCCCAAGAAGCATAAACATGTTTTAGACTAAAATAACTTTCAAATACTCTAAATAAATGTAATAACTTTTATTCTATTTTTGTCAGGTGTCAAATATATTTCATATTATTTGTCTATGATGAGAACTAATTCTTTTTCTAAGTAACACAGAAATCAAAGTTATTTCCCTTGTTTCAAATACTCTATGTTAATAAAGCTACAATTTTGTATTCCTCTTCTAACAGCTGAGAAATATAACGTCAATGAAATTGATATTGGTCTATGGCAAGATAAGACACTTCTTCCAACTGAAAGAGAAATCCGAGTGATCTCCCCTATTGCCATGGTCTCAAATCTCCCTGTTGAACTTCAGTTGTCTCCCCATTGTCATGCTACAGACCTATTTGTTGAAGCTGTGTCTCAACATAACAATGCAAAAAAAAAAGGGGTGAAATTTGAGTTGTTTTCAATTTTTGTGTCATTAAACCTAATAATTAAAAATGAGTTGTCTCTCTATTATCATGTCGTCAAATCTATCCATAAAAACAGAGTTATCTCCCCATTGTTATGAAATCGAACCTACCTGAGGAAGCTGGGTGGTCTTGCCACTTCCTGTCTCACCAATCACAATTGCAGTGTCAAGTCGATTTAATTCCTGTATCAGCTTTCGTTTAGCTGAAAATATTGGTAAATTCTTTCTTTCTTCTTGCAGTTTTTGGAACAAAGGGACCCCATTCTTCATTCCTAAAAGAAGATAGTCAAGAAAATCTGAGCGCATACCAGAACAAGACTATCAATACATCAAATACCTTCACTAGTATTGAGTTAAATTCACATGTCTGAAAAAAATGTACATTAATTGGTAACAGCAAGTTACTGGGTAATACAGCTTTTAATTCATGTTTTCAAAGGCAGCTTTCTCTCAAATGAACTGTTTGCAGAAACTAGAATATGTATGTTAAATATTAATGAAGATTATTCATCCATTATAAGCTTGATAGACAGACTACAACTGGAGTGCTACATTTTGGCCTCAAAAATAAAAAAAAAAAAAAGTTCTACATTATAAAAAGATGTCTGCAGAATTTAACAATCAGCGAATATCTCTCGATACAGATCTACACCATATATACCAGTGTGTTAGTGACGTTAAATGGACTATGTAATTTTCTAATAAAACCATTACAAGCACATTAACTGCAGTATGCTGTTCCCAAGCCTATTAGCCTGCTAACATTGTGGCTGCCTAATGGTTATCTCCCCACCACTGGTCAGTCCTATAGCCAGGTCAGCTTAAAAGCCTACTTCAGAAGCATTTCACTATTGTTATCAGCATCTAGATTCAATTTTTCTTTTAAGGGTATCATTTACCGTGACACTGCCCCAAGTTAAAAGTCTCGTTTGATATCTGACGACCAGTTCACTGTTTACAACATGTATATATCACTGTTAAGTACCAACTACAAATCATTAACTTTTGGGAAACAGATATTTAAGTTCTAAATTTATTGCTTTCCCTCTGGGAGTCATTCAAATTTTGAAAACCAAATCTGTCTGTTAATTAGCCAATGGGTTCCAACATTTGCAAATGTTGATCAAGGTTAACCCAGATATTCCTACAGAAATCACCAATAAATTGGTGACTGAGGTTTCAGATAAGTCACTTGTTTAATGATATGAGCTTCATTAACTGATACATGTGGTAAAACCCTTGTTCCAGATTGTATGTTTTCCAGCTTTTAACTTTTATGATGTGCAATCAAGCAAAGACTTCAAACTTATCCAGTATATGGTGATCATAAGATACAACATATATATTGTAGGTCAAATCCATTTCCAAAAAAAACAAAATGCAAATCAGAAATCATTCATGATATATCATAAACTAACATATGATGTAAAATATTGTAAGCTGAATAGAAACAAAATTTACACATTCTTTTCTTAGACTTCAGAAAGATGATCGTTAAAATAAATATAACTCAATACTCATATTCATGAAGTTGTTATTTTTTATTTTTATTTTTTATTTTTTTCTTAAATCAAAATTTAGGATTATATTACTGACCAATAATTATTTTTAAACCCCCCTGCGCTCCCCCCCCCCTCCCTTGAAGAAATCAGGATTTTACCGGTTCTTGGTTATAACAATATTCACTTGATTCCTCTATTGTAACCATAACATTGAAAAATAACATGTAACAAGTGCAGATAAAAATAGAAATGCTTTTATTGGTTCTGTGAAGCTAATCAAAGCGAACTTAAAAAAAAAAAGAATTAAACACTTAATTGAAAGCGAAATGATTGAGAACTGTTTAAATCGTCATTACAGCCCCAGGTATAACCAGACTGACCGAGGGTCAAACTCTTGAATGGCAATGATCACAGAAGAGGTAAAGTGACCCCCTCAATCCAGCTTCAAATTGACCCTCAGCAGACCTTCCTTTACAACGGATGAATGTGCAGTTTGCTCAAAATAGTTTAAGTTTATTTTTTTTTGTTCCTGAGGTCATGATTTTAAAAAGCTACGTAGATATTCTTTACATGTCTGTATCAATATCAAATCTAATGATGCTTTGCACTGCTGAAAATAAATTCAGACATTGAAGAAAGTTTATTTAATACAAAATCAAAGCTAACAAATCTTTAAGGAGTCAGACATGGATATCACTGATATGTCATCAATGAAACAGATTCCGAAATAATTGGACAAAAATCTGACAATAACACTCTTACAGACTACTCAACAGCCTTCACGGCTTGACCAGTGGGCAAGAGGTTAGGGGTCAGTGGACACAGGCCATAGGGTCAGACATGGGTCACTTTTATTTGTTTATCCTTAGATACTGCAATTTAATTTCATTTCAGATGACCAGATTTAGTGGCGATCAACCTGTAGTATCACATTCCAGCTGAATAGGGGGCGGGTCTGGATGTTGCTTTCACTTTCTATGCCTTTAGTATTGGGCGTTTCTTCCTTGTCAGAATCCTCCTCCTTCTACTTTGGTGTCTTGAAATGTTTTGCTTCCTTATTTTGTTTGTTAATGGACCATCTACACACTACATCTAGCCTAATCACATCTTGATCCTCATTATGTTTGTTATAATGGACCTACAACACACTACATCCAGACTAATGACCTATCATTTCTTTACTGATCTTCAAGGCTAAATAACACATAGTTAACCTTCAACTAAATATAACAGTTAAAAGTTCAAGGATAGTAGGCTAGTATATAGATTAATCTTAGAGACAAAAACGTTCTCCAAGTCAAGCTGACATTGTAACTATGGAAAAATGTTAACATCTAGGAAAACTGATTATACAACATATCAAACAAATCTCTCTATCAACCAGAAACCTATTTTCATCAAAATAAAAATGATATTAGATGTAGTAAACTTCAAATGTTGTTTTTTGTAGTTCTATATTGGACAATATCGCATTCAAAGCCAGTGAAACAAAATAAGAAAGGCATTCATGTCTAGTAAACATAATAAATATGATTACACTTTTCAGGGCTCTCGATCTGCCAAATTTGGGGCCAAATTCCCAATGCAAAAAAATATCTTTTTTTCAGAATTTAGACCCTATTCTAAGGAAAACACCATTATTTTTCCCAATTCTAAGGGCCTCGGGCCCCAGTCCCAAAATGGGGTGTGAGAGCCCTGCTATTTGCAATTCTCGTATGTTGTTATATATTACATATGTTATCACTGCACCAGTTTATCAACATACTATTCTACAAATACCTCAGCTAAAATTATTCTATGTTTGCAGTATATTCAAAATCTAATTTACCTCCTCCGGGAGAGAATTTCATCTTTTTGGCTGGAGGTCTGCTGTCAACTGGCATTTTGCAAGAGTTACCCTGAAACCAAGCAGAAATCATGGCATGAATCTGCAGGTACTGCAGAGCCGAACAATATACACCTGTACTATGCCAAAGAAATAGCCATGATTTAATATATCAAATTTTTTACAAATATTCAAAATTGAAATGGGAATATTAGATCCAAATGCTATGAAGGAAAAGAGTTCTACTGTGTTCTGATGATAAATTAAAGCATACCAAGTTCTGAAGTGATGAGTTAAAGACTGAAGTTCTAATGAGATTAAAATATTTCAAATATTGTTGAATCAAGATGCTGTTTATAAAAACACAATCTCGTGACAATTCAAAGAAAAAGAACAAAAATTTAAACAAGTAATGAAGAAAATGTCGATAAGGTTGTTTCATTTAATGACTAGCATCAGCAACAAAAATTGATTACGGTAATGTCCGGCAGATATCCAGTAAACTTTCGAATGAACCAATGAAAACGAAGTACAGCAAGGGCAGCAACATGCTGAAGAGCATTGAAATGCTTCATAAAAAGGAGATATCAAAGGCAAGAGTTAAATGGAGTTAAGTTAATCTAACATTCAGGGAAAAAAACTTCACAGTATATTTATAATCCTACACAGTTTGAAAGAAGTTTTTATTTGAAAAATTATAGAGGAAATCTATTGGCCAAGATTTAGATTATGAAAGTGGAAATAACTATACCAAATATTGTCAAATCAAACTTGAATTGGGTCAACTGAATTTTGTGTCATTAGATTGGGCTTAGCAACTTAGAAAGAAATCAGCTGAAGATTAACATGACGAAAACAACAAGGGGCAATAACTCACCCAGATATAGTGAAATAAAACTGCCATTCAGGACAGCACAACTTAACATCAAGGTGATCAAGCCAAAAAAATTATTAAAAGTTTGATAGAAAGCAGCTGAAAATTGAGAGAGAGATCTGGACAAGATTAATATTTTGGAAACAACAAGGGTCAGTAGCTCTTCTAAATATAGTCCAATCTAACTGCCATTTAGTAAAACACAACTTCACGTTATGATGATCAAGCCTACCAAGCAGAACCTGGTAACCTGCCAACAATGCCATGTACATGTAAATCAAAGTCAAGTCCAATTTATTCTCAACATGAGAAATAAGAAAGTGACAATGACACTACAAGGCTTCAGTATCAAACACATATCTAAACTGTTCAACAGAATATTTCCTGATGAAATCATGATAGCAACCATAAAATTTCCTCATAACCTTCATCAACCTGTATCTCTTTAAGGACAAGGCCCTGTGTCATATTTTTTTTTCATCTCAAAGCCAAGATAAATCAATATCACAGATAACATGATACTGGAAACAAACCTTTCAGTAACCTTAGACTAGGGAAAAGGCTGGGAGTTTTATAACCAAGAAATGAAATATTTGAAATTATCATGCATATCTTATAAAGAAAAACAGTAAATTATATAAAAGGGGCAATACAAACCGCTGTAGCTTGTACATAGTTTTTAGATAGAGTCTATGTCACTCTGTGGTATGCTTCATTGGCTCAGCCGTGATTAGCAAACCAAAGACCTCAGCTTCAACCTTTTATTTGAGTGCTCAGCACAATGTCTCTACTCTTTCTTTTACACAAGTTATACCCGGTAATTATTAAGCAATAACTAATGCAGTAAGTGGCTTATGAAGATGTTAAAATTGACTATTTACCTACCTGTGATTTTATTTTGCTGTCTATTTCATGGTCATGGATAGAAAGTCAGAGCCCTTCAAATTCAGTGAAGTACCAAAAATGATGAGGACTTTCAGAAAGTCTAGACTGCTTAAAAATTTGTTTTTTATAACCGAAAGAGGTGCAAATGTCAATAAATAAACTGAAATCCAAACTTTTATTTTTTTTTATGGAGATCATTAAGTTGTAAAGTACAAAAAAGTCTTTCAAAATCAACTTTCTGATGAATGATCATGTTCCCAATCTCATTAAACATGCATAAGTATATGCACAATACGGGCAAATTTACCTATAAAGTCAGATTTACTGGTGCTCCTTTAGCTGTAAGAATTATCAGAATGTAAGAAATCAAGTATACAGTGCCAGAAATGAGATTGCAATAATATATTGTTCAGTTTTAAAGCAAAGCAATGTTACAGAAGAAAAACATTTTCCTTAAAAAATACATGATTCATGGATGCTGCTGGTAAACTATGACATAAATTGATAAGTAAGCTACTTTTAAGACAAAACTCTGTACCAGTAGCTTCATTCAGATCTAGGATGAGAGGTCCCAGGACTTCATCCATCTGAGAAAAATTCTGCTAGAAGTAAAAGGCAGGGTGAATAGGTGCTCTGCACTTAACCTGTATCTAAATGTTAAATGTTGATGTTAATCAAAAATACTATGACAACATTTTCACTTTCCTGAACTTGTTTTACTTACTTTTAATTATTACTTGAAATAAAGATGATTTTAAAGAAATGAAATTTGCTGGAATCAAAATAATTCTTTCAAGTTCTCAGCATATAACACCCCAACCAATATCTTGACGTCACCACACATATACAAGCACACACACATCAACACCACATTAAAAGGTGCCTGAGCAAAGCTCTATACTGGTTACATATGTAAGACCATGCTCATTCACCTCTAGGAAGGAGGTGAAAGGTATGGAACATAGTACTCCTATAACAAAAGAGGTCACAGGTCAGCCGTTTTATCATCTGACATTATTGTGCGACATGGCATCTGTCATAAGTTTCTCACCATGTAAAACCTCTAACATTGTTGGAGTAGGAACATAGGTGCTCTGCACTTTACCCTAAGCTTATGTTAATGAAAAATACAATGACAGCTTTTTTCTCGCTAAATTTGTTTGACTTAATTTTTATTTTTACCAAACATAAGATGATTTTTTCAGAAACGAACTTGGAATGAATTATAATACATTCAAGTACCAGACACATAACACTAGCAAATACCACGATACATAATCAAACACAACACCGTAAATGTCACAATAAATGCGAAATTGATCTACGGTGGTAGCGCACCAAATTTTCTTTATTCCTTGGAGCAATACCCAATTTATTGACGTTATTCTCCATACTTTCAACCGAGAATGTCACAGTGACATGTAAGCTTCGCTCTTTCCAGGCACTGTCTTACATATATTAATGTCAACCGAGAATTTCAGTCTGGCATGTAAGCTGTGTTCTTTTCAAGGAGCTGTCTGATTCATTAACATGTAATTGCAGGAAGTAACAATATTAAGAACATTATAACAGATTAAAATAACTGCTTCAAATAACTCACCTGGAGTACGATATACTTCCTTTTTCAATTTCTTGAACGAATGTTTCTTGAATAATCCAGATGTGATCTATTGATTAAATATCACCAAAGGAAGAAATGCGTAAAAACGTTGTATAAAAGTACACACGTTATTTTTCATGGAGGCTGCCATCTTTCTTTTCGGATGTCTTTTGACTTTCTACTCATATGTACAACGATTCAAGATGTACCCCGAAAGACTTGAACTTGCGAACTCTCGCAACATCCGGTCATTGACTTCCCGTGAAAATGGCGGAATCAGGGTGAAAAGTTCATTCAGGTACAAGTGAAATGCTATTTATCTTGAGTTGCTATCGGTCATACACTGAGATCACTAAGACCGGAGATACTGACCAAACGGTGTGTGACGGAGAGTATGTTGTGAAACGTCATGATCACAAGTATTTCCATCCTCTAACACCAACGGTTTACTTTCTAAATTGTGTCCATTCGGATTCGTGGAGTTATACTTGAAATAAGTTGTCAAAATATTGGCACGAGACCAATTTAAACTATCTTATACATGTTCAGTTTATATGTAGATTTAACATTTGTTTATAATATGTGATATAATTACCAGTGGTGTGTCATAGATATGAGGATACACGAGATGTTGTAAAGGAGTTTGACCACCAATCATGTTTATAAGATGAGTTGAGAACCATATTGACAGACTTTGTGATGTATCGGTGTTACACGCCAGCCATGCCAGCATAGGATTGCTGATCGTTATCAGGTAAATATTAGTGATTTTGAAAAGGGTGCATCTCGGCGCAAATAGCAACACATTGTAGGGCCATTTTAAAAGAGGAAGACATCTTATAAAGGCAAATTACACCCAAAAAACGAAATTCATATTTTAATTTATTTCTTATAATATCCTAAGCACAATATTTCATTTTTGATCGAAAAATCTGAAATATCAACAATGTTCGAATTATTTGACCATTTTTAATTTTTTTTGCATTGGAGGGCTGCTATCTGAAACTTATGCCAAATGCAAAGTAAATAGTTCTATGTAATAAGACTTGTCTTGAAATGTTTGACATTTATTAACTTTTAGAAAATTTGAATATTTAGATCACAAGGACAGTATTGTGAATGTCTAAAAATACCACCACCAGCAGCAACATGTTTACTATCAGTAAAGATGCTTTCATTTACATTTTTAAGTAGATTTATGATATTTCAATCCATTAGAAGATAGATTTTCAAATGACCCATCAAAGTGGTTGTTACTACAGTTCAGCTTGCAAGAAGGATCAGAAAACAGATAAGCTGACTGTTAAGTAGAGAGAAATGTACTGTTAGTCTAGCCACTTGCTTCAATCCAGAAAATTCATACAATATTTACAAAAATTACATGTACATTTCGCATGTATTCATTTCAGTTACGTACCATTTGCAAACAATATATAAAGAATTGTATAATTTGTACTTAATTGGAGAATCCTACCAATAATACATACTGCAACTTTGCTTCATCTATCATTACTTTTCATTTTTGAGTATCACCTCTGTTCATCCAGGGGTTATTGTTCTCTCTGACCATTAAGAAGATATGAACTGGTGTGCTTTTAAAGGCAGGACAGCCACATATCATTAGACCCTTGTGTATGTTTTTGAATTCACAAAAATCAGTGTTAACACATGAGTTGGAAGGGAAATGATCTGTTTCTCATGTTTTATATGTAGATAACAGCATGTAGTCTGGAATGGATGTTGATGATGTCACATATTCCTGTTTTTTAGAGCCTGTGTTAGATAATGCATGACTGTGCAATATTATTTTGTAAAACCTCTGATCAGTTAAGATTTGTTCTGTCTTGTTTTAGTTTAAATCCTTTATATTTCTATTCATGTTTAACTGATATGAAGCAGGTCATTTAAACCTTTCAAGAGATCATAGATTTAAGAATTGGTAGGTAGATAATGTAAAACAATAGGAAATTGATTTATTAAGAAAATAAAACCCAATTTATCAATGCTAAGATTGTAAAGACAACTGCTAGAAGTCAGAAATGACTCAGTGATCTCAGAAATGCAGAGATAATGTATAATTCCTTTTGTTAAATTGGTCATTTTTAGGTAATTTACAACTGACAGCTTTTATTGGCTTTTAATCTGTAATATTCAATAAGTACAAATTACAAATAGTAGTATATTCAAAGCTTCTGAAATATGTGTATTGTTTTTTAAAAGTAGTTTTTAAAAAGTCTTGATTTTTCATTGTAAGAATTCATTACATATCTATTAACTGTTGTTAATGCATGGAACCAATCATCGTTGATTTGATTACATTTATGAAACTGAAACCAATGTTTTTCACCAATGCTTTTTTATGCATTTTCATTTACATTCGAGTTACAAACATATTTCTGTCTGTCACTAAGCCCGGAAGATAATTCATAACTTGCTTGTCAGGAAGTTGACATTAACTGCATTTTATTTATTTTCAACTTTCAATATCAAGGACAACACTGTAGATTGAAAGCCTAGATATTGGTTATCTCTTGTGAAATTGCATTGGTTTCAAGTTTTTACTGCACTGAAATGTATGGATGAGCATATCAACAGACACCGCTGGATAGATTTTATAGATATAGGATAGTCATATCCTTGAATTCAAAATTAACAATCATATCTAATGTTGTTTTCATGTTTTGCATTATCTTCGGATCTTTTTTATGATACTTTCATGTACCTTATTGATAATGCAAGTTACATACATGTATTTACTTACAAGTATGTCCAAATGTTTTGTCTGAAATTATAGAACATGGGCACTATACAAGACTACCGGGTCCACATCTTATATTTAGTGATGTGGCAGTGCAAACATAATACATATCATTGTTGCCATTTATTGACAGTAAACAGTTTTATTTTGGCCTATGAAATGCTAGAAATTGGTAAAATAAGATTAGTTTGTCACGGACTTAAAAATCTGTTACAATTCAGTGATGGCACAGTAGTATCAATCCTGGGTTGAAGAGGCCAACCACGCTGCACTGTACAGCATGCATTGTACTGTTTTGCAGTTGGCTATTTGGTCATTGTTTACCTGGATTTTATTGTGCTCCACTCTTATTTAGAGAACAAAAGTTGTCCCCTAGTTCACTTGTCGATGTGTAAATGCCCTCTGTATTGCAGTACCTCTGACCCCTGATACCATATCCCCACTGTCAATAGACACAAAAGGATGATTCCTGAGCATTTATTGCCGCTGTGACGATGATTTAGCACAGGTATTTAATGCATGTTTTAGTAGGATGCACACAGTGTCACTGTTCATTTATAGAGTAGCTACAGGGAGTTGCAGCAGGCTAATAATGACACACTGGGTGGATCAGAGGAATCTGAAATACATTAGACCAGTCAAATGAATACAAAAGGAAGAATTAATTTTGAAACTTGTTGAATGTAACCTTGTAACATAGACGCTCAGTTACAAGTTATACACATTCATATATTTTTGTAACTATGAGTAATATAATGCCATTACATTTGTCCGCAACAGAAACTAAATGGGGCCATAGTTTCATGTTATGTCCTTCAACCCTTCTGTCCATCCTCCTGTGATCTTATCTGGTCTTTATCTCCTTCACTGCTTTTTCTGGAGCTTCATACTTTAGTTATGGGTTCACTTTGGTGAGACAATGTGTCATGTACCAAAATAAGGTCACTCTGATTTAAATTTTTATCTTTGACCTACTTTTATGTACAACAAAGAAAATTTGTCTGGTCTCTGTCTGCTATGATACTTGCCACTGAAAATTCTTACTTAAGGGTATGGGTTCACTTTGGTGAGGTGTTTTGTCATACAGTATCAGAAGTACCAGCTGTAAGTCACTATGACCTACATTTTGACCCTTGACTGACATCAAAGAAAACAATTGTCAGAGATCTTAAAGTGTATCTCCTAAACTTTTAGAACTGGAGCTTCATGCTTGGCAAGGATTTTTGGGACTCAAATATTTGAGTTATGGACTCATGCTTTTCCTGTTGGACTCGCTCAAATTTTCAGAACCACTATATCTCTTTGTGACTGGGCCCATCAAAATTTTGGAAATAGTGCTCTTGACTAACCAGAAAAAAATTCTTCAAAATTTACTGCTTGGGATATGGGTTCACCGTGGTGTGTTCATGGGGAATTTGTATATTGCCGTATTGTATTACAAAAAAGAAACACAATTTACACTGAAGAAGGAAGAAAATCTATTACTGACAAGTTAACGTTGGGTATATCATGGTGGAAGTATGTAGACATGGGGGTATGTTACCATGGCAATATGAAATAAGATTTGAAATTGATTTGAAAAATTTTCAATAAAATTTCATCTCAATCCCAACACATTTCAGAAGCTTAAAGACAGAACTTTTCAACGGTACAGTGTATACTAGCAAAGAAACAAAACACAAAAATGCAGTCATGTTAAATTTATATGTACACACATTCAGACACACATATAATATATATGTATAAAAAAAGGTAATTTTCTTATTGTCCAGTTTAAATTTCTTTAAAAAACTGCACAAATGACAAAGTCTTTGTTAAGTATTCATCTTCAGATGTTCAACAATAAATACATAGGCACATAATAACTAGGACAATGCATTTTGACGTCCTAGATTTTGTGATGTCACAGTATACAAATGGAAGTAAATCTTATGCAAGATTATTTAGCTTAAGTTTAAACAATTTGTTAAACTATTTATCTTTCTCTTTTCTCTCTAAAACAGTGTCTGTATACATTTTATGAAAAGAAATTATTTTGAAGTTCTTTTGCCCACGTACATCAAGATATTCACTTAGTTTGATTTTCCAATGTTCAGGTGAATGTATGTGTTATTTATGTACTCGCACTCTACGTCTTAATTGATTTCCAGTTTCTCCTATATAGTATTCATTACAACCAGGGCATGCAGTTACATGTAGTACATATAGTACATATTGTGTATCATATGTCATTGACGTTCCATTAAACTCTAACGATTTGCATTCTGCTATAAATTCACATGTGCCACATCTGGAGTCTTTATATTTGCTGACTTCAAAGTTCT